CATGCATTTATTTTTATATCTGACTCTCATAGAGGGCACTAGGTACACGCTTCGTACCGAGTATTTTTGAACATAACTTTAACATCATTCAATTTCACACCAAAAAGGTACTCTTGGTAAAACTCGATACTGTGTTCCGTTTTCGGAATATTTCGATTTGAAAATGATGAAGTGGTAACTGTTGCTGGTATAAAGCTATGTACATTTCTGATGCAAAACTCATTGATTTAACAATGAATCACAAGAATAACATCGAAACAGATTTGACTAAGAACATGGATTACACAGTTTTGTTGTATCTTGAGCAGAAAGTCTATGCTACATAGGTAAATTCACGTCAAGAGTTGTGAGACATAACTGAACATCACTTAAATGACCTAACAGCTGATCCTCAACTGTTCAGAAGAATAATACATTCTCAAAAAAAGAATATAGAATCGTGTATTCCTCGAAACGTAGGACATTTTGAACACTTACTTTAACTGATTCAATATTTCATGTTTCTAGTCAAATATCTCTTAATTTTCTACTTATGATTTTTTGTTCCATCAATAACTTCAGCACAAGAATAATTTCATTGTTTTTGAACCTGAATAAATAGGTAATTGAACTCAATAAAATTCATTTTATACCAGCATCATTACTACTCCATTATTTTCAAATCGAAATATTCCGAAAACGGAACATAGTATCGAGTTTAACCAGGAGTACCTTTTTGGTGTAAAATTGAATGATGTTCAAGTTCATATCATATTTGGATTGAAAAATCTAACCTCAAAAAAGTTATTTTCAAAACTACTCGGTACGAACCGTGTAACTAGCGCCCTCTATAAGAGTCAGATATAAAAACAAATTCATGCGATGTGTCAGATTCCAAGAAACACCCATACAAAATTTCATTACAATGTTGCCAGTAGTTTCGGAATAATCGTGAAAAATGTATAAAAACATATTTTTTTCAACACCTTGTATCATGAAAACGGATGCCGTTACGACATTTTTTCACAGAGCAAACCCAACTTATTTTGCAATGTTCTACCTACCCTAGCAAGGGGGTTAGGTTTTTTTGAAATACCCTCTATATATGGCACATTAAATGTCGTGGAGATGACTTTTTGTATCATTTGGTATTTAATACTTGACTCCACTCTGAGAAACCATGGACTTCTACCAAAGATTGTGATACCGAAGTTACCTCATACTTCATACGTTGTCCTTTTGATAATGATCGCTTATATACAGGGTGTTATTTAAGTACGTGGCCAAACTTGAAGGAGTGATTCTTCGAGTGATTCTAAGACGAAAAGTTTATATAAACATAGGTCCGGTAATGCTTCGTTTTCAAGATACAGGGTGTCAAAATTTTTAAAAGAAATCGTTTTTTTCGTAAATATCTTAATAACCCTTCAACCGATTTTATTGAAATTTGGCAGTATTATTCAAGGTCGTAAAGGGCTAATTTAACCCTAACTTTATCAAAATTATCATGTTCAGTGGCGTCCCGGAAGGCACTGTAACCAATATTTTTGACAGAAAAAATGTGCGCCACTGATTTTTTTGCATTTTTTGTATTTGTTTCACATTGAGCAACTAAAAATACAACTTTTTTATTTCTAGAATTTTTTTCGTATCTTGCTTTGTTTTTGAGAAAAAACATAAAAATCACTTCATTGCACATCCCTGTGACAACACAATAAAACATTTCAACTACTAAACCATCAAAAACTGGGGTCTTACTAATATTTTTTCATATTAATACTCTATTCTAGTCTTAGAATTTTCTATCAAAATTAATGCAATGAAAAAACAAAAAATATGTATGTATGAATTGCAGCACTTGCCTTCGGCTCTTGGCTTCGGCTCGTGCTGCAAAATGGGCTCATTGTTGTCCATGGACATGCAATAAAGACATTTTTATTTATGATTAAACAATTAATATTACATGGAAGTCATATTTTAATTCTTTCGCTCATATTAACGAAAAAAACGATTTCTTTTAAAAATTTTGACACCCTGTATCTTGAAAACGAAGCATTACCGGACCTATGTTTATATGAACTTTTCGTCTTAGAATCACTCAAAGAATCACCCCTTCAAGTTTGGCCACGTACTTAAATAACACCCTGTATAAGAAGGAAAAATCCTATAGGAAAGATCTCAAGTTCGCGTACAAAACGCGAAACCAATTCTAGTTTTAAACAGTTTTATACAACGATATAGTATTTCTGTCAATAAATATTTACCTTTGTTATAAAACAAACGACAATATGAATCATTTTATTATTCATTTCTCATTCGCATGTACAGTTTGGCAGCCTAGATTTCCATTTTAATTATAATTTGATGATGATTCATGTAATAAATAGTTCAACACCAAATCAGCATTTTCCAATTATCGGTCACGTTGGACTGGTATATTTTCAATTCCTCGAGTTGTTATCTAATTTCATCAAAACAACAAGGTGAGCTGATTTCATTCACATTCTAACTCTTACCAAACAAAATAATTTCTGTGTCTGTGTCTGGCTGAACAGATTGAAGAATGCACTAAAACTGTATGGTGAATATGTTGATGATGCTCATGCTAATTTCCGTACACTGACCTACAAAAAACCGGCTTGAAACTTTTGTCAATCACTGATCAAAGAAAAGAAGTACAAAAGTATACCCAAAATACCACAATGATTTTCATCAGAGCAGCCTACATAAATAAGTGCGAAAAAATGCTGTGATTCTTTGTCATGTTTCAGAAAAACGTTCAGATAAACTAGTCTCCTAACTCGCTTCGTTTTTTGAGATACAGGGTGTTGAAGTTGGAAGTATTTTTGTTATCCCCCTGTATGATACTTATTGACGTTATTGATAACCTTTCCGTTCAGGTTTCTGTAGAGCCTTGTTCTTATCTAAGAAGAAGGTCGAAAATTTTCCTTCTCCTACAAGTAATGGGTGAAAGGTTTATCTCAGCCCTAAGGCGCCCTCTGTACAGTGTGTCCAGTTTTCGATGCTTTTACGTGATATCTCGGTTATCTTCGGTGATAGAACCTTGCGGTTTTCGCCTAATCAGATTTTGAATAACTGTTTCCGTTTATGAGATACAGGACGATTTTGAAAATTCATACTTTTTGGACCCCCTCTATATCTACCAAGTGTCTCAGCTAAAATGTCAAATTGAAATCCCTTCCCATTAAGAATTTTACGCAGAATCCAGTGGCGCACTCAATTTTTTTTTTAGGGGTATGGTTTTGGAGATGCGACTCAAACTTATGATTTTTTCAATGGAACACCCTGTATTTCATAAGCTCATAGAATTCCTTATTCTTTTTCTTCAAAATGATATATAATGTATAAATATAAAATTTTCAAAATGTTCAAAAATCATGTGATGTAACAAAGTTCTCTGACTGATCTCTTTGTGATGGATCTGAGACAACACTGGGTAGTTAGTTCACCTTGCTCGATATTTAAGGTTGAAAACGCACCTCAAGAGCCCTATACTCAGTATGATCATTACCTTGCCAGTGAACTCCTATTTTGTAGTTTGTGAAGACACTAAAGATGTTTCGAAGCAACAAAAGTTATATTCTAGATACCAGTTGCTTTCCAGAACAGTGTGATGTAACAGTTCTTTGATAGACTCGTTTTTTTTTTTCGCTAAGGACAGAACAGAACTTGTGATGAAAGACTGTTGCAATACAAGTTATAGGTATGATGTAACAAAGTTCTCTGATTGATCTCTCTTCTTATAGATCTGAACAAGACTGGTTTGTAGTTTTAGTTCGGAGACTCCCATATTTTGTAGTTCTTTGATTGGTATAGTTTGTGAAGACGCTTTGGATCTTTTGTAGCAATAAAAGTTATATTCTAGATGCCAGTTGCACTCCAGAGCGGTGTAATATCACATAGTTATTTGATTGATCTCGTTTGAATTGACCCTTAGGACGCCTCAATATCATCACTGTTGCAATACAAGTTACAGGTGTGATGCGACAAAGTTGTCTGACTGATCTCTCTTGTGACAGATCTGAGACAAGACTGGCTTGTTTTTGTTAGTTCCACCGCTGCCTCGGATAGAACCTTTCACCTTGCTTGTTATTTCAAGTTGAAAACTCACCTCAAGAGGCCTACTCAGTATGATCACAGTTTATTTAATATCTATAGATACTCCGCTATCGGTATACTCCCCTATTTTGTAGTTCTCTGATTGATCTCGTTTGTGAAGACGCTATGCTATGGATGTTTTGTAGCAATAAAAGTTATATTCTAGATGCCAGTTGCATTCCAGAGCGGTGTGATATAACATAGTTATTCGATGGATCTCGTGCTTGTTGACCCTAAGGACGCCTCAATATCATCACTGTTGCAATACAAGTTATAGATGTGATGCAACAAAGTTGTCTGACTGATCTCTCTTGTGACAGATCTGAGACAAGACTGGCTTGTTTTTGTTAGTTCCACCGCTGCCTCGGATAGAACCTTTTACCTTGCTTGTTATTTCAAGTTGAAAACTCACCTCAAGAGCCCTACTCAGTATGATCACAGTCTATGGAATATCTATAGATCTATGATCATCACTCTGCTATCGGTATACTCTCCTATTTTGTAGTTCTCTGATTGATCTCGTTTGTGAAGACGCCATGCCATGGATGTTTTGTAGCAATAAAAGTTATATTCTAGATGCCAGTTGCATTCCAGAGCGGTGTGATATTGTTGTTCTTAAAAATGGTTCTTATCCATCATTCGGTTACCCCCTTACGAGCAACCCTCAGAAGTCTTCAAGTTAGTTATTTGATTGATCTCATTTCTGTTGACGCTAAGGACGCCTCAATATCATCACGTTGATAGAACTTTTGGTGAACCACTGTTGCAATACAAGTTATAGATGTGATGTAACAGTTTTCTGACTGATCGATCTGAGACAAGACTGGCTTGTTAGTGTTAGTTCCACCGCTGCCTCGGATAGAATCTTTTACCTTGGTCGATATCACATGTTGAATACTCACCTCAAGAGCCCTACTCAATATGATCATCACCCCGCTATCTGTGACTCCCCTATTTCCCGGTGACACGAAAGCGTGTATCCTTTCCAAAAGGCTCATCACCGAGCTGGAGTCGTGCGAGATGACGCTTTTCGCGAAATCCTCAAGCGTGAATTTTTCAAAGTTCCGCTTGTTCTTGGCGTAGTTCTCGAAGTTCCTGTAGATGACGTCCATGCGAGTGATGTAGTCCGATAGATCGTTGAGACGTAGTTCGAGTCGCACCCTTTCTTGGAGCGAATGCAGTACCGTCGATATGGTATTGGTGCCTGTGAATCAAATGATTTTTTTTCTCTCTTTTGGAGCGCACGAAAGGGAATTTATACTATGCAAGTTTTGGAATTGGCCTAAATGACAAGGTATTGTTGAAGGCAAGTTTTCAAGTGTTGTTCAACATCGATTTTGACAGTAATCCAAATTCTGTCAAAATCATGCCTAAATACTAGAATACTGTATTATTCTCGGTACCATTGAGGCCAGATTTTGATGTACCTATTCAAGTCAAAATAGATTTTGAATTATCGAAGTAAAAACTTGGTAAGAATCAATTTCCCAAAAAATTTGATTTTACAATATCCCGAAATTATTAGAGATACTGAAGCAGGGTTGGCATGAATTAATTCATATGGATTAAGTCAGTGAATTAATTCAAACTTCCTCCCATGGGAACAAGTTGCATTATTACCTTTAATTCAAACTAGTTTGAACTCGAGTTGGAACTGAAAAATCCGATGGCATTATGGCAACATGATCATCATAAACATCTTATCTCCGTGGAAAGTCCACACGCGAAAAACGTAATTTTTCTACTTGAGATTTTCAATAAGGAATAATTTGCACAGGTACCTATGCATTTATTATTTTTTATTGAACAATCTATAGTTTCAGTTTCATCTATGAAATAGCCAAAAAGTTTCAGTTTGCTTGGCAAAAATTGCGTGTTGTTATGTTATGCTCTATATAAGGTCTTGGTTATGCCTCAAGATATTTAAAGAAAATAAAATCTTATAGTTTTCTTTTTCACATTTTTATATTTTGTTATAATTCGATGATGTCCGAATTCACTCCAAGTCGTATACATTCATCATTTTTTATTCAATCTACAGGGTGTCCCACTTACCATGCTCACCATGGGTATCTTTTAAACGGTGAGAGATACGAGGTCGGTTAAATGACACCAAATGTGGAGTTTGTCAAGGCCAACTATAATGTGAAAAAATATTTTGATAAAATCTATTCGTTTTTGTTTTATACGCAAAAAACAGATTTTGATCATTTTCATGTCTCCTCCGTAACTTCTTTATTTATGAAAATATTCAAATAGGAATTTCACATTCTCATGGCAGTTTTTCAAAGTGATTTCGAAAACTATATGAAATGTATACCAACTCTTCTTGAATTTGAGATATCAGCACCAACTTTAGTTTTTCAAATGTAGGTCATAGCTCACTATGACTTAGTTACAAATAACTTTTTTTTCTCTTTCAGATGATATGTCGCAGTAATAGTTTTGTGTTGATAACAACGGAGTTATCGTCATTTATACAAGAACAAAAAATTATTTGGAAGCCGCCATCTTGAATTTATAAATTTTATCAAAAAAATCATGATCTCCGACCTCAAAAATACCCACTTACCAATTTTGAATGGAATCGGACCAAATCTTGTCCGCCATCTTGGAGCAGCCATTTTTTTTAATGTCAACAAAAATTCCATAATGTATTGTCACCGAAATCATGAACACCTGCCAAATTTCGAGTTAATCGGAGTTATGGAATTTTTGTTGAAATTAAAAAAAAATGGCTGCTTCAAGATGGCGGACAAGATTTGGTCCGATTCCATTCAAAATTGGTAAGTGGGGGTTTTTGAGGTCGGAGATCATGATTTTTTTGTTAAAATTTATAAATCCAAGATGGCGGCTTTCAAATGATTTTTTGTTCTTGTATAAATGACGATAACTCCGTTGTTATCAACACAAAACTATTACTGCGACACATCATCTGAAAGAGAAAAAAAAGTTATTTGTAACTAAGTCATAGTGAGCTATGACCTACATTTGAAAAACTGAAGTTGGTGCTGATATCTCATATTCTAGAAGAGTTGGTAAAAGTTTCATATTTTTTTCGAAATCACTTTGTAAAACTGCCATGAGAATGTGAAATTACTATTTGAATATTTTCATAAATAAAGAAGTTACGGAGGAGACATGAAAATGATCAAAATCTGTTTTTTGCGTATAAAACAAAAACGAATAGATTTTATCGAAATATTTTTTCACATTATAGTTGGCCCTGACAAACTCCACATTTGGTGTCATTTAACCGACCTCGTATCTCTCACCGTTTGAAAGATACTCATGGTGAGCATGGTAAGTGGGACACACTGTATATAGTTTCAGTTTCATCTACGAAGTAGCCAAAAAGATTCAGTTTGTTTTGCAAAAATTGCATGTTTTGTTGTCTTATGCTCTCGGTTAAGCTTTGAGATATTTTTTTGGTAACATTTTCGTATAATTTTTGTATTTTGTTTGATTAATTCAAAAAAGTCCAAATTCTCTCAAAAAGTAGTATACATTTATTATTTTTATTCAATCTATAGTTACAGTTTCATCTACGAAATTGCCAAAAAGTTTAAGTTTGCTTTGGCAAAAATTGCGTGTTGTTATGTTATGCTCTAAGCTCTTGGTTATGCTTCAAGATATTTAAAGAAAATAAAATCGTATAGTTTTCTTGTTAACATTTTTGTGTTTTGTTTGATTTATTCAAAAAAGTCCGAATTCACTTCAAAAGTCGGACTTTTTTTACTCTTTTATAAAAGTCATGACTTATTCCAACTCTGTACATTGAAGTAAGCCCTAATCTGGGAATCTGGCCTAAATGCCAAGATAAAGTAAGTGCAGATTCTGAAGTATTGGACAGCGATTTTGACTGCTTGTACTTGTAAAAAATACTGTTTGAATTGACTCGGCCGTTACTTGATGAAAATCCATAGTAAATATGAAAAAACTCCACAAACGATAAGAAGAAACTAAGAATCTTGTGGAAATCTTATCGTTTGTGAAGTTTTTTACATGTAAAATGTTGAAGTCTGGTGATTCTTGTTGTTGTTGACTTACCGACTGCATCGATTTGTTGATTCAGCTGATCCAATTTCGAGGTTATAATGCCGAGTTTCCCGAACAATTTCGCTTCCGTTTTATCCAGAATAGGTATGGGGATGTTCGAGAAATCGACGTGCTGATCCACAATGTTCCATGTCTTCGCCACTGTCACCACCACATCCTTTGCGATCTTGATTATGTCGAGGATTTCGCTGACACCCACAACAGCTTCTGTTTTTCGTACCAGCTGACAACACAGTAACAATGGACATATTATGAATAGAACGTCAATTTTTTTAAACATCGTGGACCAGAAATTGTTTCAGCACATTCGGTAACCAACTGTTTCTTTGTGCCCAAGGTGTTTTATAAATATAAAACGCTCATGTTGTTTTTTTTAGCTATCGCGCTCGGTGTGTTAATCGGAGGTAAATGAGCAGAAATTATTTAAATTATAATCAAGTCGGCTACCCGACTGACTAGTCCTGACTCTCGGATAGCACAAAGCGATTGCCAGTTCCAGTTATCTTATCCGGAATTATAATCCGATTCGTTCTCCGTATTATTCTTTCTTTTGTGCTGACGGCCATGTAATTTATTTTAGGTCCAGTGTTGCCAGCTGTTACATCCTCAAAGTATCTGAAAATATGATGGCGATTCTAACTGAAAATTAGGATAATATCACAGATAACAGTGGATTGTTTTGTTAGGGTCAAAACTGCAAAACAGCTTCGCTAAATGCTTCGCCTCGCCTGTTATTTTTTCTGCAACCGAAACAATTAACTCAAACAAATATGTGAAGTAACCACCAATGCCGTACCATGCCCATATGTATGCAATGCAACAAATAATCCGTGCGGTGAGAATAGAATATTCTACCTGCAGTGACAGCAGGTTTATTCAATTTTAAAGGATGTTCGAATTGTAGTTTCAATATAAATACAACCACAGAGTGATATTTGTGTATGGACAAGGTGCTCTAATAGCAAATGCCGCGCCAGTGCCAGGTATAGAAAAAAGGCGTGGAAAATGTTGGGTTAGTGAGTGTTCAGAAACCCTCTGTAGATACCTCATTAGAAGTCGAGTAGTCGTAGGATCCCTGCGGAAGGCAGTTATTCTTATTTATGTTGTTGACAATTAATGTCAGAATATTTTTGATGACAAGTGTAGAACTAAAGTCAAATATATATTAATTCTGTTCTCATTCTGCTGGAGTCATTTATTCCATCACATAATCATATACAGTTCATTCAACCCCAGAACATGGTCCTTCGAGCCGGATATGAACCAGCGACCTATGGATCAACAATAATGATAGCGATTATTTACCTCTCTCCATACTCCACTGTGTTTAGCTTGATAATCAAATGGAGATAAACAATATCGTTGTTTGAGACAAAAAACTATTGCTGGCCGTGATTATTCAAGAACAAGTTATCTATATCGAGAATAACGAATGAAATACAGATCAAGCAAGTATGTGAATCTTGAAGGCTTTCCTGATGAAAACAAAAATACTCAACTATAAAAAGGTGTATTTATATCTCCAGCATGGGTATGAAATGCCAAATCTGCCGAAATCGGAAACAACTCAGGTATGCGTCCCAACCGAAATAACCAACCGTAACAATGTTATTTATTCTTGATGACCTCTAGTACGTCCTTTTTAGTTCCTAGGAGCTAAAGTTCAACTTCAGCTCCTAGGAACAAATTGTGTTGCCTAGCAACATATCTATTTTTGTGTCAGTAATAGAGCTAATTTTGGTATAAAAATGGACCACTTTTGTGTCGGTTGCAGAAAAAGGTTATGTTCATCACGGATGGTCCTGTCTGCAAGTTATAACAGACAGCAAATCAATCGTTATTTGATAGCCTAGCGTAGCAAGTTAAGTGTCAGAGAAAAGAAACTTTTTAAGGCGTTTGGAGAAGAACTATCTGAACAAATAATGCAAATGAATGATTTCGACAATAAATCATTGCAACAATTGATTTTTTTTTCCTTCGGGAATTATTTTACTCTAGGCATTTTACCTGCCTTACCCATGTAACAGGAGCGAAATCTGATGAAATTCCACTGAACCTTTGTGTATTCAACTAATACTGAACGTATCATTATCATCTTCAGAAGTTGAAAAGAAAATTGATACCTACCTCCTCTCCCTATCCTTCCTAGGTACCTACGCACGATGTTCTTCGAACATTATAGGAATTCCTTTCCTTGTGCTCCAAGTGAGGAAATAGATATTTACGATACGAGTATCGTAAAGACTCATATTACGAAGACGCAGGGTATAACATGAAGTTGTAGTCATGTTGTAGCCATCTTGTGGCAAAGCTCTGAGGTAGGATACAGAGATCGAGACACACACTGTATGGCGCTGCCATCTATAGTCACACGTACAGACCCCTACGTCTATACGCTACAGAGTGGTACTACAAGTAAACCACTCTGCTGACAGATGGCACTACCTGACATACTTGAGTGGCATTTTTTTCATATTACGATATGAGATGGGAAACTTGTCAAATGAGGCCGAAGGCCGAGTTTGATAACCCATCGATTATTGTTATATGAGTTTACGATACGAATATAGTGCGAATATAGTGCAATATTTTACCTACTACCAAAAAGCTAATTATTTTATCGAAAATATTCAATATTACTTGAACTGGCGATTCATTAGGAATATGTAACAAGCAAGCGTTGCAAGGGTTGGGCGTATGGTTGTCTGTCAACTTCAACGCTTTAATTTCAATTCGAAAAACAAAATCATCGGCATGATTTCGGATCAGGAAATTTCAGATTCTGATATAGAAATTGCGGCAAATGCAGCAATAACTTCAGTACCTGATATGTTCATGATAAATTGAGTAAAAATAAAATTTGAAATTATATTTTTTCCACTTGACCGCACTAGTAATGTGTCGTAATGTTTCACATTACATATTGCTAGTAGATGAATAGTATATTGTGCAACAAGTGTGAAAAACTATTCTTTTTCTACAATTGCACTTCAAAGAATTCGAGTAATGTAACTTATTGTAATGTGTCACTATGCCACATTGAATATTGTGACCAAATATATTGTGTGTAAACGCCTTTTCTAGTGCCAATTCATACTTTCCTCCTAGGAACTAAAATTCAACTGTAGCTCCTAGGAACTAAATATCTTGCCTAGCAACATACCTATTTTTGTGTCAGTAATAGAAACGTCAATTTAAGAGCTAATTTTGGTATCAAAATGGACGACTTTTGTGTCGGTTGCATTAAAAATATATTTCTCACAGTATGGGCAATACATACATGGTTTGAAAACTGAGTAAGCTATGAGAAATGCGCTACTTTTCATAGCAGTAGTAGAAAAATAAAATTTGTCTTTACCTTACAACCCCTGTATGAACATTTCTGATACATCGCTGTTACGCTTTCGTCAGATCTATCTAATTTATCATCTTTTTGAGGAATATTATCTGTAGGTAAAATATTGTACAGTGTGTCAAGTATTCCATGCTATTGCGCGATATCGCATTTATTTTTGGTGATGGAGTTTTGCGGTCTTCACATTACTGCCTTACTTTTTTGTGAGATAGTACAGGGCGAAGTTGAATATTCTCACATTTTGGGATCGCGCAATAGCATCGAAAACTGGATACACTGTACTATATTTCATTTTACGATGATCGCTAGCCTCGTTTGACAAATTTTCCATGCCATATCGTAATATAAGGTTGATATGAGGCTTTACGATACTTATATCCAAAACCTCAATCATTAAAAGAGGGAGATCAAACAGATCTGATTTTGTGTGTATAGAGAAGAAAATGAGAGAATGTATTTCTTCAGAATTTAATCATTCCTCTTCGAACCATTATCAAGATAATCTCTTGCTGAGCTCTTAGTGGAAGTAATGAAAACTGTCTACAAATTAGTTGAATTGGCAACGTAGCGATTCCGATCACTGTGAATGCTTTTTACCCCTTCCTGCGCTCTCGTGTACCGTGTACGCACGAATTCGAACTAGCTTCTAGAGACAGGACGCAACAAATGAATCCGGTTTTTACACAAAAATAAGAGTAGGAAAAGCAGGATCCGAACCCGGAACCTTCAATCGATATTAGTATTTAAATAATCTATTTTTTCATCGATATTATTAGCTTGACAAAAATAATTACTTTTTTTGACATACGAACTTGCGATAAGAGATATTCAAATCAAATGTCCACAAAAAAATCCTGGAGTTCGAAATACTCAAATAATAATTGATCGTCAGTATTCGAAGTTCACCTGTTTGTCTACACAACAAAGTAACGTTGACAGTTGTTTCAGTAAGGAGTCTTACTTAATTATTTCGAAGTACTAACCCTAACTCTTCCCCAGACCCAGAGCTCTGTACATTTGTTTAATAATTATTGAAATTCACGATATTTCGTTACATGAAAAATGCGGGAAAACGCGTGATGTAATCATCCGAAAAAATTCTACATACGTATCTATTCTCTATTTCTGTAAGACAAGTGCAAGAAATGTAGATTGGCAATCAAATCAAAATAAGAAAATGGTTCGCCGCCTCAGAAGGTGCTCGCCCTAGACTAGTGAATTTTCTGGACTGAATACTTACAGAACAGAACACACAACTGAAGAATCAGATAATAAGAGGAATATCTTTGAATATTCGCATCTTGACTAGATGAAACAACGATTTGAAGATGAAGGTGACGTTAGAAAGTTAGGTTGACAATGTAGTTTGTTTTCTTCTTTTCTTCTTGTATTTCTGGGAACTCTAGGCATTACGCTGTTGCCAGTGCCACGAAATAATGTGGGTTTAAATAAAATCTCGTTCATTATTAGGCATGCTAGGATATTTTTATTGGTACTGAAGCATCTTTCAAGTATATAAGTATTCAATAAGTGATTATTGGGGACAATGTCGAATTATCGACTTCTGTGAATGTGAATACTGTTGTCATTGGTCATATTGAATCTCATAATTCAATCACTTGTTACAAATCTTGCAGCGTCAAAATATGTGGTCCTTTTTTTATGCGAAAGCCAGAATTCAGATACGGATGACTTTCGGTTCGGTTCATTACGTCATCAGAAAATACATATTTATTATACAGGGTATTGAGAAAAATATATTTTTTTCAATTCATCCTGATTTCAAATATATGATATAAGATCAGTGCATTCCATTTAAAAATTATATATATTTTCTGAATTCCCTGTATATTTGAAGAGATATTGCAACACTGTCACTATGATTGGAACCTATATGAAAAATCATTGTATAAAATCTTTATCAGATTTTTTTTATGGGTGAAACACAAAGAAGATAAAGAGGGGTTCACATTAATGAAACTAGCCCTGTACGTGATTGATATGGGCGTGATGAACCCGCCGAAGAAGGCCTGCCCTTGTGAAACAGCCCAGATTCCAAAAACGGTTTCCCAAGGTACCCAAGTAGTAAAAATCTCTCTGGTATTCAAGAATAGGGTTTTTATTTTCTTGAAGCAATATTTTTTTCATGGCGTTGAGAATAATGAATCGGGTCAGGTCATATTGGAAAATATTGGAATAATGTTTTTTTGATACTTTTTTATTTGAAATTCACGTGTATGCGTTTATCAATGAATCCCTACCACTCTTAAGCATACAATTTCCCTTTATAAAATGGATAAAAAATATTTTAATAATCACAATATGTGCATGTTGAATCAATTTCAGAAGGAACATCTGAAAATTCTATTTTTGTCACCATTTAAGACTATTACTATACAGGGTGTTTCACAGGTAAAGGGAAATATTTCAATGGTAGATAGGGGTCACCAAGGTGGTTCTGAAAATACCATATTTGATAGGTCTTAGAGTTTTCATAACGGAGATACAGGGCGATTTATCGGTTTCGAATAATTATTCATTCGTCTATAAGTATTGAAATACCCAGTATATTTTTCTAAAATTTGGTATGGAGCTTAAACTTGGGACGTTGAATGCATTCACCTATGAGGCGAAGTGAAAATCCAGGTTCGGCTTCAGGAAAAATTTATATTTATTCGAAATATTAAAATATCACACTGTATGTAATAATTGACAAAGTTCATCAAAGGAATCGTGAAGAGGAGGAAAAACTGAACTGGATTCGATGCTTTTTGTTTTCCCGCCACCAATTCTCACCGTAACAATCATAAACAGGAAGCTAAAAGTATGTCAATTTCAAGAGTATTAAAATTATGAAACCACTTTCAATTATGATTATTTGATATATTTTAGTCAAAAAATCGCCCGAAAGAACTTACTAAGTCTCACAATTTTTATAACGGAGATACAGGGTGAATTATCGGTTTTGAATAATTATTCACTCGTCCATAAGTAAAAAACTACCAAGTAACATTTTCTCAAATATGGTATGTAGCTTACTTGGGACGATGGATTCATTAACCTATCAGGCGGAATTATAATTCGATAATTCACCCTGTATCTCTGTTATAAAGACTATGAGACTCTTCCTGAAGCTGAACCTGTATTTCCATTCTGCCATAGGTCAATGAATCCATCGTCCCAAGTAAGCTCAATACCAAATTTGAGAAAATATTACTGCCATGGGTAGTTTAATGCTTATGGACGAGTGATAATTCACCCTGTATCTCTGTATCTGTTATAAAGACTGTGAGACTAAGTAAGTTCTTTCGAACGATCATTTAACAAGAATATATCAAATAATCATAATTGAAAGTGGTTTCATAATTTTAATATACTCTTGAAATTGACATACTTTCAGCTTCCTGTTTATGATTGTTACGATGAGAATTGGTGGCGGGAAAACAAAAAGCATCAAATCCAGTTCAGTTTTTCCTCCTCTTCACGATTCCTTTGATGAACTTTGTCAATTATTACATACAGTGTGATATTTTAATATTTCGAATAAATATTAATTTTTCCTGAAGCCGAACCTGGATTTCCACTTCGCCTCATAGGTGAATGCATTCAACTTCCCAAGTTCAAGCTCCATACCAAATTTTAGAAAAATATACTGGGTATTTCAATACTTATAGACGAATGAATAATTATTCGAAACCGATAAATCGCCCTGTATCTCCGTTATGAAAACTCTAAGACCTATCAAATATGGTATTTTCAGAACCACCTTGGTGACCCCTATCTACCATTGAAATATTTCCCTTTACCTGTGAAACACCCTGTATAGACTGTCTCGAACATCTCATTACACGCTCTTTAAAGCATGTGGACACGCTTGTCACCACTAACATTTCCGAATTCTGGAATCGACGGCCTTCAAATGCTTGCTGAAATCGTACGTGATCAATTTGGGCGTGATGAACCCGCCAGAGAAGGGCCCGCCCTTGTGGAACAGCCCGGCGCCCGATAGGGGCACCGCCTGGAGCGACTCGAGCTTTTGGGCGTCCAAAAAGGGCACCGTCGTCTGCCCGGCGTCCCTGTTCAGGTCCGTATTGGTGAACTCGATGTATTGGTCACTCCACGAATCCGGTACGGAGGGGGAGGGAGACCTGATGGGGATGTCCGGCTGGTTGAGGTGCACTTTCGTCCTGGAACGTGAGATGAATTAGTTACGAACATAATTTTTTTGTGATCTTGAGTTGGTTAGAGTGACTTTGGCAACATTGCTAACGCACATCGACATCTATTGTCGGATGGTTCGGGTTATCCATCTGTCTTGTTCTCTCTATTCATCAGTATAACGATTTCTATTTCACTTTGTCAATGTCTCTGTTTTTTGCTCTTTGAACACAAAACATATAACAATCAGACATCAAACTGTATACGTCGGTTCCTTGGCTATCAAGTATTAATATCCGTCGTAGGCGACTCGTGAGTCTCAGATCGAAATGAAAATATCGAATATCTAAACCTAACATCAGATGGGCACTTCGAAGGCGCAAATTCATTACTCCATCGGAGATACCCTTCAGATTTTTAGCTATTCGGTGACTTGATCACAAATGACATTCCGAAAACTACAGCCATTTGGAGGTCTATTGTCGTCCCTTTATTTAACCTACGCACTGTAGTAGGTAACAAGTGACTGGGTCTATACAGCCCTCTACTTTTGTGGCTCACACGTATTGGTGAACTCGATGTATTGGTCACTCCACGAATCCGGTACGGAGGGGGAGGGGGACCTGATGGGGATGTCCGGTTGGTTGAGGTGCACTTTCGTCCTGGAACGTGACATGAATTTTTCTTGTGACTTTCTATGGAGGACTTTGCTCCAAGTTGCCAACCTAAAAACCCCTACCACTAGGGCTGCGCGATATTGGATTTCAGTTATTGGTTATCGATAAGTTGAAATTTGTCGATAAGTTCGATATATCCATATTTATCGATATATCGATATTTATCGAAATATCGATATATCGATTAATCGATATATCGGACTTATCGATATTTATTGATATATCGATGAATATCGATATATCGATTAATCGATATATCGGACTTATCGATATTTATCGATATATCGGACTTATCGATATTTATCGATATATCGATATATGTAGTTCAAAAAATATGTTGCAATCATATAGACTTATTGACATATACCTACTCATTAGAAACGTAATGCGAATAGTATGCGGTTTGTTTTGCTGAATCTCAGTAATTTGAAGTACGGCCACTTCGAATTATTTAGAAGAAAACATAATGAATTGTTTGATACATCAAATCAATTCGAAATTTTGAGATAGAGGATAAGGATCAAAAGCACTTTTCATTATACGAGCCCTGTCTCAGTGAAGTTGGCCCAAACTAGAGTTCCTGAATTTATCTGACTCAGATACATTGAGGAACTCTAGCCCAAACTAACAAAACTGTGTTTTTTCTGTGACGGGAAAAAAGTTTGGCATTTCATCCCTGTTGGCAGGTTATAAAATGTCACTTTTCATAAATTACTTTTTTCCCGTGGGAAAAAAGTGAGTACTTTTTTCCCGGATATATATCACATATATAAACACTGTTGATGGCTTTCGTTGTGCTATAGTTCCGAAAAATGAGTCAATAATACCGTCTCCGAGAAAGAACTGCAAGTCCTTTTATCTTCCATTCGACTTCGCGGTTACGTATATTGCTAAATAACCACTGAATTCGCAATTTCTTGAAATAAAATCACAAAATTAGACTGACAGAAGTGACATCAGATATTTGATTACTCCAAATGAATGATAAAGATGCCTACAACGCGGTGTCCCTACTGTTAAAAACTTAAAATTTCACGTCGATAATTTTCAGATTTCAAAATAATGTAAGATCTTCTCAATATTGATTCGTCCTTTCTTCTGTCACAGAAAAAAATAGTGTATTATACACGGGAAAAATATTAGATTTTAGCTCACGGTTTGTTGTCTCCCTCCGCTACGCGTCGGGAGACAACACAACCTGAAGCTAAAATCTACTACTTTTTTCCCTTGTATAATAAATAACTATTTTTGAAGAAACATATACTGGTTGATGAATTAAGTTGCTACTCCTCCCAAAGCCATGTAAATCCCTTTCATAGAATACATTCTATATCGTATTACAGTGAATTCCTTATAGTTAGAAATGTTAGAATATCGCCTGTAACATTTTCAAATTTGCAGATATACGAGGGGAAGCTATAATATATTATATTAAATTGAAGATAATCGAAATTTCACATCTTGCATAATATAATAAAAAGCATTTCGATATATTGAGTTATTGGAGATTCGGAACTAGGGCTGCGCGATATTGGATTTCAGTTATCGGTTATCAATAGGTTGAAATTTATCGATATTTATCGATATTTATCGATATATCGATATTTATCGATATATCGATATTTATCGATATATCGATATTTATCGATATTTATCGATTTATCGATATATCGATATTTAAAAACTTAAATATCGTTATTCGATATATCGATATATCGATATATTTATCGATATATCGATATTTTATTCCCAGCCCTACCTACCACTGTAGAAGCAATATTATGAAAGTTTGATTACTCAAATAGCTTTACGTTGGTTCAATTTGATTGTAGGCGTCTACTCAGCTTTGTAATGAAAGTTATTCAGAAGAAAAAATAGTTTTTGCGAACTTCACATCTGACTGGTTGAAAATCATGTTGGTGCGTCTAGGGTCCTTTGATGCAAATTGACGTATTTGTCATCTATCAGGGTACGGACAGATCATAGCTCCTTTCTCTTTTAATCATCTAGTGACTTTGGTTTCGTGTGTTGGCGTCCCTGAGTTGACATTGCTGTCACATCACTTTCATAGGCGTTTAAAGAGATTTTATGAAATTTTAATCTCATACTTGATCTTAATACGACATCATTCAATTTTGTTTTGGAATGATGATAAAATGTGCTGCGTTAGGCTGTATCAATCAGTTGGATAGCAAATTTGAATTTGTCAGATTTCCATCAAATGCAAATGAACTTAGAACATGGAAAGTGAAGTGACCGAATGGCAAAAATAGGTATACTTTTTAGGGTACGGAATCAAGTTCCTATAAAATGTCTCAAATCTATATACTCCTCTTTGATCTATTATAAACTTGCATATTCGATTTCTGTATGGGGTTCAACAAAACTATCAATTAGAAACCTTCTCAAAACTCTTCAAAATAAAATTATCAAATGCATATATAGACAAAATTATTCGGAACCTACTATGAACCTTTACAGAAGAAGAGAATTATTAGATATAGATTTGATATATAAATTCAAAGTAATGTCATTCATCCATTCAGTTGAATATTGTCAAAAGCATTCAAATTTGGTTTTCCAAATTAATAGTGATCACCACAACCATACAACTAGACAAGCAGATCATTTTTCTGTCAAGAAAATTAAATCAGATATTGGTAAAAAATCCATCTATCACAATGGAATGATACAATACAATTCACTACCAAATAACTTGAAGCTGATCAATAGGATTGAAAAATTCAAAAGAGAATTCAAGAAACATCTACTCCTGTAATATTGACATCTTATCTCATTTTTATAGTTTTCTTGTACAACAACTATAGTTTTCTATTGGGTACCTAACAGCTGAGTCAATTGAAAATCATTTTCAGTTGAACTTGAGTGCGAGTCTTATTTTACTGTCTTCTTTATTTTATTTTGTCAAATATATTGTGTATTCACCATGTTCCCTGCTATAAACAAATGTTGTTTCTTGGGAATAATAAAGTTGATTAATCGATTGAAAACGTATTGAACTTTCAAGAAAAATTTGCTCACTGCCTCACATTATGCTTGAGTTGAAAAATCAAAAACTCGAAAATTATCATCATCATTTGGATATAATATGTAGAGTTGAATGAGAAATTACATGTGGAAATTACGTATGATACGCCAACGTCCTCAACATAACCTAAAAAACAACGAATGTCAGAAATCTAGTATTTATCCCCAGAAATGAATAAAGATGGAACTATATAACTGTTTCACAAACACTTTAGAGTGAGAAGAGACGAGGATCTGTCCGTACCCTGTTAAGATGACAAATACGTCAATTTACATCAAGGGACCCTAGATGCGTCAATACTGAAATGTCAATACTTTCAGTCGTGTCACGAGTAAAACATGGTATATCATGTAATGTTTGAAACACGTTCGAACTTTTGAAAAATGATCAGGAAAATCTCAAGAGAAACGTGCAAAGCTATATATAACGAACTGGATGTGAGGGTTCCAAGTTATCTGGACTGGTGCTACTCTCTACTCGTCGTAATGGTAATCAATATAACATTGTTATTAGGTCTTTATATTTATTTTGATCATTAATATTTCCTCACTACCCGTAATAGGTATATCATGCTATAATGAATATTGTGATATTCGAATAGTTTTCTGAATTCTGCTACCAATTAAATATCTGTGTCTAATTATTTTAATAAAGGTATCTTATTTTGATATTGTTGTATTCCGACATTTGTGACAATATGTATCTCTATTATTGCAAACTTTGACCAGTTTGTATTCAAGGGGAGCCAAGTAACCTTCAAAAGTATTCATTGAACGATTTATTCTCCCTATTGTTATTTTTTAACTAAGAAAACACTTTTATCACATAAGTATGTCGGTATTTTTATTTATGATATCGACTATGATATCTTCGTTTCCAAACAGTTGTGGTTTCATCCACTTGAAGACACTTCCTTGGGGTATTTTTTATTTCAGAAGGTTGAAACTTCATTATTATATCCTTACTAAGTCATGTCCGGATCGATTTTTAGCACTCAAATATACTACTTCCTACTGCAACGATCAAACTTCTTTACCTAATAGTGATGAATAATACTGTTGTCAATAAATAAAATAATCTTAAATACGTAACAAAACTGTGACAAGTAATAAAATTGACGACGATATGACATATTGGAATGAAAACAGGTGCATCAACATAATTTTCAACTAATCAGAACTGGAGATCACAAAAATCAATTTTTCTTCTGAATAACTTCACTTCATCAGCTGAGTAGACTCCTACATCCTACAATCAGATTTCATCGAAATGAAGCTATTTGAGTAATAAAACTTTCATAATGTTGCTTCTACATTGGTGGAGGTTTTTAGGTGGTTGGCAACTTGGAGCGAACTCCCCCATTGGTTAGAGCTACTTTGGTATTATTGCTAATGCATTTCAACATCTATGGGTTATTGCGTGCAAGATCTGTCAGATGACCGACTCTGGAAAAATTCAGCGATATGCGAAGGAGTTTTCAGGTAGGTACATTGTGATGTAAGAGTACTCTATAGGTAGTCACTCTCACGTAGATTTTATTTTAAAATTTCGCCATTTCTCCTTGGAATCCCTTCTGCAATAGTAGCCAATAGAAATGAAACGAGATGAGTGTGTGTTGTAGATATTTTCACTCTATTAGCAGTATTAGCACCGTGTAAAAGATGGCAGAAGGTTCTCAGTTAGAACGACAGTATAGGCAAGAACACTAATATCTAGAAACAATTCTTTGAAGTTCATCACGATGAGAAAAGGCACATATAATTCTTTATTTTTTTCAATTTTTCCATTATATTACTTCTAGATTTCCCAAAATAAATTCCCAAAAAGATGCTCCCGTTAGAACATGACGGAAAATCATCAGCGGTACTGACGTCACAAATACTATAACACGCCGACCGTCTATTGGTAGTTGAACGACTTCGATTCAGTGAAGTAGGCAGCGTTGCCGTCTCAACGATTCAATAGCATTTGTGTTCTTGACTATTTTCAAATCAAACTTACCTGGGATTCGAATTTGAAGAATCTGTATTTGGGTTATCTTTCCAAACACTAGTACTCCTAGGATTGACAAGTTTTCCCGTGTCGAAATCAAACTCTGTCACGTATATTTCCAAATTCAGATGGGAACCTATTTCCTTGAAACGAATACCTGAAAAATAATATCGTTATGGCATCGGATAATACATGATGGCCAAAGCCTGTATAATGGTACTACAACTAGAGCATTCTGCAGACAAGTGGTTTCCATACACCAAAAGCGTTAAATGGGGAAGTTAGATTAGATTAGATTTGGAATGGGGCCTTCGGGCTATCTGCCTCCACACTGCGACCTTTTCAGATCTATTGTGTCTGCCCTCAAAATCGATTAGAGTTCTTCGGCTAGCCCCGCCTTCTCTATGAGACTCCATAGGCTAGCTTGCAGATCTCCTGTGTATCTCTGGGCTCCTGGTTTTTTCCTCACCCAGTGTATGGAACCTTAGTCTTGACAAGCCCTCACATTGGCAAAGTATGAGTACTGCTGTTTCCTCTTCTTCCTGACAGAACCTGCACAGCAGTTCTTCAGTCCATGTGTTTGTTGAGCCTACAATGCCCTATGAGAAGTCCCACTAGTATTCTAGTTGAACTTCGTTTCTGGCTTAGTAGATATTCTGTGTTGGCGATGGTTTTTTAATAAACTCTTTAACCTGTCTCATTCCTGGCGAGTTGTTCCACCATTCTTGAGATTTGGTTTGCATCCATGATTTGATACTAGTCTTTTGTATAGCTTTCGCTATACAATGGGGAAGTTTCCTTCAGATGAATTTTTATAAAATTAGTTCGGAACTCTCCAGTTTTATGTCCACGCTGTACAGAATGGCGACCGATAAAGTCCAAGTCATTTTCATTTTCAAATTAAAACAATTATAAATTTTCGGGGCGGCAAACTGTGACGTACATTCTGAATCTAGTCTGGAAATAGCTGATGGGGAAGAATATAGCTAGCAAATAGCTTACGAATAGCTAACGAATGAAAAACGAAATAAAAAATAAACGAATAAGTAGTATAACTGGTAAACAAAAACATACATAACCACAAACGCACTCGGAGCAGGAATGCAGAGGGTAGTTGGCTTCATTCTGACAGGTTATGGTTTTGTTATTTATGCATTGAAATATCTCGAATAGAGATATTAGGGGGCCAGGTAGCCGTGCGGACAGAGTGTACGGACAGAGGGTATTCTGATTCGCATTCGCTTGCAGAAATTTTTCTGATGGCCCAAGAAAGTGTTTGGGATCTTTAAAAGGTAAGGCCCCCGTCATTCCTTGCTCGCACAAGTATCTCGAAGACTTCTGAGGGTTGCTCGTAAGGGGGCAACCGAATGACGGATAGAACAATTTTAGAACAACAATTTTAGAGCTCGATCCTATACATTGAATCAATGAATCACTATCGGTTCCATTCAATGATACTATCCTTCCTAATTTACTGCCATCGGTCAGAACAGAATGAAGCCGACACCCATGGCTCCTTCCTGTTGTTGTGCCTGTCAGTACTTTGAGTGATGTTGACGGACCCGAAGTATAAGGCGCTGTTGCAAGATATAATCTGCAAGTTTCCTAGAAAATTGATCCGTTTTATTAAAGAACGAATTCATTAGCAAAAAAATGACTGGCAAGTTATGAATAACATATTGTAATATAACGATAGTGAAAAATTATAGATACTAACTCAAAATATTATAATTTATCTTTATTAGTCATCAACTTCATTCAGCCAATGAGATCTATGGGAATTATTCATAAAACTTGACAAAGTAGGATTGCAAAACCTATTATATCCCATTGCTGTTATGATATAGCTAATATGCATTCAAATAACAATTTCCGGAAATCTAGACATATTGATGATGTCGGCAACGTCGTACTGGCACAGGGAATCGTATTTTAACTGTATGAATAGGGATTTTCAGAAAGTAGAAAATAAGAATGATGGAGGAACCAAGTTCCTCTTTCATTTATTTTTTTCTGAAGTGAAATTTGATCTTACGAAAAAAAGAAAAAAAACGTATATATTATTTTTTTACAAACTTCACAGTGAGATAAAAATCTCAATATAGGAAACTTCGCCATTGTCGCAAACCGTGGGAGGCTGATGCGGCCTGATGGACCGAAACAGTTCGGCCTCTGACTCGTTGAGACATTGGAATTCAAAATGGAAATGTATCGAATTATTTCTTCAGCTTGGAAAATATTCGTACCGGTGAGTATATACCCAGGACCAGCTTCTAGATCATCAAGATCTAGAGCTCGATTTTCCCAAGTGAACGTGTGATAGTCTTGATGGTTGTAGATTTTTCTGTCAGTTATTTTGTACCCTTCAACCGGCACCCAATGGACTGTGCTAATATCAACACGACCTCTCTCCATCAATTTTCCTTCTTGAATTTGCAGATGGATAATACGGTTTTTCTTGACAAATCTCAGTCCAGTTACAATCCTTGAAGGAGTTCAAAATTAGACGGAGGATGTTCAGGATATACATTTTCAACTTACATGTTATTGTCAGTATCAGCGATAGAAGGCCTCATATTCACGTATCTGTCAGAATGGCTGCCTTGTTCGTCACAAAGGCAGAAACAATACGAGCATTGCCAAAACAGCCACCTCGTCCAACTGTCCGCCTTGGTCGATCCTCTTCTGCATCTCTGTTTTCGACCGAAAACTCTACCGTTGTCATATTCGATGTATTCGTAACGACGACCGCTTAATGGATTCTAAAATACATATTTTAGTAGACGAGTCTGCAAATTGATAGCCGAAGCTATCAATCAAGCGAGACAATATACTAATCCAGTGAATATAGAAACATAGAGGGGGTTCACCTTACAAACGGTCCCGTAGTTCTGAATTTTTGATATGTTATCTAGGATGCTTATTAAGTGTTTGAAATGCAAAATGCACAATTCTCCCTCCTCCGCGCCCTCCGCCATATTGATAAAACCCAAAGAAATCGGCACTTCCTCCAGATTTTCGCTTATATCTTCGTTTTGGTGCATTTTAGCTACAAATGAGTTCCATTCAATGTTGTAGAGGATTAATTTTCCTATAATGCTCGTTTCGAATTTTGTTTCTAGGACCGATAGTTACGGAGAAATGATTTCTTTATGAAATAAAAAGAACGCATGTTCCGGGATTTTGTCAAGTACGTTCAGCGACACTACAGATCCTTCTCAGCAAGGGACCAAGATTGCTGAACGAGCAAGAAGGTACAAGGCAAACTCATCATCAGACGTGGTGTTTGACAAAACCACTGTCAACACCGTACCTCAAGATAAATTCCTGGCCAATGTGGGGAACAAGGACCGATTTGTAAAGCTGCTCTGCAATGGAATGAAAGCGTCAAATATAGCCACAGACCAAGCTTCCGAAGATGCTGACAGATTGATAGCTGCCACAGCTAAATGTCTGTCCCCCACGACTCCGTCATCATTGTCGGAGAAGACATTGACCTACTCGTCCTACTGACTGGCACAACACCTGCGGTAAACAATGTCTACCTCAAAAAATCAGCGAGAGGGAAACATCCAGACGCAATCTACTCCGCCTCCACCTACAAGTACAACTCCAAAGGCTGTATCTTGCTCCTGCATGCAATATCGGGCTGCGACACCACATCTAACATTTCTGGTGGCAGTAAAGAACATTCGTTGAGCTCCCTTCGCTATAGCAGATTGAAAACAAGTACCACCAAACAACTCAATCTGGCTAAACTACCTCCAACCACTGACTCCGCATATTTCCACTTCCTGAGGACATACCACCAGGTCATGGAGTGGATGGAGATTGTCAAAGACCCTATCGAGTGGGGTTGGTGGATAAAAGCTGAAAGACTGGAGTCCATCAGGATGAGTAGAGACGCTGCTTCCCCAAACCTGATCAAGACAAAAAATTGTACATGCATTACTGTAGGTAATTGAATACCCTACAAATCTTCTGTCGATACTTGTTTCCCTAGAATAAGCCATAAGTGATCTACAGCGTTCTAAAGTGAGAAGTTTGACAAATCCAGAAAATGCGATTTTTTACATTTTTTAAAAAGTGCATATCTCCGTGACTATCAGTCCTAGGATCAAAATTCAGAACGTGAATTACAGGAAATTTAATCCTCTACAATACTTAATGGGACTCTTTTGTAGCTGAAATGCACCATAACGATAATATAATCGAAAATCTGGAGAAAGTTCCGATTTTTTTCGGTTTTTTCAATATAGCAGTGGGCGCGGAGGAGGGGGAATTGTGCATTTTGCATTTTAAACACTCCATAACCATCCTAGATAACATATCAAAAATTCAGAACTACCGGACCGTTTGTAAGGTGAACCTCCTCTATTCATTGGATTATACAGTTTTTCGCATATTTTTTTTCGTCAACCTCAAACTCCGTGAATAATTAATTCGAAAACAACAAATGGCAACTGTTGTGAACTCACTCTCTGCGCGGACCAGGGTTGCCACTGTTGCCAGTTCGATTTTTATTCCATCAGTAAGTACCTTGTCAAAAATTCAGTAGAGTTCAATAGATCTGTTTAAGATCCATTTTATGCTATTCGAATTCCAAGTTAGGATAATGAAATAAACCTATGATATAATTCATATCTAAGATTCATCGAAGTATTTGATGATATCTATTATAAATGGCGCAGTCGGTAGGATTATTATTTTTCATTAATTAATGTTTTTATCTTACTATAGCAACATAACTTATTCAAAATAAAAGATAAACTGATATGGATAATACAGGATCGTATCCTACATATGACATCAAAACATTATGTACTTTTAGTAAGCAGAAAAGTAACCTATTTCCAAAAAAAATTGAAACAAACAAAACAAAGCATTCTCATACACAAATAATCATATTCCTAATTCTCAATTCAAAAATACTCACAAATATCACAAAAGACAGTTGCATAGGTACTTATAAGATTTGAGTATATTTAAAACAGGAACGAATGGTAAAAATGAACAACAAAAATACAAAACAAACAAAAAAATTAAACATAAGCAACAAACTGTTATAACAGAGGTATATAAAAAATTGAATTTGATCTGAATCAGATAAAATATTGAGAGGTAACTTATCTCTGGTGTATACATATCATTAGTACCTATATGTACCTTTATTACTTATTTTGTAAAATTAATTTGAACAGAGCGTGCCGAAATATCCGACAATGTTTAAGTGTATGTGATTAACTAAAGATTAACAATGATATAGGTAATTATAATAATAAATAAGTGTCAAAATATTTTTCAGTAGAACAATATGTAAATCAGGAGAACTACTGTAAATTCAGTAGAACCGGCAACCCTGCAGCGGACGAAAAGTGATTTCGGACGAAAAGTTAGTGTCTGCGGACGAAAAGTACTTTATTTCGGAAATGGTCGGTTTTTCGTTCGGTTATTAGAACGTAAAATGTGTTCTGTAGAGGTCGAAAAACTGATTTTAGATCGAAAAACAAACATTTTCCACCACTTGCCCTGGAACCCACTGTTATTTTCTCATTTTCAAGTAGTCTACTGGTATATCACTACCAAGGAAGTTTTATCATTTTATTGACTGTTCCTTCTTAAAGTCATAAAAGTCATAATGCAATAATTAATTTGAATTCACATTGAAATGCGATATTCTCGAAAATTTAACTAAGTTATCACTCAAGAATTCTACGACTTTTCAAGCAGATAAAAACAATCATTTCTTTTAATTTTTATGACTATTGATCTGCGAAAAGTGTATCGCTATATAAATTGAAATGGGTGTTTGTACCCTATTTCTATTTTCCATCTACGACAATGAATAATGTGGCAGAAAATCTAACCTCTAAAAGCGTATCTGACAATCAGATGCTACTCGGGAAATTGAGAAGACAAAGAGCAGAATATATGTCTTAGGACAGAAGGACAGAAGTTTAGCTGTGTCCGAACTATTATCAAACTAATGCCATCCAGTGAATCTACCTTCTACCACAGTTGAGAGAATGTAATATTCTCTCAACTGTGCTTCTACTTACCGCAGGACAAATAGACATGTCGGCGTCAATGTACTGGCAGTTTATGATTTTACCATTGCATCTCCTCTGTTGTCTACAGTAAAGGTTATCGAAACAGTCGTAGCTCTTTGTAAATGTATATTCGGCGCAGTTACCTCTACAAGTACCTTCCGAGTTGAGATCCACTTCATTTTGGACAAAGCCTTGCAGGAGTTGTGTAATTTCTTCATAGGTCTCTCCTGAAAAAGAATGAAAACTCGTATGGTCACAAGGTTTTATTCAATTTCAAGTATAGATTGAGACACCTTTCTTTCGAACTATTTATCTCGCATAGAAATCCTCGCAGTTGCAATAATTTAAATGGCATGCTCATTGCTCACAAAATGAGTTTGCGAGGAAGCCTAGGTAACAATAGTGAAGGTTACAGAATGATGTATGTACCAACAGACCAGGAGATCGAAGAGTAACAACGCAGTCTGATAACTCCTTTTTTCTTTGAGGTTATGGGAGTACCTATACAAGGAAGCGCCTAGGATTATTTTCGGGAGGGGGGGAAATCCTGATACAACTTTTGTTTAACTGAAGGAAAAAAGGTCGGAACTTTTTTTTTTATCGCTTGGAGCAAACGAAAGGGAATCCCTATAATGTTCAAAGAACATTGTGCATTCCTAGGGAGGATAGGGACAGGAGGTACCTAGGTATTGGAATTTTTTTTGAACTTTTGGAGATTAAATGTTGGGAATACTTCCACAGGCAATGAGTTCCAGAGCCTAGCCGTTCTATGGATGAAGGAGTCTTGATAAAGTGCTGTTCGACATCTTTCGAGGCTGACAACGAAAGGATGTGCTGACTGGGCTTGTCTAGTTCGTCTGATTGGTATTGCTAGTGAAGGGGTGATAGCAGAGATTTCCGAAGAACATTTCCCGTGGAAGTATCGATAGAAAAGTGAAAGGTCGCCGACCTTTCTACGGTGTTCCAATGATGACAAAGAGTGAATGAGTGTGGCGTCACTCACCAGGCGGATGGCTCTCCTCTGGATGGAATCTAAGAGCATCAGCGTATGTTTTGGTGCTGAACCCCATATGTGGGAACATTATTCTAGAACAGGCCGTATCTGCGCTTTGTAGATCATGAGAAGCTGTTGAGGTGTAAAGTAGCTTTTCGCACGGAACAAGAATCCGAGTTTTTGTGAAACAGCTTTTGCGATAGATCTTACATGATTATCCCATGAAAGAGTGTTGCTGATGGAAATACCGAGCATAGATATGGTGGGCTTGGTGGGGATGGTGGTGCCAGACATTACAATGTCGGGCATACTGAGTTCCGCCTTTCTAGAGAAAATACAGGCTTGAGTTTTGGTGGCGTTGAATTCAACTAGGTTGTTGGTTCCCCAGGCTGTGATTTCAGCAAGGTCTTCATTGACAGCATTGACCTGCCTGCGCCGTGAGTTCTTAGTTTCCTGGGGAAGAAATGGGAATTCTGGAAGAGAACGCAGTATGGAGGGTACTATCATCTGCAAAGCTGTGGATGGGGCAACTTATTACTCCCAACAGATCATTGATATGAAGAAGGAATAATGTTGGTGCCAAAATTGATCCTTGTGGAACGCCAGAATTGATGCCAATGGTATCAGACGATACACCGTCCACCACCACGTGAAGCGATCTGCCTGAAAGGAAACTCGATAAGAGATGGCATAGCTGAGGTGGTAAGCCGTATGATGGTAGTTTGTGGAGTAGTCCTTCTTGCCAAACACGGTCGAATGCTTTCGATATGTCCAACGCGACAGCTAGAGACTAGGCCATTAAGAGAAGTTGGAAGTTTGTACTCACATCACAAGCGGTGAGCCCATGAGGAGCTTTTGACTGACTACTATCCAAGATTTTGTACAGTATTTTATCGGCTCAAAGTTGAAATACATCGAATATGACAAGTCTAGTGATAAACCCGAAAACTATTACAGGCACTGTTCAGTGCAATGACGATACTGTGTATCGAATGAGCTTGACCTATGTCTCTTTATGGAATGTATAGTCCTCAAGAAGAGCACACGACATTTCTTGTGAAAGTTTCTCAGATAGTATTTGACCAGTTTCTGTTTCAGTCATTTGGGTAGCAACCAACCGACTAACCTTTAACGTGTTTTTTGGGATCACAGTTCCACAGCTGCCTGGAAGCATTCGTCATGACTTTCCTCATGACTTCTATCGCTTTATTCGTTCGTTCTTCGTATCTATCTATCATCACTTGTTCTTCACCGGTGAAATTTCCTGCAATTGAAACGAGAGAGATAATCTTCACTACGTCCAAGATAATGTAATCTATAGGTAGGTACCTTTTTTGTATTGCCTGTGAAACATGTACGAAAATTGTATCATGATGTGGCCTTTAAGTTCCGTTATTGCTATGGTATTATATAAATTGTAAAGGACTTGTTGAGGTGATTGCTTCGCATGACAGAACATGTCTCCTCCTACTTCCTATAAATAAGAATATGCATACAAAAGTTATTTATCATACAAGGGAAAAAAGTAGTAGATTTTAGTTCCGGGTTGTGTTGTCTCCCGACGCGTAGCGTAATACACTATTTTTTTCTGTGACAGAAAAAAGGGGCGAATCGATATTGAAAAGATATTACAATAATTGAATTCAAAAAAATTATCGACGTGAAATTTGAAGTTGCTAACAGGAATGATACCTACTAGTGTAGTAGATATGCGATAAAAAATGGTCTCAGGTGGAAATAATTCCCACAAAATATTTTTCTGCTTTTCTCAGTTCAGAATGCATAGAATATCACATATGGGAAAATATAGAATGATACCTTCGTGCGAAATAAAAATACAGTGTTTCCAATATTCGTTTATTCGTTAATACGTTTAAATCATAAACCTAATGAAAATGGCATATTTGGCATGTAACAGAAGTTCATTCATTATCTTCAACTTCCTCGATTGGTATATTGGTACCTTTCCGAACAATTATTGTACAATACTGTGCAAAAAATTTCGTATCGTCGACATTTACATCTGGTTTCACAAGGTTCATCTACTTCAGTTTTGCTAGTACTTCCGTACGTCATCATATAATACAGAAAACCCAAGCTCATGGAGTTCATCGACAAGTAACCGATATCGAAAATCTCGATGATACTGCACACCAACACCTAGACGAATTGAACTTATGATAGATCGTGACCTTGCAGCTTGCATTAGTGCCTGTTCAATTCTGGGGATTTTTTGTTGATTATTATATCCAAGAATATTTTCAAAATGTCGGGTAAAAGCTTATTATTTTCCTGCTCGGAACTTATTTCTTCTGGGATAAAAGATAAAACTCTAAGGATGTTCTCATCAACTTGATTGAATTCTTAATCAGTTTAGCTGTTGCTTCAACTATCCGAAATTTTTCAGCATCAGGATCTTCTGAACACTTCTGTCGCTGATAATCACAAATTATATTGGCAACTGTTTTCCCTGTTACGATGATATTAGCTCTACCTTTTTGTCTCAATATCATGATGTCATCCGAGAAATATTCTTCTAATTTTTTATGCATACGACGAACAGTGTAAAGTTCGATATTTTCTGGGAGCAGCTCTCTCGGCAGCTCTGCCATTTTGTCCAGCAACTCCTGAACTGAAATTGGTTCATCATTTTTCTTGAGCCACCTGTATATTTCTAAAAAGGCATCTTCTTTATTTTTATCAGATGGACGTCCTGCTAACTTTGTCTGTTTATTGGGAATATCATGTTAATGTTTCTTAGGAATAGAGTCGCCTTTTCCAAAATTCACACTACATTTGTGATTATACAGAGCATCTGCTGCTGGCAAGTATCGATAACGGAAAGAAGTCGTGCGAGGACATTTGATAATCAAAAATCGTTTCTTGCATCACACACATCAATAATAGTTTGTCGAAACGCGAAAGTTCGTACTGGTCAAATTGCAGATTCAATTATTTTCTCAGTTTCCTTGATGAATTGGCCACAAAACAAGCAATTATCTTTGAACGCGAATGTCGGCAGCTCAGATCACAAAGCTCTGTTGCTGCTGCTGCTGCTGCTACTAGTTGATGCTTCCCTATCAGGATCTGATTTAAACCTGAGATCATTCTTCATCTTGTTCGGATTTACGTAAAAACGACGACATTCGACGTGAACTATTAAAGGATGAATAGGCACTGATTCCTAGAGTTCAATTATTTTGTCTTGCTTCTACTTGCTAGCACTTATAATTCCTTGGACACCTTTAGCAGTCAATTTAACACAATTCGAACTATCATCAGAACTTAACGAAAATAATAAGCATTTGTTATGTTCCATCGCTGCTTGATGATATATATCAAATAATGGAACCTTTCATTTACGATCACAGAGAGTAGTTTCAATCACATACCAAAATGATTGTTTCACACCTCGACAAGAATTTTGTGATCTGCTAACCATATTATCATTTTTAGGAAGATTATGAAATTCGTTTTAATCTCATACTGAAGATCCTAACATAGGTAGCGGAACATGTGTTGAGTTGTGAAAAAATCATTTCGGTTTGGGCACCTGAAATATGAAAAGTTGCATTAAAACATTTTTGCATGCAAGAATGCATCTATATTTTTAATATATAGTGTAAGGGGTCGAATGAGGCTTCAGAAAATGAAAACTGCGTTTTTGTGGAAATTATTTCCACCCCAATTCCTCCAACTGCTCTACTATACCTGCGTTGCAGGCATCTTTATTATTCTTTTGAAGTGATCAAATATCTGTCAGTCTAATAATTGTGTGATTCGATTTTAGAAAATTGCGAATCTAGTGATTGTTCAGCAATGTACATAACCGCGAAGTCGAATGGAAGATAAAAGTTCTTTCTCGGAGACGGTGTATTGGCTAATTTTTCGGAACTATAGGACGACAAAAGCTATCAACACTGTACACTGTGTCCGTAAAGTATGGAACAAATTCATTTTTAGCTAAACAGGTCATTTTAAGAAATAATCCTGAAACACGTCGATTTTTGATGTTAATTTACCGTATTTTAAAATAATAATCTAATATACAGGGTGAATTACGTACGAGTAATGACGTCACCGTCATTTTTTTGAAATGGAACACCCCCATTTTGTCTCAATTTTCGGATTACTCTAGCTGAGCTGATTCCAAAAATGTATCACATGTTGATTCCAATTGTTACAGGGTGGACAAAAATACAATAATTTTGTATGTGCTCATAAAGTAACGCGTAACATTCTTTATTAGGTAAATTAACAATATTATCGAAAATACTTATTGTCTATTAATTTACAATTGCTAGAAGTGCATCCTCAAAACTTGGTTTTCTGTTTCGGGCCAGGAGCAATTTCACTTGCAGTCAGCTGCTTATGATCTATAAGGCACAGATCCGACCTGTCCTGGAATACTGTTCCCATATTTGGAGTGCAGCACCCAAACATACCCTGAAACTGTTGGATTCTGTCCAAAAATGGGCAATTCGTCTCACTCACAAGCTCACTCACGTCTCTGAAAGACCATAGAAAAGTTGGCGATCTGGCTCTATTTTATAGATATTTTCATGGACGATGCTCTTCTGAAATATCAACAATTGTTCATCCCTTGGCAGTCCCCGCGAGATTAACTCGCCCAGTTGAGGCTTCGCACCCCTTCGTGGTCACTTTGGAGACCTGCAGAACATCTCTTTCCAAAGGCTCGTTCATCCAACGAACAGCGAGGCTCTGGAACACATTGCCAAGGGAGGTGTTCCTCGAGGCATATAACCTCCAGAAATTTAAGAAGAACACCAATTCCTACCTCATTTCTCTTGGTTCTCACGATGTTCTCTGAACATTACAGGATATCCCTTTTCGTGGGAACCAGAACATACAAAAAAAAAAACATTGCGCTCACTCGTCTCATGATAGTTACACCACTGTATAACATGAACATATTAGAAAATTTTGGCATTAGAGGAGTACCACTAAGCTGGATTTCATCTTTTCTTACGAACAGAAAACAATTTGTCTCGCTGCAGTTTGAAGAAGGAAATCGTATTAAAACTATATGTTCGGTTGGTAGGGACATCGAAATGGGAGTTCCTCAAGGATCCATGTTAGGTCCTATTCTCTTTATTTTATATGTGAACCATTTGGATTCCATTATTGAAACAGAAAATTACACTGCATATGCAGACGACTTTTCGTTAGTACTTTCAGCTAGAGATACTGCAACACTGAAATCAATATGCACTGAAACAATTCGGAAAGTATCATCTTTCTTCAACTCAAGGGACTTATTTTTCAATATTCAGAAAACACAAATGTTACGAATTCATTGTAGTCAAAAAAATATTGATGACCTAGAAGTTAATCTAGATGAATACACTTTTTGCAACACTCATAGCGATGTAAAGTTTTTAGGAATTACTTTAGATGAAAACCTCTCCTGGAAATCACATTGCCAACAATTATCTTCAAAATTGAATTCTTTAAAATTTTTCTTCATCAATTTACGAATAGTGCTGGAAGTGGATCAGCTGATGAATGTGTACTAGGCTCAAGTTGAATCGAGGCTAAGGTATGGTGTTTGCCTCTGGGGCGACTCACCTGGTTGGAAAGAGGTTTTCATTAGCTAAAAGCGTATATTGAGATGTATCGCTAAAATTCCAAATAGAGAATCGTGTAGAACGGCTTTTAAAACGTTCAAAGTATTGACGCTTCCATGTCTCTTCATTTTCGAAATGTGTGATTTTGTTTTTAAAAATAAAAATACTTTCAAACGGAATTGTGATGTTGATGGGTATGAAACAAGGAAAATGACCAATTTTTATGTCCCCTTTGCCAAAAAGAAAGTTAAATCTGATACTCCTGATCATCTTGGTCTCAAAATGTTTAACTATCTTCCAGAAAGAATTAAAAATATTGATAGACTATCTTTATTCAAATTAGAACTGAAATGTTTTTTATTGAAAGAATGTTTCTATAGTAGGAAGGATTTTATAGATATTTAAATTATGTGTGAAATGTGTTAGTTTAGTGTTTCGTAGTTTATACATTACTTTTTACTCTTATTATATTTACCATTACATGTATTTTATTATTACTATTTTATTTCTTGTACTTATCTCATTTTACTATAATTATTTTATATTTACTGACTGACAATTCCAACACATGTATATACCATGTCGAAAAATGGAAATAAAGATTGATTGATTGATTGATTGACTGTATTCCAACTTGAAAACTCACCTTGAGAGCCCCACTCAGTTTGATCATCAACCCGCTATCGATGTCATTTCCTGTCCACACGAGAGCGTGTATCCTTTCCAGCAAGGTCCTCACAGATCCCGATTCGGACGAGATGGCCTTGGTTGAGAAATCCTCAACCGTGTATACCTCGAAGGCCAATCTGTTCTTGACGTAGTTATCGTAGTCCCTGTAGTAGTTGTTCATGCGATTGACGTAGTCCGATAGCTCGTTGAGGCGTAGTTGTAGTTCCACAATTTTTTGGACCATAGATATCGTGTTAGTGCCTGTAATCACGTAGATTGTTTTGTCAATCGGATCGCTCGAAAGGTAATTCCTGTAATAGTTATGATCTACAAAGCGCAGATACGGCCTGTTCTAGAATACTGTTCTCACATATGGGGAAATGTGCTTCGGAAATCTCTGCTATCATCCCTCCACTAGCAATACCAGTCAGACGAACTAGACAAGCCCAGTCAGCACATCCTTTCGTTGTCAACCTCGAAAGATGTCGAACAGCACTTTAACCTACAGAAGTTCAAAAAAAATTCCAATACCTACCTCCTATCCCAATCCTCCTTAGGAACCCACGATCTTCTTCTTTGAAGACGATCATTATGGTACAAGTCGTGAATGTTATCGGGCGAGGCGTAGTTGTTTTTCTCCCGAAAGCTCCATTGTTGTTCATTTATGAACATTGTGCGGAAATGACTGAGCTTTTTGTATTTATTTTTCTATCTCTATCGATTTTCGAGATAAATAATAGTTTGTGTTAAACATGATCCAAAACATATCCCTAATTGAACTCAAGTAAATCAGGTTTCTCAATTCATAGAGTTGATATTTTAGTGGTGGTTTGGACAGGCTTCATAAATTCAATTCACACCGAAAACTCGGCTCTATATCATACAGGGCGTGCTGAAATTATTATTATTATATCCGTTGTTCATACAAGTGGTCAAAAGTTCATTTGATTTTAGATATCCATGGAAATATCAAACTCATGACAGTTCGGTGGAAAGACTTGCCCGAACTCCGCTGCGCGTCGTTCTTGCAACTACCGTCGCGTGCGGAAAAGTACTACTTTTTGCACCTGTTAAGAAATAACTACACTCAGTTCCAAAAAATGTGACGCACTTGATATTTGACCTATCTTCTGAAAACAAAAAACAAAAAATAGTAGGCCGATTTTTTTTTAATTTGTTGGTAGGTAATTCATTTGTCTTTAAAAAAAATAAAGAGGTGAAAATTTTTTCAAAGCCTCCTTGATGGTGGAGGAATAACTCGAACCATGATTTATTCTTAATTTTTGACTCACCCTGTGTGTTAATTGAGTAATGGCATAGAAAGTGCTTGCACCCGATACGAAATAGGCTTTTCTCGCGAGCATTTTGTTTTTTTATTCATTGATTCATCTCTAAAATTTTCCGAATTACAGCTTTTTTTGCTGAATCCTTGCATCAGATTACCAACTTTCTGAATTTATCGAGAAACAATTAACTAATGAAATGAACTGATACCAATAATTTCAAAAAACATTTTTAATAAACACAAAATTATAAATTGGGATGACTGCTTAATACCGTTTATTGCCTCCTCTAGCAACTCTAAGAACTTCTAATCTACGAGGCATACTGGAAATTAAGTTGCTTATCGTTTCCATTGGTATACGATCCCATTCTTCCACTAATGCATCTGCCATTTCTGCGAGACTTTCCGGAGACCTCTCGCGAGAACGTACCCTTCTCCCTAATTCATCCCACAAATGTTCTATAGTATCATATCGGGGCTTCTCGCAGGCCATTGTAATGTGGTAATACCAGTAGCTTCTGAGAAGTATCGCACTATTGCTGCGGTGTGTGGTCGGGCATTACCTTGCATCAAAATAAAATTATTGCCCACTAACTCTGCATAAGGTGAGACATACCGCTCTAAAATGTCAATGTAAATTTGGACATTCATCGACTGTCTCACCGGAAAGACATGAAGGGGTGTCTTTCCATTCATTGAAATCCCTCCCCACACCATAACGGACCCACCATCAAAACTTTCGCATTCTGTTATTAAATTTTGATTAAACCGTTCACCAGTTCTTCTTCACACTCTTTTTCTTCCATCCACCATGTTAAGGCAAAACCTTGACTCATCCGTAAATAAGACATTCGACCATTCAGGAATATTCCACTGTCCATCATTTTCAACAAAATTTCTTCTAGCAGCACGATGTTCGGGCAATAATTTGGGACCTTCTGCAGGTCTCCTAGCTTTTAAATTAACTTCTTTTAGACGTCTACATGCCGTCTGCCACCTTCTGCAACATCACGAATTTGGCGAAGATCTTGCTGAACATTTACCACAGTATTTGATCGATTCCGTAAAATCGGCAATCTCAAGAAGCGATCATCTCTTGGAGAAGTTTTTCGGGGGCGACCAGAACCGACCCTCCGAGCGGTGCTTCCTGTTTGTTCGTACTTGCGGATTGCTCTACGAGCAGTTGCTTCATGAACTCCCATTGCACGAGCGGCGTAACGTTTACTACGCCCATCGTTTACTAACGCAACTAATCTTGCTACTTGTTCAGGATTTATTTGAGGCATTTTATGTAATTTTCGTCAATAAAACAAGACACTTAATTAATGACACAACGACAAATGGTCAAATATGGAGGCATACAACAAATTAGTTGCTATGGCAACGGCATTTGGTCAATGTGATCCTACCAGAGTACAACCCAATCAATTTTGAGTACTCTGATCATTCAATAAATTTAATTTGTGGGATAAGCGTAAGGTATCAGCAAAAAAGCTGTAATTCGGAAAATTTTAGAGATAAATCAATGAATAAAAAAACAAAAATGCTCGCAAAAGAAGCCTCTTTCGTATAGGGTGTAAGTACTTTCTATGCCATTACTCAATCAACACACAGGATGAGTCAAAAATTAAGAATAAATCATGGTTCGAGTTATTCCACCACCATCAAGGAGGCTTTGGAAAACTTTTCACCTACCAACAAATGAAAATAAAATAAAAATCGGCCCACTATTTTTTTTTAAGAAGATAGGTCAAATATCAAGTGCGTCACTTTTTCTAGAACTGAGTGTATATTCGGAGTGAATTTTTTATATTAATTGTTGTCGACTTACCGACTGCATCTATTTGTTGATTCAGTTTATCCAATTTCGAGTTTATGATGCCGAGGTATTCGAACAATTTCATTTCCGTTTTTTCTTCATTGTTTCTTGCATGCTCCATCACTTCCACCACACTCTTACCGATCTCAATAATTTCGAGAATATTGCCAACCCCCACAAAAATAGCATCTCCTTTTTGTACTGTTTGACAACACAATAACAATGGATATATTATGAATAGAAGGTTATTTTTTTCGAACATTGTGGGCCAGAAATTGTATCGGCACATTTATTGTTCAGTTCTGTTTTCTTTCGTGTCCAAGGTGCTTCATTAAAAGCTCATGTTGTTTTTTAGCTATAGTGTTTTGGTGTTTTAAAATCGGAGGTAAATAAGCAGAAATTATCTAAATTGAAATCTAGGCGACTACCCGACTGACTAGTTCTGGCTCTGGCTCTCCGATACCACCTATTGCTAGTTTCAGTTTGGTTATCTTATCCGAAATTATAATCCGATCGTCTCAAGATCCTATATAAAAATTCTAGGAATCACTATCACTACCTTCAAGATAATGTAAAAAAAATGGGAACAGATTATTAAATCAGCAAACAAAATAGGTTCTTTACAGTCATTTCGATCGTATCAGGAAATTATGTTTCATAAACACTTATGACCTCTCAAGGGTTTGGTATAATCCGCAAGTATTACCCCTAAGTCGAAAATACAAAAATATAGCCAGGAGATGGTTCTCCTCAGTTTCATGTCCACACTGTACAGAATGGCGATCGATAAAATCCAAGTCGTTTTCAGCATGCCTTTTCTCTAGAAAAGCCGATCTCACTGTGCCCAACATAAGCTTGTCAGGAGTAACCAAAACTTTGAAGACATCCATTTCGATGCTTGGTATTACTATCAGCAATAACCTTTCCCGGGAAATCAATTGCTAAAAGTGCATCCCAAAATTCCAGTCAGCTGCTTATGATCTATAAGGCACAGATCCGACCTGTCCTGGAATACTGTTCCCATATTTGGAGTGCAGCACCCAAACATACCCTGAAACTGTTGGATTCTGTCCAAAAAAGGGCAATTCGTCTCGTGGGTGATGCCTCGCTCACAAACTTACTCACTTCTCTGGAACACCGTAGAAAAGTTGGCGATCTGGTTCTATTTTATAGATATTTTCATGGACGATGCTCTTCTGAAATATCAACAATTGTTCCTCCCTTGGCAGTCCCCGCGAAATTAACTCGTCGAGTTGAGGCTTCGCACCCCTTCGTGGTCACTTCGGAGACCTGCAGAACATCTTCTTCCAAAGACTCGTTCATCCAACGAACAGCCAGGCTCTGGAACACATTGCCAAGGGAGGTGTTCCCCGAGGCATATAACCTCCAGAAATTTAAGAAGAACACCAATTCCTTTCTTATTTCCCTTGGTCATCACGATGTTTCCTGAACATTACAGGATATCCCTTTTCGTGGGAACCAGAACATAAAAAAACATTTCAAAATAAAGCGATTTCCAATTTTCGGGGTGGCAAACTGTGACTTACAGGCTGTCCCTTATGAACTATACGAGGTGCAAAAATAATTCAAATCTGATAGTCGTAAGGTTTCATCTGTACTATCTTTTGGCACTCCTTGAATAAACAAATGCGAATCGCAAATCGCAAAATAGAAAAAAAGAGTCCAAATCAGTTTTTTTTAATGGAACACCCTCTATATTTCCAAATTTCGTCAAAAATCTCTTTCTTATTATCACAAATATCCCTGAAAGGTCTGTACCGGGTGTACCACTAAGAAAGGACGCCGGCTGTATCTCGGAAACTATTTGCTAATACTATTTCCTGTACAGATTTCGGAAAAAATATTTATGATAAAATTGGCCAAGAAAAATCTCTGGAAATTATTTTCAAGTTTCCAGGATAGCCGCTAGAGGGCATAATTGCATTGGCCAACTTGAAAAACGGGTTTTTATGAAAATTTGATATATCAAGACATATCAGAATAGTTATTTGTTTAACTAGGCAGCAAAGTAGTAGATTGACTGCCGAGGCTAAGGCAGTCAATCTACTTTGCTGCCGAGTTGAACATATAATTTTTTCTCCGATTGTTCATAATGATATAGGAGGATATTGTAATTGCAAATTATTACAATTCCCACAATCTCTTTATTTTTCCTGTAGTGTTCAATTAAAATGAAATTTGATAGAAATCGCACTTGTCCATGATAGTTATAGTTTGACAATTCATGAAAATTCAGACAGTTGTGAGAAAAAATATTGGTATATTCAAATTATTATATAATGGACAGTGATAGCGACCTGGAAGTACTCACACCTCCAGAAATAAGGGAGGTGTAGTTGAATTTGTTGCCGGAGAAGTCTCGAATGAAATATGAAGAAAATTATAAACGATTTATGGATTATTAATTTTGCTGATACATATCAATCAGCAAAGTAACCACTTTGCTGCCTAGGCAGGGAAAGTAATACTTTTCTGATTGATATGTGTCAGCAAAATTAATATTTGCTGCCTATCGGAGAAAAACACTTTTTCCATGTTCTCGATCAAAAAAAATGTCTTGATATATCAAATTTGCATAAAAACCCGTTTATTGAACTGGCCAAAGCAATTGCGCCCTCTAGGGTCTCTCCTGGAAACTTGAAAATAATTTCCAGAGATTTTTCTGGGCCACTTTTTTAATTAATATTTTTTTACGAAACCTGTGCGGCAAATGGTTTTCGAGATACAGCCGGCGTCCTTTCTCAGTGGTACACCCGGTACAAAATCTCAGCACATAGTCCTGAGTTCAAAATAAGTCAATTTGAAGCAACTTACCACAGTCATAAATTGCACCGTTTCGAAGATACAAGGTGAGCTATCAAAAATATTTATTTCCGAATGTTTTGTTACAAAAATTGACATTTTCTGTTGTTTTTCAATATCCGATACGAAACTGTCGATTTATGTAAACGAAACATTCGAAAAAAACAATTCGTGATAGCTCATAGCTTTTGGAATATCCAAAAGTGTGAAAAAATCAAATAAATATCCAGGTCCGCATTTGAAAAAAATAAGTTGATGATGGTTTTTGGATGACGAAATGCCGGATTCCAAATTTGAAAACTCCAACTTGTAGTGAAGAAAAAGTTTCCCATGATAAAGTGTCATTCATCTCGATGAATTTCATCATATAACTTGAGGAATAAATTGAAGGGGGTTTTTCCGTATAACTCCGAAAGTATTCGGAATTTTTCAAGTTTCAAAGCGACTTTCTGTTGGGCATAAAATTGCGCAACTTTGCAATAACTTAACCAATCCTGTATCTTCATGATGAGGCTCGAATTCCAGCCACCATGTACATACAGAAAAAAAATTGAGAAATTAATCATGCCTCTTCGAATCATTATCAAGATCTCTTGCTGAGCGCATAGTGGAAATAACAAAAACTGGCTACAAATTCATTGGTTTGGCAACGCTGCGATTCCTATCTCTGTGAACGCTTTTTACTTCTTTTAACGATCTTGTGCACAGGTCCGTATGCGCCAACATTCTCAAAAGTAGGCAGAGACAATGGTGTTCACACCCAATCGTGTTGGGCAAATTCTTTTGTTTCGATTCTTGGAATCATATCAGATAATGGCAAAATCGTTGCTAAATTATCAATATTTTCGAGCATGTTAGTTCTTGAATTGATGTTTCGATACTTACCCGTAATCAAGCTGATTGATATATGTTTTTTTCTATTTTAATCTTATCAATAGATGTCTAAGAGCTATTGCTAATACATTTGAAAATAAATATCTTAGTTTTATGTATATTTTATTGCTTTCATCATATCCTAAATTCCGAATTTGATTCAAGTATATTGTGAATACTTTCCAAACTATCAAATTCCCTATTATTTGCTACATATTCTATAAATCTCAAATTTTCTAAACTGGTAAGGTCACTAGTCACGAGAGAATAGGTTGAGTAATACATGACATGGTTTATCAAACCGTTTTCATCTGAAGTGAGCAATATGCTCTTCAGAACTTGTGCCAATGCTTTGGCCTGTTTGCCAAATATATTTTGTGTTACATACATTACAATGGGTCTCTCCAGTATCGTCAAATTAGCCCCTTTTTCGCTATAATGTTATGAGGAGAAGTCAAAAACGTTATCCTGGCCACATATTTATCGAGAAAATCGACAAATGAATTATTGATATTGAATATAGAAATTGCTATTTCAATACCAGTGAAGTCAAACGCTACTGAGCTGTGATGTCAGTGTCTTTTTGCAATTTGATTGGCTGGAGTCCTGACGGCTGGGAATCACTCCGCTGTTGCTAGATCTCCATAAAAGCCTTGGAATGGGCTTATATCACAAAAAATTGTTATTTCATAATTCGATAGAACTCACCGCAAACCGTTTCTTGCTGTGAGCTCCCTATGTTTTATAAAAAATTATTGAAATCCCCGATTTTTCGGACCTTTGAAAACGAGGCGATGATGTGACGTCAAAACCCTAATACTGAAACAAGACTATTCCAGACAGAGATGAATGATACATGATTTCTGACAGAATGAATTAGCGCGATATCACAGTTGAAAGAATTAATATATCAGTTGCCTCAGTCTCCGTCGGGCGTTTGGTATTTTCTTTCAACTATGGCGAGATGAGGTTTCTACGTCATAAGAGGGTTCGTTTTCAGAAGGTACTATTATTTATGTCCAAAAATAAAACATTCCAGTTAATTTTTCGATCGAATTATGTCGTCAATCATTATTTATGTATAAAATGATCATTATAAACATGGTTTGAGTTAAAAGTTCTACTAAGGTGTACACGCCCATTGATCCTTTGTGCAAGATGGTGCATGGAACGCAATGATTCGAAATTACTATGTAGTTGGTGATTAGTTGATTGGTAATTCACTGCTGATCACATTCTATTTACTCTGAACTCCAAAGTATTTCATTAGTTTCAAGATTAGCTAGGATAAAATGTAATGCAGGCATCTAACAGGAAGAATCTTTTCATATACTCATTTTTTTTTAGTTATGTTGAAATTTCGTTGAATGATTGTTATAATCAACAAATTCAACAGTGTTACTATATTTCAAGTACTGATTCCCGGAAAATGTAATTGCTAATCTGGCAACTATGTTTACAAGAGAAAAAATGAAGCAACGGGCGCTAACACAATGTTGCTAAGTTGAAAATGCCTCATTCCCCTCATAACTTCATTGTTCTTTTTTCTCAATATTATTGACAAAACGGCATAGTGATGCTTGTACTAAAATCTTACATACATAATAGGTGAGTACCTAAACTTGAAAGTAGGTACTTCACTGGAAAAGTTTTGAAACTGAATGTCATGAATATCTGCACTGTAATTCAATACAAAATGAAATTTAACTTACAATTTTGAATAATTCTCCAACAGAAATGAATTTCAATTGATTATTATCAATTATTAGTTGAACTATCTGACTAATCATAGCCTTCTGTCCAAATTGGCAACATTGTCAAGTCCATCGTTCATAAAGTTGGCACCCGCAAGAAGGTGGGGAATTACCAATCCAAATTGCTCGCGCAATGACGTCACACGTTCCCGGCCATGTTTGGTCGTTTGAAATCGCTCGTTCGTTTTGGCGTTTTCGATAATTTTTTATACGATGCATTGAAGGAAAAAAAACTCAAGTTATTTCAAGGTATTCCAGAGCCATATATTTCAAGAAATATATTCTTTCAAAATCACTGGAAAAGCCCATTTATTTCATAAATACCTGACTTATCATTGGCCACGTTTATACCGTGTCTTGGTGAGCTGACTAATGACTATATTTTAACTAAATACTCTTAATAATCAAATTAGCTCTTAGGCTTCTTCGCCTAACTGATGAGACCCGGAAGCTAATTGATCATTAGGCGAAGAAGCCTAAGAGCTAATTTGATTATTAATTTGATTTAGTTGGTTCAACAAGTAGTTCTCAAACGCAAAAAACGATGTTTGTTCATTTTGCCAAAGACAGCAAGGACTGTGCCAGTGTCGCTATCTGCAGAGTTCTACAATTTCGAGCGACTTTTGTCTTTTGTGCTATGCACTTTTGACTTTTGTCGTTGCTCAAAACTATTCTGTAAATACTCTCAGTCAGTGTGGTATAAACTGTACACTTGGTAAAGTCACCAGCTTGGTTTGGTACCGAAATTTGTTGCGTATACCAGACTAAAATAGTATGATGACCAAGACAGTGTAAACACTTTGGTATACTTTTGTATAGCCTTGACTTGACTTGAGTGCAAGTGGCAGTTATTTCATGAGTCTTCATAACAATATTTCATTCAGTTTCAGCTAATTTCAAATCCTACGAAAATGTTCCATTGTTAATTTACGAATCCAAGTGGAGTTCCACAACCTAACCTCAAAAAAATAATCAAATTAAAACAAAGTTGGTAACGTTAGTCAACTGAAGATACATGGTGTAAACATGTGTTAACTAAGGCAAATATCTATACGGTATGAACGTGGTCATTAGTATTAGTTTAACCTTCAGGGTTGCCTAGGAGCTCATTTTCTGCTTTTGTGACACAATATATTATTGTTACAGGTGGCATTTTATGAAATTTTGAATTCATACTGGCTGAGGAACGGTCTTCAGATAAAGGGTCAAGCGATGACATACATCCAGTGCAACTTCTGCAACTCCATGGTTGACGCCGATCTATATTTGCTCCAGATTTGCTCCACCAGGATACCGGCAGACACTTTCATGAATACAATCATAGACAAGTAGGTGTAATTTAGTAGCATTAAATATCGACGTAGTGACGTAGATGCACTCTAGATATTAGTAGAAACAAAAAATACTAGATTATTTTGACTGTTTCATCTGCAGGACTCGAAGCAATGGGGGAGACCACTGATTTTTCACAACAACATCATCTTGAGCTCTATAACGAAAAACTACCAATAATATACTTTTGAATTTTCTCATTCATACTAGGGCGATAAAAAAAGTGAATTGAAATATATTCATTTCAAAACACACACTTCCTGCGCCCTTCGAAATGGTGTCAATTCATTGGTGTGACTGGTATGACGTATTAGTCCCGACACGCCTATTGTCCTTGAGCCGACCAATTACACTGCAACACTGCAGAATGGCAAGGTATCAGAGAGAGATAGCTACAATTCGGGACTCATACGTCACGGCTCCACCTTCATATCTGCTTGCACAACAGAATTACATCAAAATAATGTTATTTTTTGGGTTGAGCTAGAATTCCAAAATATTTGAGCGTTTTTTTATGTATGATAAATTATTGATATTCATCATGCAGGACGTGGAATGAAATTCTGAATGAAGTCATATAACCTGTTTGTGAGAGATATAATTCCCATATCACTCATACGAATAATTTTTTTGGAAGTTTCAAGCTCATGAATATCGAATTTTATACAAGTATACTTCTCCTATACATTTCAATTCTGAACATATTGGTGAGTTATATTTTTTTATATCATAATACATCATATTATTCTATTCGATTTGAGAGATAATGTCAATTCTCGATTTCAGAGGATTTTGATTTTTCTAGCTCTCTTTTTGGATATTCAACAGATATAATTCAATGTTCGACGTGGCAAATAGCCAGGAAAGTAGTTGTTTTCTGTTGAATATTCAGAATGATATCATATGCATATCTTTATATGAAGGAGAATGCAAATTCTCTACTTCAGTAGATTTTGTTTTCAAATTCTTATCGTGTGTGTTCAATAGATATAATTCAATGTTCGTCGTGACATATAAAAGTAGTTATTTCCTGTTGAATAAACCGAGAAAGAATTGATATTTTCATCAAATAGAGAATGCAAATTCTCAGTGTATTTCTTTTTATATATATATATATATATATATATATATATATATATATATATATATATATATATATATATATATATATATATATATATATATATATATATATATATATATATATAGTGAAAGGGTAGTCTCCTGACTGGACTAGTTGAAGAAAACTATGTGTTAGGAAAACAGCTAAAATCTCTATTTTCCTTGAGGTTGCAGTCAAAGGGAATGGCCAATGTAGAGAAAAGACTCTTTGTTAAATTGTCGAGCTTTCGAAAAATTTCATTTTCATTATCAAGACATCTGAAAATACAAAGATCCATTATAAGCATGGTATCTTGTATGAAAATTGAAACAACTTACTAACTTGAGTGGTTACATGGAAAACAGCTAATGCACATCATAGTAACTTAAAACACTGCACTATTTTTGAAAACATATTAAAAAATATTAAAAAATATTAAAAAACATTACATTACAAGTCTTATTAGAACCTTACTAGTCCTGTGAAACTTTGTCAAGAAAATGAGCACATGGTGTTCGACCTTCACCAGTTCCAAAGGGAAAAAGATGTGACGTTTAAAAATTCAAAAAAGTGGGAGGAGCTATGTCAAAGCCGAACGACGTGTGTTCACTGTCAAAGGTCAATGTCAGTTCATGAAAACCGCGGATAATTTGAATTTGAAAACTAATGATTGGATTTGTTTTGAAAAGTAAGTAGATAACTATATATTGTACTGAGGTTTGCAATATCTGATCGTTTATTCATACACTTAGGTTCGTTGTTTATATGTACCATTTCTAAGAAAGTTCTTTTTTGATAACTGGTTTGTGATTCTAAAATTTTAATATTCGTAAAATACCCAAAATGATTGAATTTAGTGGTGTGTTCTGAGAGTGCACATCTTGTTTTTTTCAAATTACAATCACTTTTATGAGACGTAATGCGACCTTGTAAATTCCTTCCTGTTTGTCCTATATAAACTTGATCACAGTTGAGACAGGGAATACTATAAATGACATTGGAGCTTTCCAGTGTTGTCAAAGGAGTTTTGATTTTACTATGTAAGGAATATATGGTTTTTATATTTTTTCTTGCAATACGGAGTTTGTCAGATTTGAAAACATTGGTTAGCTTTGATGTAAGTTCCTCAATATAAGGAAGTGATCTATATGTAATCTGTATAGGTTGTGTTGGGAGTGACTGATTAACATTTGGATTACTGTTTGGAGATTGAAATTGTGGCAAAATAGGTTGGTCTGAATTAAATAAAATTTTGTTTATTAAATTTGTTGGATATGAATTTTCTTTTAAGATGTTTCTCAGTTCCTTAAGACCGTCCAATCGAAAAGTTGGATGTGAGAGCTTAATCACTCTATTCTTTAGGGCAGTGATAAGATTCCTTTTCATTTTTTCAGGATGGTAAGAATGGTAACTGATGAATCTGTTACTGCACATTGGTTTTCTATACCATTTTGTTCTTAGGATGTTGTCATTACCTCTGCAGACTCTCATATCTAGTAGCTGTATAAATCAATAGATTAGGTATAGGTAAAAAGAGTTTTCTTTTGAGTCCCACATCAGCTGCATCCCCACAAAACCTATACCTAATCTATATATATATTTTTTTATTTTCATAATTATATCTGAGAATATTCCTTTTCAATATTTGAGCGTAATTCGACTATACAGTTCAATCTGGTGTAAGTGTGACATCTCATATTGATTACATATAATCTATTTACTCTGATTATAATATGACATCCACTCATTCTTTGTTTCATATTCATAATTTTATAATTAATAATCAACTGCCTATCCGCAAAACAAAGTTTGTAGCTGTAGATGTCAAAATGGGACGCTTTGATTATAATGGATTTTGTCATCTTTATCAGTCATTTGTGAACAAGAAAGTCATAGAGCTATTTCAAATATTCAGAACATCGTAATATTACTTTCGAAGTCTGTTTATAAGGAATTCAAAATATTCTTCATCAACGTTTTTTTCTTTTAATTTCTAGATTCCACATTAAAGAATGGTCTAGTTTGGCTGCTTATCAGGGTCCTCAATATGCTTATCTGGCGAGCGAGCGCGATACTCCTATGTTGCAAAGCTTCTTGACATTTTTGGCAACGCTTATCAGTGTGAGGACTAATTTAGGTAAGAAATATACCCCCCTCCCCTTCCGCCGAGTGATAATAAAGGTTAACTATGAATAAGTGGAGAGAAATAACAATCCCTAGCTACTCTTGCGATGTTTCGTATGTTTTCTCATAAATACTATAAAAGATTATCAAAATGGACTAGTGGACTGATTTTTTATGTTTGATTTATTAATTCTCGATCCGCACACTAATACTTTCGTTTTTTTTTTTTATTTTCTGAATGGTTTTGAGGTCCCCAAAGTTAGAAATGAAGTCAGAAGTCAGTTTTATTCAAACGATCAAAATTTACCACTATTAACTACTGACGTCACGAGTAAAACACATAGTTGCCAGTTTTCAAAGTTCATCTTGAAATAACAGAAATTATCTGTCTGTGATTTATAAATATAATCGTCATGCATTGATCTCCTACTATGTGGAAAGATTCCTAATTACTTTATTCTCAACTGGATAATGTTTCTTTCACACAAGTATTAGATGTATTTGTCTGTATGAGACAAAATGGTTTTTGATTGCTTTATATCTTGTATCTCTTAGTTAGACAGCGCAGATCGTAGCTGTCGTAGTTGGTCACATGGTTAGGTCTCGCCGATATTAAATACCTACTTTCTTGTTATTGAAGACAAAAAAATTGTTTAAATTACCATATTATCAGCATTTTTTACCATAAGGATATTCCCTATAAGCTGTCTTTTCTCAAATTGGAAGTTCTAAGAAAAATAATATTCAAATGAAACGAATGTTAGACACTTGATTGCAAAAACCATGTTTAGAATGAAGAATATTAGGTCCAATAATCTGCACTGTGTATGGTGTGATGTAATCACTTATAATAATACTACAGCTTCCATTATTATCTATCAATATATCTATGCTAAATATAATACAAAATACCGACTTTAGTTACGCAAAATAATAATGAGGTAGCTGGTGGTAGTTCAAACCATATTATTATTGACTAACTTCATTTCACTGAAGTTTGTAGAAATATATTTTCTTAAAACATAATCTGAAGTTGATTGTAAATGTCATGCTTCTTACCCCAAGAAGGAGAAATATTTCCACAATTTTTTTCAGTTGCTAGGCTTTTGATTGGTCGAAAATGTTAGGTTTGAAATTTTCATTCATTTTCTCGATAGAGAACAGTGGAAATAAGTCAATTAATAATTACTCATTATTGTCAGGTGTGAGGATATTTGTAGACCATTCATAAACTGGTGCATATAGTTTTCGTTCTAAATAGTCAGTAGGCGAGAGATATAAAATATTGTCGGTTCACTGTCGAAAGAAAATGCGAAAATTGTCCTCAGTTTGACCAGATTTTCAATATTCATCTTATTAAAAAGTACCAAGGGTATTTATATTTTACAAATTTCTTCAAAATATTTTATATTCATTCAATTTGTTCTCTATCTTTTTCAAACACTTATAGCTGAATGTTTACGTACAGGTACGCACTGATAATGACTGTATAGTAGGAATCGTTTCGTTACAAACATTGAATAAATTATTTTGCACCAAATTCAACATTTCGTACAATCATTTGTATAGCCACAAGTGTAAGTAACTCTCACATTTCGATCAATGCCCCCCTCATGATCCCTCAGGACTCAGCGACACCGAACTGAACCGCCTCGAGATGGTCACGCTGCTCTGCATGGGCGACAAAACCCACTCGCAACTCATGGAGCTGATGCCGGAGCGATGCGGCACCAGCCAAAGCCGGGACTTCGAGTCGCTGCTGGCCGAGGTGGCCGATTACAGGGCGCCTGCGCTCGAGGCGAGTGGCAACATGCAGCAGGGCATGTACGCGCCCAAGGCGCAGGTGTGGGCAGACGCGTACGACCCGATACACGTGCTGCTGCGCGCGGTACATCGGAGGGACTTCCAGACGTCGATGGACCGGTATACGGCTTAGTAAGTTGTTTAGAACTTGTATGACCCCTTATGATAGTTTGGTACTTGTATTACCCTCTACCTATAGTCATTTGTTGTGAACATGACGACGTGTTGTGGAAACATTGGTTTTATCATCAAAATGTTGGTCCTGCGAGCCGGATCTATTCAAATCAATACGTCCACTAGCAAGTTCTTCACAATGGATGAAGTGTGACTGTTTGGCATCTTCACTTGTATTTATTTGCAACAAAGCTTGACTATTACCTACAATAAATAGGTAGGTCGGTTGGTAGGCTCATCGGAGATTCAGATTCATCTTCTATAATCACACCTACACACTTTTCGTCCTCAATTTCTTTAGAATTTTCAAATCTTTCAACCAAAATGTTTCTTTGCACTCAACCACCACACAACTCAAGTGTTTTCTTTAAATGTAGTTGAGGAATACTGGACAATAATTTCAATTTGTTCATGAACAATTACAATGAATACACTGAGCACACTCTTATAAGAGTCCTGTGATAGCTTTGGAATCTTCACTGAGGCTATTGCTGATGCGTTCTCTAGATATTCGAGATTTACCTATGGATCGTCCTAAACTCAACATACAAAACCACATACGATTCAAGTTTTCAGAAATCTAATGCAGAGGTTCAATTCCTGACTCACCTCACCTTTGCATTTGTAACATTCTCAGCTATAAAGTGCTCTACAAATATTTATGTAGGTTACTGCCATATAAGTTTCTCAATTCCCAGAAACTCAGCAGGACTTTTTCACACAATTCTGATTCCCCAAAGGGTAATTAGGATGGGTACAAGAAAACCTGAAAAATACTTCCTGGATTCAACTCTCACTGGTTTGTTCATTTGATAGATTTATTGATTATTGAGAAACTAGCTTCCAGTCAGAAATAAAATTCTGGTATGAGGAAGTTGATTACAAACAACAATAATAAAATAATATAAGGTGACAACAACAACAAAAAATACTAAAAAATCTGAAAATGCTAAATCGATCAAGTCATAAAAATAGCCACAGGGACTAATCAGTAGATGGCAAAGTATCAATGTTATCCATTTCGTAATAAAATAATGTCTATTTTTAATGAAATTTTAAATTTTGAATTATGTCTATGTATGAATTATGTGAATTTTTTATATTATGTGGTAGTTTATTGAATTCAGCAGAGCAGCGTGATTGAATTTTTTTTGGCCAATTATAGAAGTAGCAGAATCAAGATGAAATAAATTTAATTGTCTCGTGTGATGACCATGAATTTCTGAGTTTCTTATCAAAACAAAATTGGATTTCAGATTATTGTTTATGATATTATATGAAACTTTAAGAGATTCTATTTTATATAATTCATCCAATGACAATTTTTCTGTTATCGCATACAGATCATTTGTTGGGATATCAAATGAGAGGCAAAATAATAATTTAAATAAAGTGCAGATATTTTACTGAAATAATTTTTTGAACAAGATCCCCGAACGTTTATCATTTAGGTAATACGACTGAGTATATGAGAATGAAAAACTATGTTTATGACTTTTTTGTCAAGTATTCTAAGAGATCCGTACCAAGTCCTTCTTGAATTTTTTGTACTACTACTTGTAGTACTGCTGCTTGTGTACCACTATTCTCTTGGAATCCGATTATTATCAAAACTATTTTTTTTTTGTTTATGGAATTTACAATACGCTTCTTCAAAATGTTTTCAAATATTTTCTGAAATATGCTCAATATAGCTATTGGTCTGTAATTTTCTGGATCTTCAGCATCCCCACTTTTGAAAATTGTTTTTTTTTTTTCATATATGAACTACACCACTCCACTTTGAGTTTCCATGGACTTTGTTTGCGATCGATAACCCTTAAGTGGTGTTGAAAAATGGACTGTATAATTTGGGTAAAGCGGGGCACTAAACGGACTTACCCAATAGGCCTCTCAGGTGGTCAGGTGGTCTCTCCAGGTGATGAAAGGGCCCTTTCTGGAATAAGTCTGATGCCTATCGCCTTGGTTTCACTTAATGCACAAGTCGCGCACTTAGATGTTCCCAAAATTGTCACTTGAGTTAGGTTAGCGGTAATAATTATCAGAGGAACCTTGTCTTGCAGCAATGGATCTTATCAGTCTTGAAATTCTAATGAATACCGGTACTTCTTGGTACCTTTTTTTTATCGGTAACGTCCGAGGCCTGACGATTGACTATCAGGCGGGGGCGTGCGCCGTTTAGTGCCTTTATAGCGCGAAAATAAGTTTGAATTGAAAATAAATAATTCACTAAATCAACCACTTATAAGTATTGACGTAACATTACTGCCCAGCAAAAATGCAATGTGGCATTTTTTAAGAAAATAGAAATAAAAAGAAATAAAAAAAAAAATCATTCAGTTCAAATCAAGTACTCAAGTTCTAATCAAATACTTGGGACGAAAACAAAAAAATATAATATATGGTAGCAAAAAAATCAGCTATACAGCGGGAAGGGGGCAAAATTGTCGAATTGCATGAGCAGCATTCGGGAATAGAGCACCTTCGTCGTCCGCGAGTTGACGAAGGGTGCGAAGGGCAAGAAATGGTGCACAGTTAATTCCATAAGTTACTGTAGTTAAGCGGAAATCTTGAATCGGATTTTCGGGCGAAAATCTCCATAAGATACGTTGATAGTCACATTGACATGGGTCAACTTCAATCATGCGGTACATTTGCTTTATATCAGTACACAAAGCAAAGGGGTGCAAACGAAAATTCAATAAAATACTAATAAGGTCTTGTTGTAAGTTTGACCGGGCAACGTTGCGGAAGCGTTAAAAACAACTCGCAACTTTGTTGAAGAACTATCAGGTTTTAAGACACAGTGATGAATTAAGTAATAAGATTTTTTCTATGTTAATAGCCCTGAGATTTCATAATTTCATGTAAAAAAAAACTAAAATTGCGATGAACAAAAAAGTTGGGGTTATTTTTACCTCCTACCTCCCTATTTTGACACACCCCTATATTTAATTTTGAGGTGATTTTAACTCCATTCGAACCGGCACTGAATAGTTGGTAGATGAACAAAATTTTAGATTTTCATCATACAAGGTGTTGGAGATAATAATACAAAATCATTCTCCGAGGACCCCGTATATTCACTTTGATGATTCATTCTTAGCCTTCAAAACAATATCTATTTAATTTTGGAATTCTTCACATTGGATTCTACTCAATTCATCGAAAACAATTTGTTTGAATTTATGATAATCAATTTTTGTTATTTCACGTTTCTTGAACTCTTTCAAAGTTATATTAGATTTTTCGATGGAGGTATACATTATTCTATGATCAGTAATTGAAGGTTTTCTAATGTAATTTTAAAATTCAGTTGATGTTTGAAAAACAATTACTTAGGTTGTAGACACAAAATAAGTCCAAAAATTATCGGAATTGAATCGAAATATGCTTGAAAAAGGTATAAATTTCATGCTCACAAATGCTTAATTGCTTGAGTTTCTTATCAAAACAAAATTGTTGACCACCTTCGGAAACCAGAGGCCGTACACTTTTTGATTTTCGCGAATGTCGTTCTTCCAGCGCCAAACAAGCGAACAAACTCAAGCCGGGCATCAACCCGTGGCCGCCCTTCCGGACGCCCTCCGACGTCAGCGCCGCCTACGAGGATCCGAGGCATATCCTCAAGTCGAGAGTGTTCCATGCCGCCGCCCTGGTGGTGTTGTACAAGGCGTCGAAGGGGCACGTGTCCGAGCACGTGACGCCGCTGGTGGTGTTCCTGCTGGAGCAGGCGGTGTTGATATCGGCGCAGGACGACAACAAGGTGGGTTTTAATGAAGCGGCATAGTAGAAATAAATTCATAACAATCGTCCATTTTGTGATACAAGCATGCAATGCTCACCATTGTTGCTACATAATATGTCTGCCCCAAGACTACTGACGCAGCAAATGCAATAAAGTTAATTTTACAGGAGACGGAAAAAAAGAATTCAAAATTTAAATTTTTCGATTTCCAAATAAGCGATTTCATTTATAACTGTGAACCTCTGGTGTATTGGGGGTAAACCCTCATACTTCAAGGTAGTATGTTCGAAAAGATGATATTTTGGAATTTGTTATGGATATTTGAAGTTATGTCTTTGTTTATGCTAAACGAGAAAACATTTGTGTCAACACTTTCGATAATTTCCCTTGGTTCTAAAAATGAAAATGAATGAAGGATTTCTTTGATTTCAACTCCAAATGATATGTTTTCTGCAACCGACACAAAAGTCGTCCATTTTGATTAGCTCTTAAATAGACGTTTCTATTACTGACAAAAAAATAGGTATTTTAATAGGCAACATATTTAGTTCATCGGAGGTAAAGTTGAACTTTAGTTCCTAGGAGCTAAAGTTGAACTTTAGCTCCTAGGAACTAAAAAGTATGTACTGGACGTCATCAGACAAGCCCAGTCAGCACATCTTTTCGTTGTTAACCTCGAAAGATGTCGAACAGCACTTGATCAAAACTCCTTCATCCATAGAACTGCTAGGCTCTGGAATTCATTGCCTGAGGAAGTATTCCCAACAACATATAATCTCCAGAAGTTCATACAAAATTCCAATACCTACCTCCCTATCCTTCCTAGCAACGCACGATGTTCTTTGAACTTTATAGGGATTTCCTTTCGTGCGCTCCAAGCGATAAAAAAAACCTGATTTGTTTCCGATTTCGACAGATTCGGCATTTCATACCCATGCTGGAGATATAAATACACCTTATTGTAGTTGAGTATTGGAATTCTAAACATCTCAGCTGAGTATTTTTGTTTTGATCAGGGAAGCCTTCAAGATTCAAATACTTGCTTGATCTGTATTTCATTCGATATTCTCGGGATAGATATATAACTTGTTTTTGAATAATCACGGCAAGCAATAGTTTTTTTGTCTCAAACAACGATATTGTTTACCTACATTTGATTATCAAGTCAAACACAGTGTTGTAGTATGGAGAGAAATAAATAATCGCTATTATTATTGTTGATATGCTCACTATCCTAACATTTTCCACGTCTTGTTCCTATAGCTGGCACTGGCGCGGTATTTGCTATTAGAGCACCTGGTTCATACACAAATATGTCACTCTGTGGTTGTATTTATATTCAAACTACAATTCGAACATCCTTGTAAATTGAATGAACCTGCTGTTAATGCAGGTAGAATATTCTCATAGTATAAAATAAATAGTAGTTCACAAAATTTTAGAGACTGATTGCCGAACTAAAGATAAGTAGAAATTGAAATAATAATAATAATAATGATAAAATCACGAGTCCTTCAGGAAGAGTTACTTTATCCATTAAACATAAAAAAATTTGACAGTTTTCCAATAATTAATAACCTAATGTCTGATTCGAAATGTTTGAATTCATTATTTGATTTATCTCTTTCTCTAAATAATGCATCAGCATGATTTTGCTCGTATAATGAAGAGATAACAATTATTGTTGGTAAGAAAATATTCCACTACACAAATTCTACTGAAACTTAAAACATTTTTTTTTTGTTGTACAGGAATATTTACAATAATTTTTCCGTAATTTCCGTAACATTATTTCCTTTCACATTCGTTCTACACTATGTAGCTGTTTCATGCGATCATTTTATGACTAGGATACGAAGATGTGTTCAACAAGTCCTCCATCTCAGGGTCCCCTGAACGATATGGATATGGCCAGTTGGTATCCTGTCGATTCTTTGTTCGACAATTTGAAGACCGTGATTGGACGAGTTGTATTAACTCCCGAACCAGACTTCTCACCGATAACGTACAGTTCAGACAGTGAGTACATTGATTTTTTATTACAGGTTGTTTGCAAGGTTGAATCATTGTTATTATTCACGTCAGAGAACTTTTTTACTGTTCTCAGATGAAATTTGATAGGTGTAATCTTTGATCCAAATCTGTTAACAACTCTTCATTCTTGATAAGATATTGAGTATCACTCGAGATTGACATCTTTTCTAAATGAGCACCTATCATTTTTTATGAACATCACCTAAACTTGGAGAAGGATGTTCTCGAGTCTTGAGTTCCTCAATGTATTTGACATTTTTGTTTTGACGTTTACGTATATTTAGAGTACGGCAACACTCTAACAAGCAATGACAGTCAGAAATAACCATAAATAAATAGATGAAGAAAGCGAAAACTGACAATACATGAACGTACATGTCATCAACTTCAAAGGTTTGTAAAATTTAGATCAATTTGGAAAAATGGTGTGATGCGAGTTTGTGCTGTTTCTAACTGTAGAAATAATGCGAATCGATTTGCTTTGTTCGAATTTCTGACAAACAGGGCACTGTTACATTATGAATGAAATGGCAATCACGCCTAGACAACATCGTGTAGCTAGTTCTTATTGCTTTAAAATTTGTATTCGTAACTATTTTATCTATCATACCCTCAGTATCATTTTTAAATTGCGGAAATCGCCCTTGTTGACTATATTTTCTTTGAGCTAGTGACCTCTGTTCCGAACTTAGTTATCCATTTGTTATCCTAACCCTAGAAATTTCTCAAATCCTCGTCAAGATGCACTTTTCTGTCAAGTTTATAATCAACATTTCAAGTACCTACTCACACAAATAAGGAAAGCAGGATGCATGAATAAGAAACGGTTGTGTATGCAATGATGAAATTCTTGATTCATTGATATTTAAATTTGAGTAGGAACTGGAAACTCTTCAGTGTAGTAATGAAACATAACAGTTCGTATTTTATGGAAATGATGGTATGCAGGCTAAGAGTAAAAAGGACACCGCTTATTTACTCATTTATATTGTTAACAATAACTTGATACATTATCTTTATTCCTGGAATATTAATCCATTATTATGGACACACGGGGCTGTGGAGTTTTTTCATTTTCCATTGTCACTCGAAATTTGGGCTTTCCATCTCCATCATTATATGTATCTTTTCGATTGAGTAACCGACAAAAATTATGACTTGACTCCTATGTATGATTGCCTTCGGACATTTCCGTATACAAGGAAAGACAATGCCAGAGGACGAACGGGGAAATATGGGGACTGTATAGTACCATCCTGCCAGCGATGCTTCGTATAGTGCATGATTTCGAGTGACTTCGGGAATCGGAAGGATTCTACCACCTGGTGTGTGAGGAGAATTTGATCTCCCTGCCGATTGATAGACGGATGACCCGTTAGCTCAATTATTGCCAGAGCGTTGGGCATGTAACCCAGAGTAGAGTTCCTAAATGTACTTGACACTGCTGTTTTGACGCTTTTTGTATATCAGAGTACGGACACTATGACAAGCACTGACAATCAGACATAACCACAAATAAATTGATGGAAAAAGCGAGAACTGACAGTACACGGACGTACAAGATATAAATATTAAAGGTTTGACAAATTGAGAGAATTAGGAGAAAAATGCAAGTTTGTGCAGTTTCCAACTGTGAGAACACGGAAAATCAATTCACTCTATTCGAATATCCATCGAATAACGTAATTCTACAAAAATGGAAACAGAATATGATGTGGCCGGCATGGAATATAGGTTCAGGCCACAAAATTTGGGAGGTATTCAAATGTCCTGGTAGGATATAGAACATTATTCAACGCATTTTTATCAGGTACACTTCAGAACGGAAGTTTTGATGTTGAAGAATAGGATCGTATTCAGAGAATGAGCCGAACCCACAATTTATAAACTGAGCGAGTATCGAAAAGAACTCTTATTCCAATTTAGACTCTGGTTATTGCTTGTGATGGAATGATGGAGCACCGAGCAGAGATCAAAATAGCCACCATGGAGATCATCTGATGATGAAACAGCAGCAACTTCCTGAACTGACTCAAACAGATTTCACATCCCTGTTCAACCAAGAATTCTTTATAAGATCTTCGTATACGAACTCTTATAATAATTTTGTGAAAACATAGTCACTTTGTGGAACTCTGATGTACCAGATATTGATGTATCTTCATCAAAGAGTTGAATATATTGTTCGTGTATGCGTAGTTGAGAAGTGCTAGACTACAAGTGGATTCTGAATCACTTCTTGGGTACCAAGATACGAGAGCAAGATTTTATCAGGGCACAGAACAAGAAAGCTTAACGAGTGCACCATTTATGTTAGGTATTGAAAATGATCTTCCGATGGCCGGTTTCAAACCAACAATCCCCTTTAACAATGTGAACGGCGATCTATAGTAAGTCGAGCGCTGAAGTCCATTTATACCTACTTCCGTATGTCTTGGAGAGCCTTTATTATTTATCCTAACTGACATGAGCTGTTATTGTTGCCATATCAGTTGTTCATTTATCAATTATTTATTACCTACCACTCTTGTACAAGTGAAATTGTTCAATACTAAATGAAAGTATGTTTCATTGGTTGAAATTGATCAGTTTTTACCCCATTCTGAACATTTGTGACGAAAAAATATTCAACTGAACGTATATATACCTACATATAAGAGTCTTATTTCATTGGAATAGTATATGTATTTCGTTGGTATATATGTACATACCAACTTGATATCGACCTCCATTGAGGTCCTTCAGCCTTATCATTCAATATTTCGGGAAGAAATTTATTTATTTATTTCATTCTTTGCTATAAACACTACATTGCATCTCATATAAATATAAATATAATCATTAACATTTACAATGGAATAACAGAATTTAAAAAAAATAATAATGAAACAAAAAGCTCATGAAAAGTACATTATGACATGATGAAATAAATTAGTCAATGAGAAATCATTCACTCAGGTTTGATTTTCTCTTTGCAAGAGGATATGTTTCTTGACTTTGATTTTGAATTGGGTGATATTTGTGCAACTTTTGATATCATCAGGTAATTTATTGAATTTTGAGATAGCTCCGTGAGTGAACTTTTTTTGACCAAGTGTAGAATGAGCAATAATTTTCTGATCAATTTATCGTACCCTTTCACCCACTCGAGGAGACGCTATGCACTCTCATACAAAAATGAAAGACAGAGAAAGATATATGGATGCACTCTTCCCAGGACTTGTGTTGGGAGGAAGATGCGAGGATCCTTTATCTAAGCGAAAAACGTATTCTTGTCCTTGTCTGGCAAAACATATGATTTATTTCAAATTCGTTTGTGGTTATGTTTGATTGTCACTGCTTGTCTAGTGTCCGTACTCTAATATACAAAAAACGTCAAAACAGCAGTGTCAAGTACATTTAGGAACTCTAACCCAGAGGTTGTGAGTTCGACTCTCACACGGGGCGGTGGAATTTTTTCATTTTCCATTGTCACTCGAAATCAGGGCTTACCATCTTCATCATAATAATGAATGTCCTCAAGGCGACCTCGACTGGGACACGTCCGAGCACGACACCGAGATGGCCGAAGAGGCCCTCCTCATGCTGGGCGAGGCCGCCTCGTCCTCCTCCTCCGGCTGGCGCCCCGACGGCGAACAGTCCGACAGCAGGGAGGTGATGGTGTTCAGAGGCGCGCCCAGCGAGGCGATGTCGATCGCCGGAGAGGAGGAGGAGGAGGAGAGGGAGGAGGGGGAGCCGCTGGTGGAGACGCCGCCGGCGTTGGAGGCGGGAGCGATGGCGTTGGCGTTGCCGGCGGTGGGCGGAATGGAGGCGGGGGTGCCTATGGAGGTGGACAATGTGGTCAGCTTGGCGGTGGCCGGGGATAATGTCGGTGAGTTGGTGGAGCCGCTTGAAGGGGTATTGTTTGGTCGCTTGCGAGATATTCACTATGGGATACGACTCTGTATTATCCATATCAGTTTACCTTTCCTTTTGAATAGGTTATGTTGCTATAGTGGGATGTAAATATTATTAATAAAAAATAGTAAATCTTCGAGTTGAGGAATATAATTTATATCGAAGATTCAACGAAGTATTTGATGATATCTATTATAAATGGCGCAGTCGGTAGGATGAGATTTTATACGCGTAGATTTTCAAAGTGACCAAACTCCAAATATCAGGAACCCTGAACATCAAAATGACATCCAACATGACACTGATAATCATATCATATCATAACTATAGTACTAGAAACATCTCAAATTACAATATTCCATATCATAGATTAGCCTGTTCCGAGAGATGGATAACTTGTTTTTGAATAATCACGGCCAGCAATACTTTTTGTCTCACACACCGATATTGATTACCGAGCCAAACACAGTGGAATATGCTTACTAACCTAACATTTTCCACATATTGTTTTCTTTACCTGGCGCTGTTGCGGTATTTGCTATTAGGGCAGACACCTGGTCCAAATGAATTCATCGATTCAATAGAATACACAAATGGGTCACTCTGTGGTTGTTTTTATATTGAAACTACAATTCGAACATCCTTGGAAATTGAATAAACCTGATCTGTAAATGCAGGTGGAATATTCTCACCACACATATTATTTGTTGCATTGCATACGTATGGCACTGCATCCACGTTTCGGGTATAGTATTGAATTCGTGCCTGTAGTATCTAACACAAATTGAAACAAAGTAAAGTCATCGTCATATTCTAATGTAAAGTAGTCTGAGGTCTTGCTTCTACAGTGTGACCCACTTCTAATGGAAACACCCCTGTATCTTACGTAATCGTTGGGTAAGGATCCTGAAATTTGCTGGAGCGAGAGATATACCAAGTGGGGTCATCTTCAGTGATTTACACTGCTCGCCAACAGGTATGGATGCACCCCAATTTCCGGAAAATGATATTAGGAGTCAAAATAGGTTGAAAATCACTTCGGATTCGGAATCAGGACGCCCAATTCACTAACTATTCATAGTTTTCCTTGAAAATTTTCAGTTCAGCAGAATTAAATTTTGTCTCACTTATCATGGACGCACCCCCGTATCTCACGTAATTATTGAGGTAGGGTTCTAAAATTTGCAGGAGGAACGGAAAGTCCAAAGATGAAGTCAATTACGTAAGATACGGGGGTGCTTCCGTATAAAGTGCGACAAAATTAAATTTTTCAGAACTGAACATTTTCCAGGAAAAATATGAATAGTCAGTGAATTGGGCGTCCTGATTCCGAATCTGAAGTGATTTTCGACCTATTTTGGCGAGCAGTGTATATCACTGAAGATGACCTCCCTTGGTCATAGAGTGCATTTTTGGTATATCTCTCGCTCCAGCAACGATTACGTAAGATACAGAAGTGTTTTCATTAGAAGTGGGTCACACTGTATCTACTTACCTATATTATTATAATGAAGGTATTATAATAATCTGCCAGGAAGTCACATTTGTGGGTACTTATTAGTTTCAGTTAATTCTTTCGGCTGCAGATAAAATTGCTTGTTTCATTCGGATCAAAAGTGACTTTGTTTGACTTGGCTTCGCTAGACGCTCCTCCTCGCGAATGCGAAATTCGCTTGTCAATCAAAGTGTCACTCTTGATCCTAATAAAACAATCTACTATTATTATTATTATATTATCAATTTTCAGAAACACCTAGCCCGACGGAAATTCCCGCTCTACCTCCACCTGCCGTAAGGCCGGCCTTGATAGCGGGTAACGAAGTCGGCAGGACCGTCGCGAAAATCGTACCTGGCAGTGCTGGTACTTCCAATCGAGAACTGGTACCTACTACATCTCAAGGTCACAGGAAAGCCTCCTCGTCGAGACGGAAACAGGCAGTAGCGGTAAGTCCTCATTGATTTCTTCGATTCTCATCCGCGTTCTTCAGAAGGATAATTAGGAATGAGTAAAGCAACTTGTTTCAGATCAATGAGCTTTTCCAGATATTTCTAGAAAAAATATATCTCGAAATATATGGCTCTGGAATACCTTGATATACTGATGATAATGATATTTATTTCATTATTTGCTATAAACATTACATTGCATCTCAGATAAATATAAATATATTTTATCAAGATTTACAATGAAATAACATGAATAATCAGACAGATTCATATCTGGTATGAAATTATTCATGCATTATTAAATCTAAGTTATTGAAATAAATAATAAGATGCAAAAATAATAATAATAAAACAAAAAGCTCTTGAAAAGTGCATTATGACATGATGAAATAAATTAGTGAATGAGAAATCATTCACTCAGGTTTCATTTTCTATTTGCAAGAGGGTATGTTTCTTGACTTTAATTTTGAATTGGGTGATATTTGTGCAACTTCTGATATCATCAGGTGATTTTTATTGAATTTTGAGATAGCTCCGTGAGTAAACTCTTTTTGGCCATAATGTAGAATTAGCAGCATCAAGATGAAACAAGTCGTCTAGTATGATGGTCATGGATTTGAGAATTCCTTAGCAATATGAAATGAGATTTAAGGTGTTTGTTGATAATATCAAAAGAAAATTTGAGAGGATTTATCAGATAGTGCTCTTCCAAAGAAAATGTATTTGTTTCTTCATAAAGTTGATTTGATGGGGTGTCATATAGAAGACGATATAGTACTTTTAATGCTTCTGTATATAGTACAGATATTTTGTTGGAAATATTTTTGTAACATGAACCCTAAATATTCATGAGATAGTTATTTTACTAAGGATGTGAGAGTATAGAGCGGTATTTGCTATATTTGGGATAAGTTTTGGACATCTTCTTAGGGCACCAACTATGGGAGAAATATTTTCTTTGAGCATACTTTGAAATCTCTATATTTTAGATTTTTTCCCTTGCCTCCTCGCCGATGCCAATAAAATTTCTTTGTCCGAAAAACTTTATGCCAACAATTCCTATTGAAAATTCGAAACTGTCTAACTGATCATCCGTCATTCCCACAGGGCACGAACAGTTACCCACCAACAGTGAAAGTCAATGAGAGCATAATTTCCCTATTGCTCAAATTGCACTCGCAACTGTCAGGCATACCTGACAGTTTCAATGGGGACAACGATGAGGAGTCTTCGTCCTCCACTTCGAGTGAAAGTCCTCTCGGAGATGGCGCTTACTACATTGGCAAACTGTTGACGAAAATATCCGAGGTGGATAGCAGTTGTAAAAAATGTATTCAGGTGAGTTTCTCGTTGATTTTCCTCGAGTTAATTTTGAGGATGTCATACTCATTTAGATGGCCTCACTATAGTGTAACTTTCCTGGTTTTTGTAACAGTTTTTCATTGCCTCAACCGTGTTTGAGTGAGATTGATTGATTGATTGTCTTTATTACCCCAAGGAACATAATTGTCTTTTCAGAGACTGAAAACTTCCAGTTTTGTTCCAGAAAGATATCCCCTTCAGAAATAGTTTTGGTATCGTGTTAATTTTTGATATCTCGTGGTGCATTCACAAATAAATAATTTCTGATCTGATGCATCCTGTGCATTCTTAAAAATCAATCTAATTAGTGGGACTGTTATTTGATCATGGCTACAATGTATTCTTATTGTGAACAAACTGATATGTTGCTGGTCCTCGCAGGCTTTACAAGAACTCTCGCGTTTCAAATTTAGTGATAATTATTCAGGACCTAAGGTGAGAACTTCAACGATTTGTACCAACTCAACGAAACGATTTTGGATATAGGTTAGTTGGCTAAAATCAACTTATTTGTATCCCAGGAGTCTACAGTCAAGCCATGTCCCAACCAGATCATTTTTCTATAGAATGCATAAGATGCATTAGATCAGAATTTATTTAATTCCAAATGAACCTCGAGACTTATCAAAAATTAACACGATACAAATAACATTTCTGAAGGAAATATCTTTCTAAAAAAATAACTGGAAGTTTCCAGTCTGACCTCTGAAAAGTTATCACCAAATTTGTACGGCAACATGGTTGTTTGAAACACTTGCAGGAGTTGCAGGTCACTGATGATGATCAAAAATATCTCAAAACGTAAATTACAGTCACAGAACATGCCATGCCAAGAATTATGAATATCGATCCCAGCCTACTCTTTTCATGAGCAAAAGTATTTTTTTCAAAAAAAAATCAACGCCTTGTATCAACTCAACGAGACGATTTTGTATACAGGGTGTTAACAAATAAGTGTCACAACGGAAAACTGTAGATTGCTCATGAAAAAAAAAACATTTTTTTCCCTTTCGAAATTTTTCTCCGAGCTTCCGTTATAAAGATACAGGACGTCAAAAAAATATAAAAAAATATAAAAAAATCTGTTTTTTGCTGCTATCTCAGGAACCGTCTGAGCTACGGAGTTGAGCCTTCGTACACACTTTATCATCAATAAGGACTACTTTTAGGGCTCTTGATGAATTTCCTTGGACATGTCAGTGGAGGAGAATTCAACGCCTCATAAGGGTTGAACCCCCCAAACATTTATGCCACTGGAGAAATTGTAATTTTCAAAGTAGATTCTGAAGCGCCAATATCTTTCACACAAAAAACCTCCTCTTGTCTCAATGCTCTAAAGTGAACAGTTTCCGCGAAAGATGGCTCTTTATGAATAAGAACATACAAAATCCTGATGATATCTCCAGAAATCGTCTAAAAATCCACTGGAAATAAACACCTCAGAACTGTCTAATAATATGTTCAAATGTCAGGTTCTTGAGTATCTGGTCTCGATGCTGGTTTTCAAATTGTCAAGTTTATTAAGTGTAGTAAAGTGTGTTTAATCAAACTGAACATTTTTGATTTTTTGACGCCCTGTATCTTGAAAACAGAAGCCCGGAGAAAATTTTTGAAGGGGAAAGAAATGTTTCTTTTATTATGAGTAATCTACAGTTTTCCGTTGTGACACTTATTTGTTAACACCCTGTATAGGTAAGTCGGCCTAAATCAACTTGATTTTATCCCAGGAGTCCACAGCCGAGCCATGTCCCAGCCTTTTACAGACACCCTGTATATATTGAAAAAATGAGTGAGAGTGCTGGATCTTCAAGCATTCTTTCACTATGTCATACCATCTGGCAAAATGTCGCATGTTTATTTTCCTCAATGGGCAGACCTACTCGCCTACTTGACAATAGTTGCGTTTGTTTCATATCAAACCACTACCGGTTTCGTCATTGCACACAACATTCCTTACGGTCAATTTGTTTGAGCCCATGTATTTGTTCTTGTTTGAGGTTAATTTCGATTAGATTGAATTATTAGAAACAAAATTATAACTCAAAACATCGAAAATTGAAACATGGAGGTGAATCACACAATGTCATTCATCGATATTCGGCGTTTGTTTAGTGACCTGAATATTCTCCAACCGGTTTGACATGAAGAAAACGCAACTAATGTCTGAGGTATCGAATAACCTCTAAAGTCGTTCTAATTCCTCCAGGAGACGCGCCTGCAGCTGTGGCCGTCGCAAGAAACGAAGAAGCAGCGCGAGAACAAGGAGCGCGAAGAGCGCCGGCGTCGAGCCAAAGAGCGCCAGGACAAGCTGATGCGCGAGTTCGCCGACAGACAGAAGGAGTTTATGCGCCGCGCGATGGAGACGAACGAGGAGGAGGGTGGTGGGGCGACTGGCGGCGCCGAGGCGGAGGAGGAGGAACCGATGGCGAAGCAGCAGGAGTACGACTGCGTGATATGCAACAGGAGCACGCCGAGCACCGAGGACCAGCCGATGGGACTGGTCGTGCTGATGCAGGTACGCGTGGTTTTCGTGTGGAACGGGAGATTATTTCTATGTTTAATGTTTTGAACAGTTCTCAATATTTTTTTTTTTTTCATTGGTACATACCCTTGAAAAGGAACATTCTCAGATATATTTATGAAAACAAAAAAATGGATATATATATATATAAATACATTAGGAATTCGCATTCTCCATGTGATGAAAATATTAATTCTTTCTCGGTTTATTCAACAGAAAGCAACTACTTTCCTGGCTATATGCCACGACGAATATTGAATCACATCTCTTGAACGATGGAAACTTGTTATTTTTATAGACCTCAATCGCAGATTCGTGCTTAGGTTTTTCTCAATTCAGAATTTCTTTCCACGTCCTGTACGATGAATGTCAATTTATCATATATTTGAAAAGGTACATACCCTATTTTGCTTATTTAAAGGACGCCTCAGTGTGCTTCAGTTCGCGAAATTCGCAAAGTGGGCGACATCTAGGTTACATAATTCGAACTTCAAACTGGGGGAAAACAAACTATCTATGGATAAAGTGCATAGACTAAATTGCATTCAGCTTGCTGTAGCTGTAGTCAAACTTGTCAATGACATAAAGTTTTGGCACTTTTGGTAGTGATGATGGTTGAGTTGGTTAATTTTTTACATTATTACATTTTTACTAGTTTAGTGAACAGTGAACGGGTGAACTGGAGATAGTTACAACATGTTTACAATACCCAGATTGTCCTGCTTTGCATGAACAAATACAAATCCCTTGTTCTACAGGAGTTCCTCTGGACCCCAATTCAATTTTACTTCATGTGGGGAAGATTTCATCGCCGAAGTTTGTAGACAAAGTGCAAAAATGTGCCTTTTGTTGAAGCCTTCTGCCTCACACAAAAACACATGATTAGCACGGAGATCTGCTTCTCCTTCTAATACTGGTCGGCTTTTTCCATCTGAATAGAGCAAAATATCTGCCAAAGAACATCTACAACAGGCATTATTAGCGTTCGATCGAATATTGACAATTAACGACCTCAACGATCTATTTAATAATTATCATCAAAATTATGAACTAATGGATAAACAAGAAAAGAAAATATGACTCGATGAGGAAATGGCTCCTATATATAGCGAAGAAAATAAAAGAACAAGAGAAAATTATAATTAATACAGGTGTCCTGAGTGAGTTGCAGTATTATCAAACTAATTATCTTAACCAGTCAAAAGAAAATTTATGATTAGGAAATTTATTTTACTCTAAACTTCAAATGTTCTAAGCAGTATGCAAGGTACTAACCTAGTTGAGTTCAGAATTCGAAAATTCAATAAATTTATAAGATTTCAATGAATACCAAAGTGCCATCTTTATCAATATCAGAAAAATACAATCTTTGAGAGATTCACCAGACACAGAATTCACGCACCAGAACACGAGACAAGCAGGATGAAATTTAAAATTGAACTGCCTAAGATTTTTTTAAAATCTCTCTTGACTTGACTTGGTTGGATGATTTCAACCAATCGTAGATTTTTCTCTAGGGGTGTTGTATACTATCCCTTCCCTCTCTATTGACCAGCTTTAGACACTCAACATACAAATGATTCATGTTTTTCGCAACATGTGGAGACTTCTTCGAAATTCTTAAGTACTCTATGCGGATATTCACTAATACAAATAAACTATACATGTTTCTCGAGAGCTCTAACTTTTGACCTGTTTATTATGCTACATAAATTGCCATATTCAAAAGATAAACTCTCGAGTTTCCTAGCCTAAACTAATACCATTACCTCAAAATAATAAATGTCAACTAATTGATGGGCATGCCAAAGATCGCATCTCTTAGAATTATATTCACGACTTGTGGTTTCTATTTACATCTATAGGGAAAAAGGAAGTATCTCCAATAAAAAACTCTATATCTACATGACTTTTATACATGAACTAACAATACCTACTTGACATATCCTGGAGTACCCCATTCAATAAGACTTATTGATGGGACGGCATAATTCTTATCTCGTTTTGCAAATCGTGAAATTAAGTGCAAATTACCGCACAGGAGAGTGCCATTTTTCAATCATTTTGCTCAGATAGTGATTGGCACAAGTGCTGTTCCATAAAATACAATGTTTTTACATACCTTTGAGACATATATCATTTCTTTATCAAGGTCAAAATTTGCAGCCGTCAATGTATAAATTATTGATCTGACAGAACTACCATGTAATGTCAAATAAAATATCAGTAACTTAAATTCCGAAACAATTGTTTCCCATGACGCTGTAAGGTATACTGATGTCACATCACAAATTCAACCTATGGGTTGCGTGCAAGGACTGTCAGATGACCGACCCTGGAGGTGAAACATTGAAACACAACCTCACTTTTCTTATTTGTTCACAAGTGATTGAAATAGTTTTTCATAATTATTTTGGCATATGAATCGTGTTTCTCGGCTATTCATTCAATCGCGTATGCCATCACATTGTGCTGTTGTACAATTCACAAAAATGCAGCGGGAGACAACGGAATCCGGGTGGTCCATTATGATTTCATCATCATCAACTTTGTTATTCCCAAGAAACAATTGACGTATATGTTTATAACAGGGAACATTGAAAAAATAAACCATAATGTATTACATTACATTCAAAATATAGTATTTATAGGTATAATAATTATTCAAGTAATTCTCATAAAAGTAAGTACCTAATTAGTCACTCACATATAGTTTTCATTTTTGATATTTGGTAATTGCTTTGATTTCTAATCGGAATTCCTTCTGTAATAGGAACTAATAGAAATACCCGAGAAATTTCTAAAATAATGCGAGAAGATTGGATTCATGCAATCAAATGGGAGAACTGGTCTGACATGCTGACGAAATAAACGATCGTGTTTGTTGTAGACATTTACAATCTTTCAGCAGTATTATCTACTATTGCAGAAGTGGCAGATGGAATTTTAATAAGAAATGACAAAATATTATAATAAAAACTTTGTGAGATTACTATTTACCTGAAAAATCATATTTCTTCGTCTCGCTGCATTTTCTGTGCATTGTATAACAGCACAATGAGACGGCATGCTTGAATTAATGAATAGCGCAAAAAACACTATTCATATGCCAAAATATTGTGAAAAACTATTTCAATCCTTTGATTCCTCTGTAAACAAATAAAAAAACTGATGTTGTGTTTCGATGTTTCACAGAAGAGTGAGGTTGTGTTTCAATATTTCACCTCCAGGGTCGGTCATCCTGCACGCGACCTATACTAGTATTTGTGATTTCAAAGAGTACCAGTGAAAAAAAATAGCGAAAAGTATTCATGGATAACTGGTCTTTAAGACACTCCTCTGTTTTGAGCTAGTGAAATTTTTGTTTTATTCTATATTGAACATGTTATAGGCCACAAGCGTTGTGGGTCATAGGAGAAGATGTGGGCAACCGGAAATATCTGTTTTACCTACCTGCGACGAAGAAAGAGATTTCTTGAGCGAGGATGATACTTTATCAGCAGAATATGAAAAAAGATTGGATACTCTTGGTAGAAATTTCGATCAAGTAAGTTTTCTTCACAATGGAATCCTTTTCAAAACTTTTTGTCTGAAATCGATAAACTGGTTAATTCCTTACCTAGTTCATGATGTTTGAAACTTTTGTACTGAAAAATAAACTGTTTTTTCCAATATACTTTCCATTGCCAGTGAAATATACTAATTGTTGTTTTCAGCAATCATGGTTTCTGTCAGTGAATATCGGATGGGACGGAGGAGTACATTTACAGACTTGCGGTCACCATCTACATTTAGATTGTTTACATTTATATTTGATGTCGCTTAGATCGCAGCAACAACGGCAGCCTACTTTGTCACCAGATAAGTAAGTTGAGTTGACAATTTGCACACAATTTTTGTCATCAAATGCGAGAGCATTCATAACAAAATACGTTCCATCTCCCAAGTCCTTATTAGTCAAAAGGATGTCATTAAAGAAGGAAAAAGAATATAGTCATTAATTCTGCTAGGATCGAATCTCTCACGCAAACATTTCTCCGGAAAAATGTCCTGTGGAAAAACTCCCATTCAAAAATTACAGAGAAAAGAAATTCTTGAAAACATATATTGATACACCAACCAATCAATTGTATGAAATAACAAATACGTATTCTTTACATGAAATATATAGAAACTCGGACAAAAAAGATTAACTCATTCAGCCTTAACTGAGTTCAATAAACTACCTGCCAATATCAAAAACTGCAGAAATATAGGTACATTCAAAAATAGAGTAAAAAAACTTATTATTACTGAGCGAATAAAATTAGTCATGTTATTTTACTATGTTTCTACAAATATTATTCTTTGTTCGCCAATTGTTGGTGTTAATGTATTTTGAATGATGAAATGTTTACCTATAGGTATATAATTATTTACTTCCTTATACCAGATCCTATTATGCCTGGAAGTTATTTGTTTAATAAATAAATAAATAAATAATATCCTTGGAAGAATTTATGAGAAATTATCTTTCTCTTCTCTCCTTTCTCTTATTTTTTCTCATCAATGTTATAACTCACCTGTCTTGTCTCTAATCTATCCTTTTATTTATTTTTATTAATTTATTTCAGTTATTGCATTACATTCTCTTCTTCATTGATACATTTCATACAAATAATATATAAAGTATAATTAATTTTCTAGTTGGAATGACATGAATGATCAGACAGTAATTCCTGGTATAAGATCATTCATGAAGTATTATCTATCTTTCCTCACATTCATGTATCACCTGTCTCCCTCCTCTCACTCGTATTCTCTCACTCATCTCCTCTCTCCCCACTTTAAGTTACCAAGTCTACGACCTTCCCTTTTTGGAATGACACTTTTTGCCTAAAATCAGGACATGGAATGCATGTCGTGATTTAGTCTCCTTTTTAAACTACTTGATAGACATTGAATAAATGTAATTCCATTGTTTTTTTCAGGGGTGAATATTTGTGTCCTTTATGTAGACAGTTGGCGAATTCTGTATTGCCTTTGTTGTCACAGTTAGGAGATAAAACTTCTATGGTGCGATCGAGGAGTCATGAAAGTATGTCCGAAGTTTTGGACGAACTCACTAATTTCCTTAGAGAAAATGACCAAAGTCCTGTAAGTAGTAGTAGTAGTAAGAATATTTTCTAGTGTTTGTTTTTGAAAAACTGTTCAACTTGTGTTGTCGTTAATTATTTCTTAAAATCCTTGATTGAAGCGTGATGTTTGTAGATGAATAATCCATAAAATGTTCTGTTTTAAATTATGAGCCAATGTTCAATTGTTAAAAATTATGGCTTAATTCGCGCAGACCCTGGGGGCAGGTATATAAATTATTCACATTTATCATCCAAATAAAACATCTTTGTGACGCCATGTTTTAAGCTATGGCCATGTCATGTGTATCACGCCCTTGTTTGTTGTTTGTTGACTCTTCGATTTCAGTTTATAATAGGGATACGAAAACAAATTAATATTGTTTCTTAAGATGAAATTATAACATTTCAGTTATGTCGGCGGTTTCATTCACTAAGTCTTGGCGTGTGTAGTTATAATTCAGACAGTTTGAATGAGACTGTGACTTCATTTATGATTTTGATACATTAAAACTGGGTCCCTTGATGCAAACCGACGTATTTGTCATCTAACAGGGTACGGACAGATCATAGGTCCTTTCTCTTTTAATCTTCTAGCGACTTTGGTTTCGTGTATTGGCGTCCCTGACATGACATTGCTGTCACGTCACATTCATAGCCGTTGAAAGAGATCTTACAAAATTTTTAGTTCATACTTTATCTTAATATGACATTATTCAATTCTGTTTTGGTATGGTATTGATGGCAAAATGTGCTGCGTTAGGCTGTATCAATCAGTTGGATGGCAAATTTGAATTTGTCAGCGTTCAAATGCAAATAAATTTAGACCATGGAAAGTGAAGTGACCGAATGGGAAAAATTGGTATATACATCAGCACAATATTCGAGGTAAAACTAATACGAATTCACATATTATACTATGGATTCTTTTATCCACAAATTGAGTAATTATCAGAATTAACTTGAACTACTCTTTATTTTAATTATCAATGACAATTCACATCAATCATAATCTGACACGACACGACACGATTTAGATCTATTATATTGTTGATCTAGGTCGGAGTCTTCAGCATTTTTCGTTCGATTCTGAGTTCCATTGGATAAAATTTGGTCACTTTCAGAACTTATTACTGATTCTGAGTTATCAGAATGCTCCTTAGTTTTGTTCTCTAGTTGTTTATTGAGATCTTCATAGTTCTTGTTGTTTTCATCAATTTTCTCAATGAGGTGTGAACACAGATTCTCCAGTCTTGTGAACCCTTTGAGTAATGAGGAATTATTGTCAACTGACGATTGGTTGTCAATTTCATCTAATATATTTGTGAAATCGTAATTTCCTGAACACTCAGGTATCTTAACTTGAATCAGGCTCTTCAAAATATCGACCAAATCCTCTTCTGCCAAGGAATCTCCTACGTTCATTTCAAAATGTTTTTATGAATTTCTGATCTGTTCAAATTTTCTAAAAGTTTCACCATTTTCGTTATCTCTGGATGAGACGTCGGGGTCACCAATTATGGATTCTTTTATCCACAAATTGAGTAATTATTAGAATTAACTTGAACTCTTTATATTAATTATCAATGACAATTCACATCAATCATAATCTGACATAATTCCCAAATGTTATATAATGAGGGTTCTGCCACAATACTTTCTCATTGTGCCTATAATTATCCACTCCACAAGTTTTTGAATGCATTTTAGTGGAAACAGTTTTGATTAAAACGGAGGATCAAAAGAAGAGTGTTCGTGAAACACTGCAAAAACGATTCCCAACATAAATATATACAGCACACAAGACATATGAGCACATTAGTTTGAATACCTACAAAAAATGTTTCACCATTTCTCAACCATAAGGCTAAGTCTGAAATCTAAATTCATTTATTGATAGGTCCTGCCTAAGAACAGTCCTATTTGGTAAAACGTATTAATCTTTCAGAAAAATTTGCTCACTGCCTCACAAAGATTATGCTGGAGTTGAAAAATCAAAAACTCGAAGATTATCATCATCATTTGGATATAATATGTAGAATTGAATGAAAAATTACATGTGGAAATTACGTATGATACGCCAATGTCCTCACTATAACCTAAAAAACAACAAATGTCAGAAATCTAGTGTTTTATCCCCAGAAATGAATAAAGATGGAACCATATAAATGTTTCACAAACACTTCAGAGTGAGAGGAGACGAGGATCTCTCTGTACCCTGTTAAGATGACAAATACGTCAATTTACATCAAGGGACCCTTTTTAAAACCGTTCAGAGAATTTTAGAAAAATAAAAATGTCTGTATTAATCTTCAATTCATCGACACCTCGAGTTACGCCGTTTCGTTTTCCTCAGAGCGCTTCGAAGATGGCGGAGGCGATAGGTAAAGTGATGGATGACATGTCGAGCATAACGCGGCTAGAGCCCATGTTCCTACCTAGGACTGACAATTCGATAGCACAAAGTCTGTTTCTGTTCGTCACCTCGATAGCCAGGACGAATCTGGAGGTGGAGCTGATTCTGCGGGGAGGATCTTTGGTCGTGCCGCCCAATGAGCCCGTCAATCAGCTGTTGCCCAAAAGGGATTGTATAGGTTGGTGTAAATGTGTAGAGTAGATCAAGATGAGAAAATTTGGAAGAATAATCACGAGGTGAGGTGTGCAGAACACGGCTTTTTATTGAGCTGTTCATTGTCAAACTATGAAAATCGTCCATTCTCAAAGTGACTCCACAGTATTAACAAATGAATGAGAAGACTCCAAGTCGGTCGGCCACACTTTATATCATGAAATTTTAAATTACAAAGTGACTGGTTTCGGCACAACGGCCATCATCAGACTAAAACGACCTGTTATGGGCCAGGAAAACAAACAGTACCATTGAAATTGAATAACATAGTAAGCCTCGTGATGAGTTGGCATTCAGTACCATTCTTTAAAGCGGCTGAAGAGCCAGAAAAATCTTACTCTAATGTCAGAGTCTGATAATAGGTCGTTTTAGTCTGATGATGGATGTTGTGCCGAAACCGGTCACTTTGTAATTTAAAATTGTTTGATATAAAGTGTGGTCGACCGACTTGGAGTATTTTCTTTCATCTTCTGTTCATTGTCGTTTGAATGAAAACCTAGTTAGCAGGCGAGAGCTATAATATTGTCTGTTCATTGGGAATGAAATAAGCAAAAATCGCCCTTACAAACTAAGTTATTCTGAAATTGAGCAAGTCCCACGACTGCAGAATTTTTCTGATGGCCTTAGAAAATGTTTGGGAACGCACGTTAAAAAATAAGGCCCCCGTTATTTTTTAACGTGTGATCCCAAACATTTTCTTTGGCCATCAGAAAAATTTTGCAGTCGTGGGAATCGAACCAACTAACCGTTAAACCAACGTGAATAGAATACTGCCTCTTCAACTAGGCCGAAGAATGTAACTCATTTTCATCTCATTTTATTTTCCAAAATTTTCAGACACCCAATTTGCTCACCTTGTCAATTCTTTCTCGCGCTCTGTGGTCACTATGTCACTTGTCTACTTCACACTCATGTTAACTCAGTCATTGACATTGACACTCAGTCTCTGTCAACAATATTATCATGTTTAAAAATGTCACATATTCGTCAGACTTATAAATGTTGAGGTCCCTCGTGCTCTTCCAGGACATGAACTATAGGCGATTCATGCATGTATTTTGTATGAGAAGTAGTTGTGTTTTAATTGTCTATAATTTTGTTTGAGAACTTCTATAAACGTTTAAAAACATGAGTCATCATTGTTGTGTACCTCATTGTTCATCTTGAGCAAAAAAATCCCGAGTATAGCTTTCATTCCTTTCAAAAATCAGGACAGTCTAAATTTGTATTTGAAACTGATAATTTGGGAAACAAGGAAGTGATCGGTAGGAGAAAGGTGTGGATTCATAACTTGAAGATTGGAAAAAGTGTAAAGTGTCTGAACATAATGAGATATTGTTCTTTACACTTCACTGAAAATTTACTCATACCTATAGGTATATTTTCAAATGTATGTCTATTAGGAATATATTACCTACTTCTTGAGGTGGTGGTAAAAGAACAAACAAATTTCAAACTGATTATATCTTTACTCATGAACAGTAGAATTTTTAAACAGTAAAGAATGTTATCAATCAGGGTTTCGATGATTATGTTGTAAAAAGTCAAGTAGAAACTGTTTACCTAAATTCACTATCCAAAGAACACTTTATTCCCAAAAAGTTTGCTGGATTTTGTTTAAAAAATATCATGCACTATCAGGGGAATATCCCAGCTATATATTCGAATTGGAAATCAACATCCCACACAGGTTTTCATGAGAATTCTTGTTCAATAATGATAAAAACTTACAGCCTATACATGTTGGTATATATGAAGTTCAACTAGAGGTAGGGAGGTTATCTAATGTTGAACAGAGATAATTTAGTCCTCAATCAAAACACAGTAGACCGCTGGAAAATACAAAGTTCGAAAATAAACAAATAACAAAGCTGGACGTTTGAAAACTCAAAACGAAATGAACATAAACACCATTACCAAACAATGTAAACAATCCGCCAATGGCCCATAGAGTAGTACCGACATTCGCCGTTCTGGCGCTACGATCTTAATCTCAGTCGCCTAAACAAATTTCTAAAATGTATTTTTGGAAAATGTTTCAATAACCCATTTGGGAACTTTTTTGTTGAATGTATGTCTGTTCCCAATTCCGTTTGTACCATAATGATGTCTTTGATCTCGAATTTTTTGACCTTTTTGTAATTACTTGACGAGTAAGTAATCTACACTTTTGGATTTGCTTTTTGGAAATTTTCATATAGCACTGAGGATGGCTTTTTAGCCGAAAGCGCTTTGCGATTTGATAATAAATTTTAAACGAAATACAAAATCTCTCCATTCTATTGTCTATAAAATTCGCAGAGTTGGTATAAAAAAAAATCGCTCAGAATAAATTCCTCCCACCAAAACGTGACTCGTTTATTCATTCCCCCCGAATGTTTCCAGTTCCTTTGCTGCACGTGCTCGCCGTACACGCGCGCGTCACCCGCGAGCTGTCGACGTGGACGGCCTGGATGACGTTCCAGCAGCTGTGCGGCCTGCAGCCGAACAACGCGTCGCCCGTCACCGCGCTGGCGCCCTGCGAACGGGAGGTGCCGCTGCTGCTGCGCGACCCGATCGCCTTGCTGCTGCAGTTCGTGCTGCTGCTGCCGCTGCATCTCGACCAAAGTGAGTGGACGTTGGTGATGGCTCTTATTTATTTACGGAAAACCTCATTATTAAAATCAAACATTTCAATCAAATTGAATTCTCCTCTTCTTTTGTGGTTCTTGGAATAATTCTATCTCCACAGGGTGTCAATTTCACCAGATACGGTAGGTATTCTTGAAAATAGTCCCTGTTAACAGTCAATCAGCCGGCCTTCATTTCATTGGAGGTTGACCTCGTGACTTGGTAGCGCTGATGGTCCATTCTCCAGGTGTCCTATCCATTCAGTCGTATTTTCGCAACGGCTATATCGTTGGAATATCTCTATGAGAACATGACTGGCTACTCGTATTAGTATCTAAACTCATGTAGTGGGTATCGGTGAGATGTAAACGAATCGAAACGGATAAGAGAATATTTCAAACTAATATATTTTGATGACTATTCCACTCTTGATCTCGAGAACCAATCAGAATCGACCATTTTCACGGTTTCTTCTGTATTCTAGCGATATTTTTTGTTTATTAAATTTTATCTGACTTGCTCTACCAATACGAAAGCCGCATTGACCCACACGTGACCAACAAACCTCGTTTATCAGCGATAAAATTTTGACATCGTGTCTGGTCAAGATTGCTTTTTATTCAAATCTGACACAAGAGACAATAACCTAAGTAACTTCATTTTATTTACTTATAATTCGCGTTAGTGAGACATTTTGTACGAAAGGCGAGACAATTTCATTCTGGCTGGACGTTTCATGTGTAATTTAATAAGTTTGCATATTTGTTGACGGTCTGACAACAATACTAGAATTCAAATTCCCATTTGAAGTAATCTTTTTTAGTCACTCAAGTTATTGTGACTATAAAAATCCAGGTGATGTTTTGAGTCATATGTCAAAAAATCCCAAATGTCTGTAGATCATACTCACGACTTTATTGAAATGATCTTATATGATGATCCTATATTATGATTATCCTGAAATATGAAAAAATTTTTGGAACATACATTTCAGGTTTTTAAGGAATATGAATTCTTTCATCGTTTTTTCTTTCGTATTATTGGGAGAATACTCAATGACCATACAGTGTTATCTGGAACATATAGGTTGAATGCCCAGCATTGGCCTTTTTGAAGATTGAGTAAACGAAGTTGTTGTATTTCCCGGCAACACCAAAGTCAATGAAACGATGAAGGGCCAATACTTATTTGCTTCACTGTCAAAGTGACTACAAGAATGTGAAAGGCCAGCAGATTTTTGCCGCTGAAGTCATTCCTTCAGAAAGAAAGCATTGGGCCAATAACTTCCCGGTAGTTCATTGTTTGGTGGGTCTTATTCTCTGGTAAAGTCCATGTTTGCTCAAGGTGCAGTGGAATTTTCCAAAAGGAAGAAGGAAAGCTCAAAGTCATCTCAACTATTTTATTAATGATGTAAATCAATCGCAACCTGCGTGACCCGATCGCCTTGCTGCTGCAGTTCGTGCTGCTGCTGCCGCTGCATCTCGACCAAAGTGAGTGGACCATAGACCTATTATCCCAGGGAGACGCAACATCTCATTAAAAAAGCCTCTGTTTTGCCCTAATTATTACATGAGGATGCCCATAAGTATGACAGAGAATACCGATCAAACTTCTTTATCACACAAGTATTTTGCCACCTCATTGGCAACACTGCAATATTGTTGGTCGCAACGAATACCAGTGGTGTGCTGCACTGTAGGTCCGAAATATGAATATTATTTGTCAATAAGAGTAATATAGTATAGTGACTCATGATATAGCGACTTGAACCGTCTCTATTCTTGGCGCATTTTCGTTCTTTGAGACAAGCAAAAACCGACAAATAGATAAGTATGATGAATGATAATGCATGATATTCTGAATTTCAGAAGATTTTCATATTAGCTACTCAGCTATTCTATCAATATTCCAATTTTTTTTTTATAATAACTCATCATAAGAGATGATTTTGAGATTTATTATTTCTTCCGATGATTACTTTCTTCGCATTTGATTCAAAATTTAAGAAAAAATATATGTTTTTTTTTTTCATTTAGATTTTAATATTTGGTTAAGATAGGCAATAGGTAGATATACTAGAATATACCTCCTCAAGAGTCACATCACCGAAAGTTATTTGACATTTGTGATTTTTTCTTCATATTTCCTTTCAACATTGATTACTGTATGCGATACTACAAGAAATGGCATCGGAAATATTCCTCAGATGGTAACAAAAAATCATATATAAAAACCAACATATTGATTGTCTTCATTACCCCAAGAAACATTATTGTTTATAATAGGGATATATACAACAAAACATACATATAACATAATAAATCGAAACAATAATAATTGCACAATTGTTTTTCATAAAAAATTATAATAAAATATAAAATGAAAATATTATAATCCATCACAAGTAATCAAATTGTGAATGATTAGTACTATTAGTAGATATGGAATTGAAGTTTACTGAACAGATATTTCTTTTATTTCATTTAAAATTTTTCAAACTTTTGTGTTACCAATTAATTTCTATTCAGCTAAAAAGGCACTATTCAAGGGTAGGGTGCCAAAGTCAGGAGCTGAAAAATGCTGAAAAATATTGGGTGTTTATTAACATTATTATGTTCAGATTTCCAAATGAATATAATAAAACTATTCGCAATTGATTCCCTATTGTCGAGCAACAGTGGTATAGTAGCCAAGTGGATAGCAATTATATGATATTTCTGAATTCATAAAATCGAAGTAGGATGAAACAGGAAAACATGAAATTGATGACACCCAGAAATTGCAATACAATATTGAAATACGAGGTATTTGTAGTAAATGACAAAATTTCATTATACCTACTGTACACCTTCGATTATACCTTTGATTACACACAAAATATCTCCATACGTATTATACCGCAAGTAATTCTTCTTTGTACTTCGATTTTTAAGAAATAATATGACAATTTGTCAATTTTGAAGTGAGATCTAGCCTTAGGATCCATCAACAGCATGTCCTAAAGATACCAGCCGAATATTCATAATGTCAATATCGAACTTCATCCTTACAGTGCCAAAATAATTCGAATTATCGACATGCATCTGCCTCCATGGTGACGTTAGCTGTTTCTCTGAGACCTCAGAGTCTGCTGACCGAAATCACAAATGTGCGGCTGGCTTCTGTTTGTTGACTCCGTTTATTTGTTGTTTCGTTCTCTACTAAGTGCTGCCTATTCTTTGCACTTCCTTTCACCGTACTGATGAGGGCCGAAAGCTCGAAACACGTGTATACGGTTATCTCTGTGAGAGATATATCTAATAATCTCTTTCTAGGTACTTTACAGTTCCCTCGAGAATATTTGCATCTTAATATAAATATACGTATAAACAACTATACTATAGAGTCCCTGTATGTATTTGACAGTTTTGCTGTTATAAGAGTACGGACACTATGACAAGCAGTGACAGGAGGCATAACCCTAAAACATTTTGAATGGCATGACCAATTTGGCTGGCACTGACAGTTCATGAACGTACATGACATTGAATTATTTGAAAATTCAGTTTTTCAAACATCGAAATGACTAATTGTGTAGTTGAAAACTGCAAGAATAGAAGAGAATCATTTCATTTATTCGATTTCCCCCATGATAAGCAACAGATACAGAAATGGAAACAAAATATGAAGCGGCCATTGTGGAAATTGAGTTCAGCTAGCAAAATTTGCGAAGTACTCAATAGTTGAATTTTTCGATTGAATATGATGCAGATTCGAAGGAATATCATTTCTAATTTCAATTTTAACATAATAGGTGCACTTCAAAAGTGAAGATTTGATAGTGGGACATACCATTAAATTTAAAGAAATGTTGGAATGCGAGATAATTTATTGAGATGTAATGCTGAGGATTGAATCACAGCTGCAACCATTCAGTTGAAATTTGGAGACTAAATTTTGTTGTAATGCTCTTATAATTAAGCAAATACTGTAGGTACCTAACATTGTTTGAAATCTCATATTTTGAACATAGCATCCTATTCTTGAACTATAATTATTAAACTATATTTGCCGAATTCTCTGATCGATCATGCATTATAAAGTGTCTTGGTATTTTATGAGAGCAAATATAAGTTTGTTGATTGGTTGAATTGTTCTTCCCATTCATTTTCATTTTGCTCAGCAGAACTGGCTACTAAATCCTGACACTTCTATTGAAAAACTAGTGCATCCTAAAATTAAATAAATTGACTCGACATATACCCTCTGTTGAGTATATCGAGAAGTCCTATCAATTAATTAAGTTACAAACTATGACCCATTTTGTCCAGTGAGATGAGACGCCACTTCTTTATGAAAAGAAAGACAGAGAAAGATATATGGATGTACCCTTCACCGCGGCAGTAGAGGAAAGAAGATCCGAAGTGCATGGAAAAGCATATCCATGTCTTTGTTCAACCAAACCTTCAAAGTCATTATGAGAATTTGGGGTCATGCCTTCTGTCACTGCTTGTCATAGTGTCCGTACTCTTATAACAGCAAAACTGTCAAATACATACAGGGACTCTACTATACTATAAGCCGTTGCCTGTTCAATAGTTTCTTCAATTCATCCCATACCAGATCTGGTGAAATTGATACCGCAAAGAATCAGAAAACCAATAAGCCTAAATTCTAATCTAAAATCACCATTTCCTGCTTCTGCTTTCCAGCGTATTTCACCACCACCGTCCAGATGGTGTACAACCTGCTGTACTACCAGGTGGTGGCCCAGATATCGTGCGGCATGAGCAGCACGGAGCGCGCTCGGGCCGCCTCCGGCTCGACGGCCGGCCACATCCGCAATCTGTACGACTCGCTCGGCCTGATCAACGAGCATCTGGGCCAGACGGACCTGTACGGCGAGGACGATGTGCAGAGCTGCAGCAGCGGCAGGCCGCAAGTCAACATTCTCGCTCTCGAACAACAGGTATTGATTTTTTGGTGAATAAGCTAATAATTGTGCATTATTCCAGATTTTTTTGGGATTTTCTTTCCTCGTTTCTATAAAATAAGAGCTATTTATAAACTACTCAACACTAATTTCGTCGCACACCAAAATGTCGCTTCTGTTATAATGTGAATAACTTTTTTCAGTTTAGAACAATATGAATTTGGTTCACACTGTTCGATAGCCCAGTCCTTCAGCTATAATCTCGTACTTCATTGAAACATAAGGGTATTCACATAAAATCTCTACATGGTGTTTTCCGACACTGCGAAATTTCGGAATATTCAAGGGCTCTCAAATAGTGAAAAAAATTTGTTTCTCAACTTCGACAACAGAGACATGAAGGTGATCTCATTACCTCGAGATATTTCGCGAATCAACTTCCTCTCTCTTACTTACAGGGTGATCTCAAAAAATCAACTTTTTGGTTTTGCAGCCATAACTTTTTTTTACGTCAACCGATTTTGTAAATCTTAGGCTCATTTTGAAGATAAAACTTCAGATGAAGAGATCTGAATATCAGAATTGACTCAAGATGGCTATCAAATATCTAGAGTTTTCTTGAAAGTGACCCAAATCTGGAACGCTCTCCGAATCTCGGTTGGGAGGAGAATTGAATGAAAATCAACTTGTTCTCGGAAAAACAATTCATTCTGGATGCGTCCATATATTTTCCTCGCTCTCAGTAGTCAAGAATTGTGCGTGAGAAAACACAATAGAAACATGTTCTTGCAAAAACATTAGATCATTTCTACTCTGTAATGCATGGCCCGCCGTAACCAACGTTACAAGAATCACAATGAGTGACTGACAAACCCGACCAGCTGAGACTCATCATAAATGGTGTACCAACAAGAGCAACGGATTTTGATTTTTTTAATAAAGTGATTTTTTTAACAGTTGTCACGTACATAACATGCGATTTAAGAATATGGAGAAGTATTCAAGCAAACAACGTTTATTTATTGTGAAAACGCATTTCAAAAATGGTGAAAGTTTCACGAAAACAGTTTGCCAATTACGTAAAGTTTTCAGTCGCAATAATGCGTCGAACGAATCGACAGTAATAAACAAAAAATTCGTGTCGGAGATAAGCCCTTTGAACCCTTGTTCCCTAATTTGTGGAATCAGTTCCAACTGGTCGGTCGTTAGATGCGGCATCGAAACTATCGAAATCTGTTTATGATTCGAAAACGACGTCTAACCTGACTTGTCAGTCACTTACTGTGATTCTTGTAACGTTGGTTACGGGCCATGCATTACAGAGGAGAAATGGTCTGATGTTTTTGCAAGAACATGTTTCAATTGTGTTTTCTCACGCACATTCTTGAGTACTGAGAGCGAGGAAAATATGGACGCATCCAGAATGAATTGTTTTTCCGATAACAAGTTGATTTTCATTCAATTCTCCTCCCAACCGAGATTCGGAGAGCGTTCCAGATTTGGGTCACTTTCAAGAAAACTCTAGATATTTGATAGCCATCTTGAGTCAATTCTGATATTCAGATCTCTTCATCTGAAGTTTTATCTTCGAAATGAGCCTAAGATTTCCAAAATCGGTTGACGTGGAAAAAAGTTATGGCTGCAAAACCAAAAAGTTGATTTTTTGAGATCACTCTGTAAATAAGAGAGATAGGAAGTTGATTCGCGAAATATCTCGAGGTAATGAGATCATCTTCATGCCTCTGTTGTCGAAGTTGAGAAAAACAAATTTTTCACCATTTGAGAGCCTTTTGAATATTCCGAAATTTTGCACAGTGTCGGAAAACACCATGTAGAGATTTTATGTAAATACCCTCATGTTTCAATGAAGTACCAGATTATAGCTGAAGGACTGGGCTATCGAACAGTGTGAACCAAATTCAAATTGTTCTAAACTGAAGAAAGTTATTCACATTATATCAGGGGCGACATTTTGGTGTGCGACGAAATTAGTGTTGAGTAGTTTATATCAAGGGAGCAAAGGTATCCATTTCCTCCCGCGTCTGAATCAAATATACAGATGTTTATTAGATCTGACATCACTATACAAACTTAAAATATGTTGTGTTAGTAAATTCACCGAAAGCCAAGTTCCCATTGATGCGCTGCGGGGTCCTTTATGCCTTATGGAATGTCAAACTTTTTTCCCGTCACAAAAAAAAACTATTTCCGACTAATTCCGCCCAGGTGCAGAAGCTGTGCCTGCCCTTCCTGCGCATCGCCGCCCTCCTGAAGCACCACCTCTACCGGCACGCGCTGCCCGACGTGCGATCCGCCCAGAGCGAGTTCGTCCGGTTGGTCTACTACCTGGAGCTGGTCACCGAATCGATGGACTGGGGCAGCTTCAACGCCGCCGTGGCGCTCAACTGGCCCGTCGACCAGCCGGCCATGGCGACGGATTCGCCGCGGTCTTGGTGCCAGCAGCTGGCCGGGCAGGTATGGTACTTCATGCTGGAAATATTGTATGGGGTGCTACTCACTAGAGTCACTGGATGGTATTAGTTTGATAAGAGTTCGGACACAGAAATGACAACTGTTAGGGTTTTTGAATGTTTAGATTCATTAAGTTACACACCTTGCATTGTGACAATAGCACCATAGTCGTCCCGCGCTTTTTATTCAAAATAATTGTTTGAATTTGACAGTAAATTTTATGAACGTCAGATTTGAAATAAAGTGTAATCATAATTATACTTCCGCGAAAAAAGCAGCTATGGAAATCACTTGCTGTGTAATAAATTGTGCCAAATCTGATAAAAATGGATATCATTTATTCAATTTTCCAAAACAAATATCAACCATTATTCGCTTTTATGGAAGGAAGATATGAAACGGCCTGGGTGGAAAATCAATTTCAAGACGAGCGAAATTTGTGAGGTACTCATTAAAATTAGCTTCTTATAACAGCATCTGATCACAGAATGAAACTATATTTTAGGTCCAGTTTCGAACAGAAGATTTCAAAATCTGTTTGAGAGAATCTGCTATTCCATCAATTTACAAAGCAGACGATTTCAAAATTCCATTATTATCATCACACAAAATACAGAACAAAATAATCATGGAAAGAGGAAATGACCGTAAAATTACATAATGAAATTGGAAATTTGAAAACAAAACTAAGAAAAGCAAGGAAACTACAACGTGATATATTATTAAATGGCGTTTTTTATGCCGGTCAAATTCAAAATTCAACAGTGAAAAGTGAATACTTATTTATGTATCAAGGGAACGCTGGAGGTTATCGTTTTGGAGATATTTTTTGTATCGATCCATGTTACTTAGATGCTTAGCTCCTCGGGCGCTAAGTGAAGTTGCTGAGAACTTTACAGAAAAATGTATTTGGTAGGTCTCGTCAAAATAAACTACATTTTTGCAAGGAAATGTTTATCGAAAAATGATTTGTTCTCTGTGTTTCAACACCCTGTATCTCCGAAATAAAACATTTCTGGACACAAGCTTATATAGACTTTATTTCTTAAAATTGTCTCAGGAATACTTCACTTGAACGTATTTATGTTACTTCCTGTATATTGAGAATACCTACCTTTTATTAAATATTAATAACTTCATGTTTCATACTCATCACTGGAGTACAGTTTGACCAATGACGGCTAAATGGACTGTCTGACGGGTTATACATGACTGTTCATTCAGCGAAAATCGTCAAATCGCCCTGTAATGAAAATTTGATGGGACGGCAAGTGGCGTCATCTATTTCCTGTGTCAAATGAGCTATTCAACATAACCTGCATTCATGATCCTGCCTAAGATCCTGCATTATTTATTTTGTTGACAAATTTTCTCACTGTCAGCCTGTCACTCATTGTCACTCGAGATTGAAGAGCTTATTTGTTCGAGATACCAAGTAAAACTGTGAAAAGGCCAACAAAATGAAGTGGTTAGGAGTGTTCATGCCAAATAACGCTATTATATGCATAAATAATAATGCCATTCAAGTGGAAATCATCTTCGTCAATTCGTGAATAGGTAAGGACATGTTCAATTATTTCATTGATTGAATTTTCAACTGCCTAATAAGAGCCATGGTAGCCCTAATAACCAGATATTGCTGTATTCTCAAAGTGAAATGTACTGCAACATTTCATATTGTTTCACAAAATCTGTGATCTCAAGTGATATTTCTTAATTTGTATTTTCAGGAAGATACTGAATTTTCTCAACACAATGTGGAAGCAGCTCTTCATGAGGTTTGATTGAATGATGACTGGAGACATTCAATTCTGATGATGCTATCTATGCATAACTAGAATATTTACTATAAGGTGAGCTTTGTGAACAGTTGTTTAATTAGGTGAGGGTTCAGAAAAATAATCAGGCATTTTAACTATGATATCAGGTATCTCCATGAATAGCAAATTAAATATCAATTCATCATTTCATACTTATATATTCGATATCAGATATACAGATAAATTGTATTGCAAAATTGATCGAACTATGCCACCTTCAAAATCATTAAATGTTCTATAGCAACATTTCTTCACAGGTTCTGGGGATGGCAACACAATGAATATAAAACGGCTTAGATATGGGATCTTGACTTTGGAGGATGAAGCTAGGTTGCCTGGAGATCCTTTGGACACTGGAAATAAAAGAGGAAGATGATATATTATTGTGTATCCCACAATTTCTATTATCTTTTCAGAAATCGGCAGAGAAGAAGCATGTTTTGAGTTCAAATATAAGCTCATCATCAGCTAATTTGATGGAAAAAGAAATTTTTTATTATGGTGACTGTCTATGGAATAAAATCATTATATTACTTGAATAAATGCTTTCTATACATATCATCTATCTATCTATCCATATTTTTCAACCATTTTCAAAACTTTGTGAAGACAGAAATAGTTATATGCATTTCAAATGTTGAGTTTGCACTCTTTTCATCTTTTTAGATCTACTTGGGGAAGCTATATGTTAGTGGGCTAGTATCAGTGACAACATTTTACCTTATTTCACATATCATCTCATACTTCTATCAAGAAAACAAGAAAGCTATACAGGATCTCATTGATAGATGGGCATACATAATACATAAACTTTTAGGCCAAATAATTAATTCAAATTTTTTGTGACAAAATCATCACAGCAGTGAAAAATATTTTTGAAAATCTCTGATAGTATCATTATTCTGTGATATTTGCCAGGAAGCAAGAACACAAAATACCTCAAATAGTATAGTTGTTGCACCCGAAAAAACTCCAGATGTTGGCCTAGACTGATGATTCTCTGGGATTCAAAGAGCATACCTTAAATTCCATGCATTCCTCTTTCATTCTTGGTGTTGCTTTTTGGGATGCCCATCTTGTAGGTATATGGTAATTTAAGTTTGAATACGTTGCATTGATGGCTTGAACCATCAGGCTCACATGAAACAGTTTTCAACAATACTACTCCTACACAAAAATGCAGACTAAACATACCTTGAAAATTATGGTAAGCGATCCTTTCTGAATGTAGATCCGATCACTTTATAGTGTCTTCCAAAATCATTGACACAAACTTCAACACCAGAATTAACACCAGTGTTCTAATGGTGGAATCGAGGCTGAAATTGAAAATCATCAGAAAAATGTACATGAAAAATCATATTCTTACCAATGCCTTCCAAAATAAAATTCGACCATTCTTGCTGTGGAGTTTATCACTGGGTATGAGTACTACATTTCATTTCATACGCTAGAAGGCTGTAAATACATGATGAAGACACAACTAGCAAACCTGAATAAATAAACTACCAGAACTAATCACAAAGAAGAATGCTTGATTGAATGAAAATCCGAAAAAGTAAAGGAATTTATCGATATTCAACAGAACACATCAGGGACCTGACAGTGACAAAGTTTTGACACTTGATAAAATAATAATAATTCAATATAACCTATGTTATTGGAAAACAACCGAATGAGAGCCAAACAAATGACTTCTCCGCAAAGGACGGCAAGTTAACCCCTCTGGTGGAGAATACACTGAACTGAGTGATTGGACAGTCATGTAGTACTCGTCAGACAGTCCATTTAGCCGTCATTGGTTTGACATACAATAAGGATTTATAGCTATAAGTTTATCCATATGTGTATATTTTTTAATATTAAAACGTTGGTACATGCATTCTTCTTATTTATATAACAGTTGTTCTGCTAGAAGTGTATCACTATAAATTGAAGTGGGTGTTTGTACCCTATATCCATTGTCCATCTACGGCTACGATTGATTTGACAGAAAATATAACCTCTAAAATCGTATTTGACAATCAGGCGCTACTAGGGAAATTGAAAAGACAAAGAGCAGAATATGTCTTATTCTTTTATTCACTCAAACCATTGTATTATAGAAAATAGAAAAGGACAAAAGTTCAGCTGTGTCCGAACTCTTATCAAACTAATACCATCCAGTGACTCTACTACTCACGAGTCCATTAGCTTTGTTCCTTTGCATTCAGTGTAGTGTAATTTACACCACCACTGAAAACCAGCTGATTTGATAGTGTAGATGAGTGTTTGGATTTTAGAGGAACAGGAAAGTGGAGATCGTGTAGACATCATTCATAAAAGAAAGTTTCCCACACGAATTGAAACATGCATCAGTAAGAGCTATTTACAAAAATTTTTGAAAAAATCCTCAAGAAACGCATTGTAGAATTCATCAACAAAAAATATAGCTTTGTTTCTAATCAATTTGGTTTTCAAGAAAACAGTGGAACACAAGCAGCAGTATTACAAGTGATAGAATCAATCCAGAGAGGACTTGATTCAGGAAATTATGTGGCAGCTGTTTTCATTGATCTCAAAAAGGCTTTTGACACAGTTGATCATACAACACTTTTAGAAAACTTACAAACAATGGAACTCAGAGGCACAGTGAGAAATATTTTGAATTCATATCTTGAAAATAGGACAATCAATATAAAATCAGCCAACTCTGTGTCAAATAAACTATTAATCAATAAGGGTGTCCCACAAGGCTCTGTTTTAGGACCTATACTATATTTACTTTATGTTCAAAATATCAGTGAAATTGGTCTAGCGAGTAAATATTTCATATGTATGCAGATGATGCAGTACTTTGAAGGCAAGAATCCTTCAAATTTAGAAAATATGATAAATGAAGACTTGAAAATATTTGAAAAATGGCTCCACTCTAACCTTTCATTGATATATACTAACAAAACAGAATATATGATTTTTCACCAAAAAAATAAACAAAAAATTTATCTCGACCTTGAAATGAAAAATTAACTCTTAAAACAAACTGACCAGATAAAATATCTTGGTATTTGTTATGATGACAGGTTGAAGTGGGACAAACATATTGATGTTCTGACAAAAAAATATCTCCAATTATTGGTGCATTGAGAAGATGTCTCAAACTTGATACTAAAATTGCAAACATGATTCTCTACTCTCGTATACTGAGCCGTATCAACTATTTAATAAATGTATTGTATCGTCTCCCATTTGATACACCAACCAATCAATTGTATGAAATAACAAATATGTATTCTTTAGATGAAATATATAGAATTCAAACTCTTAAAATATCATATAATATCATAAATAAAAAATTGAAGTCGAATATTATTTTGATACGGAATTCTGAAATTCATTATCATGAAACTAGACAATATAACTTGTTTCATCTTGACGCCGCTAGCTCCATAATCGAACAAAAAAGATTCACTCATTCAGCCTTAACTGAATTCAATAATCTACCTGACAATATAAAAAATTGCAGAAATATAGGTACAGGTATAGGTAAAAAAACTGATTATTTCTGAGCCAACTGCATGAAATTAATCATGCCATTACTATGTTTTTTCTACAAATATTATTCTTTGTTTGCCAATTACAGTTGTTGATATATTTTGAATGATGCTATGTTTACCTATAGGTATATAATTATGTACTTTCTTATACCAGAGCCTATTCTGTCTGGAAGTTATTTGTTCAATTAATAAAATAAATAAATAAATGAATAAAATGAGTTCAGTTCTGAATGAAACTGTCCATCTATCATTTTATTTGATATTAGATTTCTTTATTCATTTGTTTTTAATTTTCCTTGTGTCGTTCCATGAACATGTATCATTATTATTATTAGGTGGCACGGAACGAGTTCGCCACCAGGGGGCTGCTACGGGAGCAGCACGCGACGTGGCACCGGCCGCGGTTGTTGCAGCTGCCCAGAGAGTACGAGAAGATATTCACGGTGAGTGATCTGATTTATTTTATTCATTAATTTATTGAATATACAGAGTGAGTCATGAGGAACTGTACATTCTTACCGTGAATAGAGGCCCTTGAGAGGAATACCTAGGCTGTGCCAAGTCTATGGTTTGACCGGGCAGCGTATAGCCATTCCCCTGTACAGCACAGAGCGTACCGTCCGACATAGTGCTCTGAAAAGCACTGGACTTTGTTCATGATCAATTTCACGCCTACACAACAAACCCCAGTACGTTTCAGAGCAGCATCGCTCATTGCTATATACCTAAATGCTACAAAGCTCCTCGCAGAAATTATGCACTACCTCCTCGCATAAAATATAGGATTTTTCCTTGTTACTCAGATATGCAATTTATACAGTATGTACGTATATGCGTAAGCGGCCTGAATAATCAATTGAACTCGAATTCGAGATCTGAACTTTTCAGATAATTGTAACTACCGTTATATATGAAAAATAACACTAACCTTCGCCATTTTGATCAACTGTGTTGAAATCATTCAACAAGCAATTCATATCATTCAAATCAATTTTATGAAAAATCTGGTTTGTTACAAACGCGCGAAAAGTTTGTAGTTCAAGTCTTAGACGAGGATTTCGGTTCGCGAGATTGGAATATATGTTGTACAGCATACTTTCTCCATGATTATCTCGCACTAATAAAAAAACAAAATATCATAACGTCAAACTCAATGATGAATTCATTATATTTGTATGTTTGACGTTATCGCAACCATGCGAAGTTTTTTATTTTTTATTTATTTCAGTTATTGCATTACATTCTTTTCTTCATTGATACATTTCATACAAATAATATACAAAGTATAATTAATTTTCTAGTAGGAATGACATGAATGATCAGACAGTAATTCCTGGTATAAGATCATTCATGAAGTATTATCGACTGTTGTATAATTGAAATTACAAATAGTGAACAAAACTTACATATCATTAAGATACAGTCATATTATAGTGAACGAGAAGGGAAAAATAAAAAGAGTGAAAAAAAAAAGAAAAAAGGAAATTCATGGTCTTTCAGCTTTGATCATTCCTTTGCATATAAATATATTTCTTAACTTTATTTTTGAATTGTATAATATTTGGGCTGTTTTTGATATCATCTGGTAATTTATTGAATTTCGAAATCGCCTCATGTGTAAACTTTTTTTGCCCAAGTTTAGAATTTGCAGCTTCAAGATGAAACAAGTTATATTGTCTAGTGTGATGATCATGAATTTCAGAATTCCTGATTAATATAAAATTTGATTTAAGCTTTTTGTTGATGATATAATAGGAAATTTTGAGAGTATTGATTAAAAAGTGCTCTTCCAAAGAAAATGTGTTTGTTTCCTTATACAGTTGATTAGTTGGAGTGTCATATGGAAGACGATACAATACTTTCAATGCCTTTTTATATAGAACAGAAATTTTGTTGAAACTATTTTTGGAACAAGATCCCCAAATATTTATGAGATAGTTAATTCGACTGAGTATATGTGAATAGAGAATGATATTTGATGTATATGTACTAAGTTTAGGACATCTTCTCAAAGCACCAATAATGGGAGATACTTTTCCTATGAGGATGTCAATATGCTTTCCCCATGTTAATTTCTCATCAATCCAAATACCAAGGTATTTGGTATGGGCAGTTTGTTTCAAACGTTCATTTTTTATTCTGATATTCAGATCAATATTTTGTTTATTTCTTTGACGAAAAATCATATATTGAGTCTTATTAGAATTGAGAGAAAGAAGATTGGAATAAAGCCATTTCTCAATTTTTTTCAAGTCTTCATTTATGACATGTTCTAGAACTACTGGGTTTTTATTCTCATATAGAAGCACTGTATCGTCTGCATATATGGTATAGTTTCCTATCAAATTCATTCTTTCAATATTTTGAATGTATAATAGATAAAGAATTGGACCCAACACTGATCCTTGAGGAACCCCTTTGTTTAAATATAGTATTTTAGACTCACAGTTATTAATTTTAGTTATAATCGTTCTATTTTCAAGATATGATTTCAAGAGATCGTGTCCAATTCCTCTGATTCCCATTGAAGCAAGGTTTTTCAGAAGTATATTGTGGTCAACTGTATCAAAAGCCTTTTTTAGATCCATGAAAATCGCTACTACATAATTTCCTTTGTCAAGTCTATCCTGAATGAAATTGATTACTTGTAGCACAGCAGATTGTGTACCACTGTTTTCTTGAAATCCGAATTGGTTCAAATCGAATCCATATTTTTTATTGATAAAATCTACAATTCTTTTTTTGAGAATTTTTTCTAGAATTTTGGAGAAAATACTTAATAATGCTATTGGCCTATAATTTACTGGATTGTTGAACCCGACATTTCTCTATTCTATAGTATGGTGCTGTTTGCAATGATTTCAAACTGCTTGCTGAATCATTTCAATAAAGTTGATGATAGAAATGACATTATTTCATATTGATCCAAAAGTTGTTATAAAATTTACTTTTCTGTGTGTATGAGTATAATGAGTATGATTTCAAAATTACTTACAACTGTTGTCCTCAAAATTGGACAGTAGGTAGGTGACTGATATCCTCATATTTGGAATAGTAGGTACCCTATGTGACTTTATTTTCTTTATATCTTGGAGCATTTCCTATAATGTTCGTGGAACAACGTGCGTACCTAGGGAGGATAGGGAGAGGAGGTAGGTGTTTGGAAAGAAAACTAATGCTTGTGAATAACCATCCTTAACATTCCTTCTATTCCAACGAGGACTAGTGTCAAAAAAATGCAACCGTTTGCTCTGGAATGCACTGGGGTTTGTTGTGTCGGCGTGAAATAAATCATAAACAAAGTCCAGTGCGTCTCAGAGCACCTAATCGGACGGTGTTCTCTGTACTGTACGGGGGAATGGCTATACGCGACCGGGCACATACGTTCAACGACAACTTCGATAGTATACCAGGGACACCTGTTCTCAGTTTCGCTTGACTGACCGTACACAGTATGTTTGTGTACAAAACTGTGAAAAAAACTAGGCTTAGTAAATTCAGAGAATCTTTTTGGCTCTGGCTCTCCGTCTACAACGTTCCTTCTGTTCTGTTCCAGTACTACCACGAGCGGCCGTGCAAGCGCTGCCAATCGGTCGCTTCGGAGACGAGCGTCTGTCTGCTGTGCGGCACGATCGTCTGCCTGAAGCAGAACTGCTGCAAGCGTCGAAACGTGTGCGAGGCGGTGGCGCACGCGGCCGAATGCGGCGCCGGCACCGGCGTCTTTCTGGTGGTGACGTCGACGTACATCATCGTGGTGCGGGGCACGAGGGCCTGTCTGTGGGGCTCGCTCTATCTCGACGATTTCGAGGAGGAGGATAGGGATTTGAAGTGAGTACTAGACAGGGTGTTACAGATTCGTGGCTAAGCATGGGGATTTCGGTAACCTTTACCCTTTCGAGATGAGTTTTTATTTTAAGGGTTATGGGTTAGATTTTTATTGGTTTAATATCAGTGGCGATCAAATAAAACCACTACATCAAAATTTCAATTACTTCTTATTTATTAAAAGGGGATGGTCCATTTATGTAGTCAGTCTTTGAGGGTCCTTGAGGGTGGTGCAGTTTATATGTACGAATTTTTTGCAGATGTCGGCTCCCATAAATCGCTACTGCCCGACGAAAAGTCGGATAAACTTGAAACTGATGCATACATTTTTTTTTCTGGACATCGTCAGAGACAAAAAAAACAAAGTCAATACAGAAGACTATCGGTGCATACCATCAAGTGCAGTTACGGACTGCTGGTACATATGTGTACCACTGTTGAAAACAGCTGTTTTTTTGTTATTTCCACCAGTGTTTCGAAATTTACCTTCAACTAAGTCCACACACACAATATGTCTTATTTTTTCGTCAAAATTGAGTGAAAACGGAGCGTAGAACTTGGCTTGGCACAAATAAATAACTATCACATAACCCCAAATGAAAATCTGCCCATCAAAGGTACATAGGGAGGTAGAAGACGTACTGGTTCATAGAGGAACCATATAAAAGTCATTTTTCCTCGAATCTAACCAGACAAACCAGGTTAACTTCATGATGACGTCACGGTAGCCTCATCATGACGTCACGGTTTACTTTTGAAGCTTGACAGATGGTAGTTTATTAGCTGTTTTTGTTTATTGTTTGATTCTAGTAGTAATACTGATATATTGAATGAGAAATTCATCATCTGTGAAAAAAATATATCAAAGATAGGAGCTAGGTGCTCACCTACTACAACAATTCGCTGCGTACACATATTTACAATGATTCAAATATTTATTTTCATCAATATGATGAAATCTTTCATTGAAAAATACTTCGTATGAATCCATATAATTATCTCTTCAAGAAGTATAATTATTTTTTCTCAACAATTATATAATCTCAGATTATAACAACAAGAGCCCAATCCAGTGGCCAATCAAAAGCCTTAACTACTCCGTGAACTACCTCAGTGCGCTGGTTTGTATGGTTGGTTAACTATTACGTCATAGTTTGAAATACAATTCGAGGAAAATTGATTGGTCAACTTATTGTTGGCCCGGTTTGTGTGGTTAACTTCGAGGAAAAATGACTAAAATATGAATATTTGCTGGTAGTTTTTGAGTGATTCTTACTAGTACACATGTGTACCGACAGGCTCGAAAGGGTTAAGAGATACAGGGTAAGTCAAACTGTTGCAAAATTGCAAAAAATTCAATTATTTCCAGAGGCTCAGAAAAAAAGGGAAATATGCAAAATGGTTTTCAATTATTTTCCAATTTATTTGAAAAGGTATTTCAAAATGAATGTCAGTGGCAATGATCACTTTTCTTTCTCTACAAAATGGAAATGTGAAATTGAAAATCCGACGTTTACTTCTTCGGGCGGCCATCATCAATTTCATTTTTTCAAATATTCAGATTATTGAATTAATAAAACGAATATCTATCCTAACATCAGGTGGGCACTTCGAAGGCGTGAATTCATTACTGCATCGGAGATACCCTTCAGATTTCTTGCAATACAATGACTTGACATCGAGATGACCAAAGTGTTTCGCGCATGAGCAAACATTTTCTCTACAAACGTCAAAAAATATAGTTCTACAGTAGAATATGCTTAGCTTTATATAAAATACAGTGTTCAACTGGCTTAATAGGCCTTAATTATCGTGAAACATTCAGAAATAAATGATTCCTTGGATGTTTGCTCGGTCAAGGACATAAAGTTCAAATACAAAAATCTCATATACTTTACATACAATGCGCACTGCTTCGCACATGGTGTCGTGGTAACTAGGGGCGGATTAACATTCGAAGGCGCCCAAAGCCTATGCATATTTTCGCGCCCCCCTTCTCAAGGTTTTTTTTAGTTTATATATGAGACACTCAAAACTAGCGACAGTGTTACATATTTTATTTAAAATTATATCAGACGACACTAAAAAATAGTTAAACGTTTACAAATTATTTTCCAACAACCTTAAGACTACCTACTAACTGTTACTTCTGAATTTTTGAACATGTCTGATTCTATTGTTATTAAGGCTAAGTTGCTCAGTTTGGAATCCAATAACTTCGAAGTCAAATAATTTTCAATTCTCCTGAGTGTCGAGAAAGATCTTTCTCCTGAACAGTTAGAAACTGCTTTGCTCATGTTGTTCTGCCTTATTTCTAGCTTTTTTTCGATATTCAGCGGCACTTGATTTTTCATTTAGACCGCTCATGACGAAAACACGAAAGCGCGAAGTGCAAAACTGCAATATTTCTGTGTCCTGGTATTCCCCGAATAGATGTCTCGAACTGAACATGCCGCTGATACAGCGTAGCGTTGCCAAATGTTGCCATCTATGCGTAATGCCTTTTAGGAGAACTATGGGGGCTGTAATAGAGTTGCTACTTCGGATAATTTTTCGCAATCAGTGCGATATAAAAATTATGTTGTATAGTTTAGAAAAAGGTGATTCACTGTTTAAGCATACACATAATTATTTTTGACAAATGAAACATATCTTTTGTTGAGAGTTATGTAAAGTTTCATCAGTTGATGCTAGGGATAATTATTTTCATTGAATCAATAATCAAAATGGATTGACAGCTGACATACATGTCGATTTTTTGGTATCAATGTTTTTTTTTCAATTGCAGGAGGGGAAAACCGTTATACTTAAGTAAAGGCAGATATCAATTATTGGAACAGCAATGGTTGGCTCATAGGTTCGATCATACGAAAAAGACGTGGGTGCACCATCGAAACGCCCTCTAGGAAGCTTCAAAGCACTTTATAGATTTTTATCGCAATATTCAAATACCGTACTATACCAAATGGATGGATAATCCGAAATGTGTTCATTTGATAGAATTTTAACTAGACGTCCTGTGTCCTGAACTTATTATCGATTAATGATACTAAGTATGCGAACATGTACAGGGCGATTATGAATTACACGATACAAACACTAGATACTTGAAAAGCTAATAGACCGGCAGCTAGTGACAGATTTTCGGACGTAATTTCACCCAGTATGCCTTTTGGAGGGTATCATTATGTATATATTTTGATGTTGAGAAATGATACATGAAAGAATTCTACTGATTCCACTCAAGCTGCCTGTGTTCCAAAATGAAATATAAGTGAATACAAAGAAATAGGGGTTGCATGAGCCCAAAAGGTATTCACGGTCAGGTGTAGTTGCATTTAAAAAAAACATTGTTCCTCGTTTTCAAACAGGCTGCACGTTTATGCTATACATATCGTGGGTCATCTCACGTAACGACGTATCTCATGAAAATCGGAATCTGAGATACTTCGTCAAGTGATTTATATATATTTGTACTCTTATGATCTCACAAAGTGGCGTAACTCAATATTCAATGGTTTTCGTGCAATTGAAAATCTAATACCCAGCCTATCTCAAATTATTGGACTACCGAATCTCACAAAGTGACCTAACTATAGGAGTTACGTCAGTACGTGAGATATATTCTCATTCTACATCGGGTTTGTCTCGGAAATTTAAAATATCTCGGGTGACGTATATCAAGGTACTGAAAGGGGGTATTGTACAAGTCGAATGAATTTCTGTGTTTTTATCAATAAAAATGAATAATTGGATGTTATTCATTTGAATTCACTTGATATTCATGGGCGTATCTGAAGCTACATCAACAAACATGATTTCACGTAGTGACGTATCTCACAAACATTTTTATTTTCGTTTTTGGGGATGCTTTTTCGAAATCTCACCATATCATAACAAATAGTTCCAGTTCATCCACTAATAAATGAAAAAATAATGATCTTTCATGAACAACCCTCTGAGTTATAAGCTGATTAAGATGTTGAAAATCTTTGAACTGCTCTGCTGTGAAATTAGGAAAACTGAGATACGTCACTACGTGAGATGACCGTCGATATGCTACGAAAAAATTTGATACCGTTCACGCATGTCCAATACACATAAACCTTGAAAACATGCTTTAATGCATGATGAACACGGGAGGATCCTTTCATGTATCATTTTTTAACATCAAAACATATACATGATACATTCCAAAAGGCATACTCTATAATGAAGATATGCAATGATTCAAAACAAAATCTGGAATGAGATTTTTTTGTCACAAACAACTTCCTTTTGAGTTCATTAGCTAATTTCATATAGCTTTCAATTGGACTAACCCATATGTTATTTCCCTATCATGATAGTGTATGCGAAGTTCGTGAAAAGTTTGTAAGATTTTGTTCTGGTAATCATTATCAGTTTTTCAAATAGTGGGTCCCACTTTGAGCGCACTGCCCTTGTATTTTCTTATTCGTTGACAGCTCCTGAAATTTTTTTCGCTCAATATGTAGCACCACATTACGATCTACATCACACTGAGTTTTCAATTCTCTCATTGCGTTATTACAGGTCGAACTATGATGAATTTAACATGCAAAAAATCATTCATATATCAAGCATTTTTTAGCGAAAAACTAAAATCAACAGCATGTCGAGAAACTGCTCAAATACGTATTTATGTTTCAATTTTCACGATAACAAGGCGTTTTTTATTATTGTTTATTGAGAAAATAGCTTCCAGTCAGAAATTAAATTGGTATCAGGAAGTTGATGAACAATAATAATATCTATCCATCTATTTTTCGAGGAAACAATCATTTGAAGATTATTAGAATATCATGGATATATTCAGATACTCCTAGAACACTTATTCAGTAGGTAGTTCTGTAGTGATCATACCCAAAATGTTGTTAGCACAAGAAATTATTCATACAGGTTGGTCATTTGAATACAAACAGAGGCTCTGTTAATAATAATAATAATAATATAAGTTTATTTAAAAACGTTAACAAAATATACATTGGAATAAACATATAGGTAATTTGAATAAACTGGATTATGAAAAAACACTGGGACACTTCACATACATTCTCGAGGGAGACATCGTTCTAAATTATTTACAGCGCTGCAGCGTTGCCATTTCTTTCGGAAAGTAGCAACAACTTTGTTACTTCAAATGGAATTTCCTGTATTCCACTGCATTTTCAGATTCTTCCTGAAGAAATGATTTCATTGATATATCACACTTGGGGTCTAGCGGAAATGATGAATAGGGTGTTCAAATTGGAGATTTTTCAAATTTAGGATTTTTGCGTTGAAATTATTCCTTATTGGTCAAAACTGCTTTCATGTCCCTATCTCAACTTTTGATTTACTATCAATCGATATTTAATCTGAACAGATACAGGGTGATCAGAATTCTGAATCTTGAACCATCTTGTAATTGTTCCAATTAAATGTCAGTAAGTGAATCAAGAGATAGATATAAGCCGCTTTGACTAAAAAAATCCTAAAGTTGAATAGTATCGACCTTGAACACCCTACATCTTTGTAATCATTCCCACTAGTACACAAGTGTGAAATATTGATGAAATCAAATTTTCATAGGGAATCTGATAATGCTATACAATACAGGGGGTTCCATTTGAAATAGCAAAGTTGTTGCTACTTTTCGATAGAAGCGGCAGCGCCGCAACGCTGAAAGTATTTTAGAACGATGTCTCCCACGAGAACATAGTTGACGTGTTCCAGTGTTTTTTCATAATGCGGTTCTGGCGATCTACAAAGCCTCTGTTTCGTTTTCAAAGGGCCACCCTGTGTATGAAAATAACTGATTACTAACAGATTTTTTGCACTTCAAATCATTCATAATTGATCGCAAAATATTGCAATGGGAGAATTGAGGATTCAGGAATGTAGAGAACATGATGAGCGAAAAAAAATCTTAATTTGTCCAAAAATTTGAAAATACATAGGTGGTGCTCCTTGAAGTGGGACAGACTGTATAAAGTGTTGATATCGAAAAAATACATTTCACCCTGTATTTCTAGGCTATTTATCCATTCCGTGAGGTACGGTATTTTCCTCGTGTATATCTATTATTTTATGAGCTGTGATAAGTCAAGATTTTCTTAACAGATTGATATTAAGTAAACTATTTAATTCCCGATTACTCTTGCGTTTTTTTTTGTCAATATGTTGTGTATGTACATTTTCCATGTTTTATTATTCTAGTCTGTTTTATTCGTGACTAATAATATTGTGTCCTATTTTACACTAAGGATTCGTTTCATATAACTTGCATATTATGATTAGTCCCTCTATCATATGAAAATCATGGATTTATTTTTGGGGTTGTTTTTTTATATAGTTGGATATTTAAGATAGGCTAGGTGATATGATATTTGGAGATAGGTTCGCTATTGGCGTTAATTGATTTTTGTGAAGTATTCTTCACTAATTGAGATTGTTGATAAATATTTACATTTTTGTTGTTTGTTCTGCAAGGGTTTCAGAGGTGAGGAGAATCAACATGTTTTATATTCAGCTACTATAAAATTCAAATGATTAACCCTTCTTAATACCAAAATATTTTTTGTATGAACATTTATTTTTTTATTTAATTAGGTTGTTGACGGACATCATTAGGCGTTTTTGGTCATGTTCCGATATTGCTGACATTACTGGCCAAAGTAAGCAATTTAGAAATTCTAAATAGTAGCATTAGCTTTGAATTTTCATTTAATTTCGGAACGATTTTGGCAGGACTGGTACACCGACAGCAAAATATAACCATATAAGCCTATGATCTTTCGATTTTCGATGTTTTGTTTTTTTGGTTTTATTGTCATCATTCTTATTATTATCTTCTTTACTAACGTTGAAATTATGGATGGTGATTAATCATATTATGTAAAAACTTCACAAACGATAAGATTTTCACAAAATTCTCAAACACATGACATGTTTCGCTTAAACAGTAGCTTCATCATACAGGGTGGCCCATCGAAAACTTGACATGAGGTTTTTGGGTACTAATATCGTAGATCTGGAAAAACGCTCGGACAGGTCGATTTTAGTTTCGAGGGGGACATTGTGGCCTCTTACATGCAGCACCGTCACGTCAACCCTCGAGCAGGGGGGTGAACAACCCTTGAAATTTGAATTGAGTATAGGAGACGAGTGGCACATCGTTTGAAAGCCCGTTAAATTCTCGAAACAACGGTCGTCAGTTTTTCAACCGGAATGAGCCATAATTGAGTTAAGACTAAAATTCACTTACATTATTCTTATCTCAACAAATGCTCGAAATGCGCACCTCCAACTTCCATGCAATGATACAGATTATGTTGAAAACGTTCTCTAACATTTTGGAGCATATCTGGGTTGATTTGGCGACATTGTTCTGTGATTCGTTGCCGCAAATCCGCTAGTGGAGTTGGTGGTGTACTATAAATTCTGCTTTTCAAATGACCCCACAAAAAGAAATCTAAGGGAGACAGGTCTGGTAATCGTGGGGGCCATTCAATAGAACCTCGCCTACCAATCCAATGACCAGGGAAGTGTTGATCTAAATATCGCCGAACAGGCATAGCATAATGCGGACGAGCACCATCTTGTTGGAATATCAACTGATCTTCCAGATAATGATGGTCATATTCAATAATATTCGTTAACATTGGTTCAATTGTGTCTTCAAGCAGTTCTAGATCTCCCCTGTCAGATTGCCTTCGATGAAGAAAGGGCCCACGATACGATCCCCAAAAATACCAGCCCATATGTTTAATTTTTGGGGATATTGCATATGTACCTCATGAAATATATGGGGATTAGAATCAGCCATTAAAAAATGACGAACATTCATCACTAAAACAAATGTTGAACAGACACTGAGGATTTGCAATCGCCTGCTCACTTAGTACTTCACAGAATTGTAAACGCCGATCAAAATAATCTTCATTAGTTCTTTGGTAAGGATGGAATTTATGTAGTTTTATAATACGATGAGTGCTAGTTCTGGAGATACCGGAAACAGTTGTTAGCTGTTTTGCAAAATTGCCACTGTTGTCGCCTCATTTCTTACTGGCGGTTCGATTTGCCGTTTTTTATTTGCTACCAATCCCGTTTCTCGGAATTTTGATACTAATTCAGACACATACTGCCGCGACACAGTCCTACCATATTGTTGGTTGAACCGTTCAGCAGCCCTTTTCGCACATCTATAATACAGTTCAATCAACTCAACCCTCTCTGCCACTGTATACACCATTGCTTCGTTTTAATTTAGACGTACGATATCACACACGAATGAAACTCACTTCTTGTAGTACACACGTGAAAAACAGAAACTGCATGCTCTTTCTGTTAGTTCTATTTTATTACAATATTTTCATGAGTACCGCGAAAAAAACTGAGCAGAAACTTTCACTGTATCGTTGGAAATAAATTATAGATTGCAAAAACTTGCAAATAAGTGTTTCAGAGATGTACAAGTAAGCTCTTCACTATCGTACAGGTTTATTCAATTTTTCCCAAACAGTTCATCCCAACTTCAAAATCGGGACGCCGTTGGATAGAGAACTTAACGGGCTTTCAAAAGATGTGCCACTCCACCATTATTCCCTATTCAAATTTTAGGGGTTGTTCACCCCACAGCTCGAGTGTTGCAGTGACGGTAGTGCATGTAGGAGAAAAAAATGTCCCCCTCGAAACTAAAATCGACCTGTCCGAGGGTTTTTCCACATCTGCGATATTATCACCCAAAACCCCGATGTCAAGTTTTCGATGGGCCACCCTGTATACTGTATACACCCTGTATACGAAGCTACTTAGCGAAACATGTCGTGTGTTTGAGAATCTTGTGGAAATCCTATCGTTTGTGAAATTTTTACATTTGCCATGTATTTCCATCAAGTAACAAAACATGGCATGACAGAATTCGTTGCAATGATCTGCGAAAATGGTGCCAGTAAATTTCAGCAAAATTCGACAGTTAAAATATACTGGGCAGTAATGTTAGTGAATATCGGAACATGCTCTTTACAGTACGACCAGGGAACATGAATAAACAGGAGCTACTCCAATGGTTCCCAATGTGTTTTGTATGAAACTTTCATGCAAAAGCAGATATTCAAATTCCTGTACAAATAATATTAGGAATATTAGGTACAAGTCATGAAATTTTGAATTGATGGTCAAAATGACCTTCACAAAATTGGGTGAACATATTTTTTATGAAAAAAAATTTCAATTCACCTTGGCGAAAATGAATGATTATTTATCTCTCCTGGTTTTACTAAATGAAAAAAAATTTCAATTCACCTTGGCGAAAATGAATGATTATTTATCTCTCCTGGTTTTACTAATTGTGTAAAAATCGATAAATCAACCCTCCACGTTTGGTTTTTCTTCATGCTGAGAAATAAATAAATCACTCGAAATTGCAGTATTTTATTCAACACCAATGCCATCAATACACTAAAAAAGTTATACATTTAAAAAACATAGGTTATGTCACTTTTTCAAAACAAAATGAACAAACACATATTTGATTCAACTCAATTAATCTCTTTACTGAAGTGAACAAGGAAAACAATAGCATCTCTTCTTCCACCTCTGTCTCCAGTGCTACCAACGTAAACAGCATCAAAATACAGAGAACTTATAATTCGTTTCTTGTCCATCATCTAGTCTGTGCCACAATTGGAACTATTGTGAAAGCATATTATGACCTCGAAAATAGTTCAGTGGCATTGACAAGATGGTCGACAAGGAATCTCTCTGTATTATAATGAGACTACGTTGGTAGCACCGAAAATAAAGATGGAAGAGAATGAAACTCTTCACTCTTTCTCGTTCACGATAGTAAATAAATTGAAGGAGTTTCGGACAGCGAAGTAGACAAGAAATCATTGGTGAGATGAACCATATATTTATTTCATTTCAATTTATCTGCTTATGGTCATTGACAAGAACGATTGACAGCTGTCGGGCCAGACCAAATTACACCAAGACTAACGTCTTTGAGAATGAAACTGTCAAGAGTCAGATTTGCAATTATCCTATACTCATAAGAAATGATATGTATAAAAGGTGAAGGTGCGAAGTGTAAAAATGTGTCACAATTGGAACTATTGTGCTCTTCCTAACCCCGTACAAGCTTCCACTTCTGAGGAGAATTGAACTTTACATCGCTATCAACACAAAATCCATGACTTTGGTAACCAAAACTCCTCTAGTCAGTAAAATTTCCTGAAGCATTTGGAAAATAACATCAGCTGCGATTTCAGCTTCTCTGGTCTTTCCATTGAGACTTTCCACTAATTTCCAGGCCCATTCGAGTTTAGCTCTGTTCAACCATCCAATTCTGAATTACATCTTATTGACCATTTTTTTCTTGTGTAAGATATTTCACATAACGTTGGTCGTAGCTCAACAAGAAGCGTATCTTTGGATGCATCAAATCGGAAGTTAATGCCCGGTCTCCCTAATGATTTATTGTCTAATTCGCCATTTTGAAAACTTTTGCATTTTACTTACCATCAAACTATGAGATTTCCATAAATGAAAATCTATATTGAATATTTCAGAGATTTTCACCATTTTTTGTCTACATTCTAAACAATGTAATAAAGTTATTATTATATTGCTGACGCAATGACGCAACTCTAATTCAGTGGAAACATTGAATCCATTTAATAGGGTGCATATCTTCTTGATGGAGATGGTCCTCTCATACCAGGCCTGTGAAAAAATTTTAAAAAATTAGAATTCCATTGGGACATTAAGAAATAGTTATTTATCACACAAGGGGAAAAAGTAGTAGATTGTAGCTCCAGGTCAATTCCGTGATTTTATTTTGAAACATTGCGAACTTAGTGGTTGTTTAGTTATTATTCAAGTAACCGCAGTCTGTTATTGGCTTATTTTTCGATACTAGCACAACAAAAAGCATCATCTATACATTTATCCGGAACAAAAAGAACTTTTTTTCCCGGGAAAAAAAGTGACATTTTATAACCTGTCAACAGAAATTAAATGCCATCTATTTTTCCCGTCACAGAAAAACACAATCATTCATGGTAAATTGTTTTCAATTCCGAATTCGAGCCATCATAATTAGTATGTATTGAAAAATATGAAAAAATCTATGGAAAAGAAGGAACTTGAATCTGAAATACATTTTGAATAAAGAACAGGATCAAATACCCAGAGAGGATGAAAATAATCTGTGTTCGGAAACTTCTTTAGTAGGTACCTAATTTGAACTAATCAAATATGAGACTATAAAATGATCCATTTATATTTTTTCCATCAAACCAAGAAGAAAAAAAACATGAATCTGAATAATAAAAAAGGTAATTCAAGTATGGGGAGTTTGTTAGTTTCTTGGAGTAAGTATATTGAGATATACAGGTGTAATGAATGAATGCAAAAAAATGAGAGAATATATTGTTATTGTCTATAAAAAAAAAATAAGAAACATGTTTTGTTGTAACTAACTAGCTTCGTTTTTAATATACATACTGTTGAAGTGGAAGTATCAATGATTTTTTATGATAACCCTGTATAATCATTCAGGACGGCGAAATTTCGTCTGGTTGGTGACTGACAAAATCTCAAGACTTCAGAATGATCCTTATTGACAATATTGAGTAATTGAGTATCTCAATGGGTGACTTAGTAGGATCAATTTTTTACAAAGGTACCACAAGGAATGAGAAAGTTGTATTTTTATTGTTGGATCTAATAAAATAACCAAACTTAGAAAAAAGCAGTGGCACAAAACTATATTCACCATCTAGTTTATTCATTTTACAGACTTGCGTTACTTATTCTCAAAAAAAAAATCAAATTTGATGGTTCAACGATGGTTCTATGTTCTTCAGCGAAAGAATATGAAATAAGGAGAAACAGCAATAAATAATGTTGTAGAGGGATTCAGTAAAATAATAAGAAAAGAAGAATCATCAGAATTTCCGGATGAATATGAAGCTTCGAACCCATTTTTAAGTTTGTGATATAAATATTTTGTTATAAGTACATGTTATTTTGTAATATCTTACTATTTTTTCTCTTTTATTATGTTGAATATTTTCAGAATGGCTTTCGTTTAGTATTGTGTGTATGAGAACTACTTATTTTTTGTTCTTTTTAATTTTCATATTTTGAAAATGTTTTCAAATCAATTCATCTTCATTAATATGAGATTATTTCTAAAATATATACTCCATAGCTGAAAATAATCAATTCGCTCTGATACAGTAAAAGTGTATCATATCGATTTGTAGGAAATGAAATTTACTACAAAAAAGTCAATGACAGCATAAACTTTTTGAACTAGTCTGTGATAATCATCTGAATCATCATTTTACTCGAATTGAAATATCGGTATGTTATTGGCTCTTGGATATTTTGAAAAAAATTACAGTCAGTCTAGATACTATGAGAAGCCTTTGCATGGTTGAATCATTTCTGTGAATTGCATATTGAAATTCTAGCAGCTGTTTGAAAAATGACAATTCTGAATGTAGTCAATTCATTATGATATGCTATATTTTTTGAACTATTGATCGTAAATCAGTGAATATTGATTCATCTCTTGAAAAAGTATAATCTGTACATTTTTGATCTCTTGACATTTTTGAACTGTTACCGTTTTCCCGTGGTACATCAATGAATTGGAAAAGGCAATTTGTCCCTACTAGTAGTTACAAAAGTGATGCTCCGGCCCGGTGAGATAGAGTAGGCGCTGGCTCACCCCAATCAGCACTCACCTCCTATCCTCGAACGAATCCCTGCTGAAATCCTCGTACAGCCTGCTCCTGCTCATACTCGACAATCCCGCCGATGGCGGCGGCGGCGGTGACCGCCTACTAAACATGCCGTAGTCGCTCGAGCCGCCGCTCCTCGAATAGCCTGCCTCGCGCAGCCCGCCGCTGCCTAGGCCGCCCGACGGCCCGCCCCTCAGCCCGATGGACGGCATCGGGGGCAGCGGCTCGCGGCGCGGCGGCAGTGGGGGCGGCAAAAAGTCGCGCGCGCCGCCGCGCATGCCCAGCTCGCGGGCGCCTGGCGGGGCGGCCGAATAGCGGCGCTCGTAGAGGTCGCGCGAGTCGTCGAAGCGGCGGTCATAGTAGCCGTCGTAGCCATCCTGGATGGGACACGGAGAATAATGATGAGCATGAATTCGTTTTTGCCTAATCATCAGCATAGGCTAGAGTTCCTAAATGTACTTTGACACTGCTGTTATGACGTTTTTTGTATTCGCTAGGTGGCGCTCGGTTTTCATCGTTCCATATCAAAGCCACGTCAAAACTGGGGGAAAACAAACCCAATCCTCACTCAATCCCATTAGTGCCATCACCTTGTGTACTGTGTACTGATAAGAGTGATAATATGTTTTTAAATTTCTTGACATTCATTCATCGAGAACGCTAATAATGCCTGTTGTAGATGTTCTTTTGGCAGATATTTTGCTCTATTTAGATGGAAAAAGCCGACCAACCAGTAGTGGAAGGAGAAGCAGTTCTCCGTGTTAATCATGTGATTTTGTGTGAGGCAGAAGACTTCAACAAAAGGCACATTTTTGCACTTTGTCTACAAACTTCGGCGATGAAATCTTCAACACATTAAGTAGAATTGAAGTTGGGGTTCAGAGGAACTCCTGTAGAACAATGGATTAGTATTTGTTCCTGCAAAGCAGGACAATCGGTATTATAAACATGTTGTAGCTGTTCTCTTATTTGTCAATTGATTTGCTCGTCATAATTAGTTTGAATTGTTTGAACTATCTCTAATTCTTCACCCTGTTCACTAAACTAATAAAAATGTAATAATGTAAAAAAATTAACCAACTCAACCTACATCACTACCAACAGTGCCAACACTTTATGTCATTGACAAGTTTGTCTACAGCTACAGCAAGCTGAAGGCGATGTAGTCTATGCACTTTATCCATAGACAACAGTTTGTTTTCCCCCAGTTTGAAGTTCGTATTATGTAACCTAGATGTCGCACACTTCGTGAATCTCGCGAATACTTGAATGGAAACAGGAAGATGTTCAGGCAATGCTGTATTAGGTTGATTTAAGATGCAACTTAAATATAAGTTGGAACTGCGGAATCCTCGGAAACTCATCAGTGCTGTGATGAAAAATGCATTACTGTTTACACTTTTTCGACATGCAATCCAAGCAGATAAGTAGGGGCTGCTTATTTCCTTCTATATTTTTGCTAAGTTACTATATAATTCTTGAAATTCCGTTATTTGCAGTGAAAACATTTGTTTTTAGTGATGGCATCACTATTTCCAAATTTTAGGTAGTTTTACCTCCCTACATGGATAGTTTTCTAGAGAGATAATGGTTTTTTGTAAATATTTCCAAAGCCCACTGTGTTGATATAACGAAATTTTGTACATGTATATTACTTTTCATGCCCGATTTGGAAATGTTGAGAATTCATCCGGAATTTCGATGAGGGGCGTGAAAAATAGGTGGCATTTCTTCCCCCAATTTTTTCATGTGATTTTCGGCACTTTGACCTGGAATTATGAGAATACCATTATTTTTACTTAAGAATGATACTCTTGTTCAGTTTTAATAGCACTCACCATTTTAAGTCTGCTGCGTAACAAAAATAGTGCTACTTCCTTATAATAGGTAACCAAATTTTCTCAAAAATTATTTTTCGATGGAAAATAACCTTTTTTCATTATCTACTTGTGATGTTTGACTCAAAATATGGGAGGAACAATAAAAAGAATGATTAGAAAAATATTATAGTATTTACCCTATTAAGAAAAAGTACTATTTTTACTACGCAGCAGACGTTTAAAATCGATTTATCTCGAAAATGCTGAGTGCTATCGAAACTAAACAAGAGTACTATTTTCAGGTAAAAATGATGATATTTTCATATCTCCTGGTCAACCTGCCGAAAATTACATAGAAAAAAAGTTGGGGGAAGATATGCCCTAGCCCCACCTATTTCCCACGCCCCTGATCAAAATTTCGGAAAATTCTCAACATTTACAAATCGGGCATGAAAAGTAATATACGTGTACAGAATTTAGTCATCTCAACACAAAGGGTTTCGGAAATATTTACAAAAAGCCCCCTTTCAGAACTCCCCAGGGGGCCATTTCTGTGCTCAGGTTTACATGATTTTTTTAACTATTTTTGTTCCTAGAATCTGTGATTGAAATCTTTCTATGTAATTTCCAGACACCATGTATATTTGTTTATTAATCCCCTTATTGATTCTAGATTTTTTTACGATGAAATAAAACTTCATGTCCTTATAAGCATTAAAAACAAGATGTTTTCCTTTTATCAAACTTTGGAATGATTTGTTCAATCCAATAGTTTTTTGAGGAAACTGACATAATAATATCTAATTATTGTTTCCATTTCTCAGCATTGTAAACAGTAAACAGTATTTTTTCGAAGATGACTATTTTGTGGAAATGCAATGAATTTCTTATAACAATTCTTCAATTTATAAATGGTCGGACCTAAAATTGAATGAAATGATTTAAAAACATTCTGGATATTTTGATGGTCACCAACTATAACACTAATACGAGGTTCTGAACCTTGATTGGCAGCAGTAATAACAGATTGTAGAATGAAGATTTATCCATAATTATCTCAAATAAGAATGAAGTGTATAATCGTAGATATTGGTAATGGTAATAGAGATGTACAAGTAGAAAGTAGATACAATTAAGATCACGAAAATGTATAAAAACGGCGAAATACCTTCGTTACTACTAGAGAGAAATCTCGGACATGTCAATTTCGTGTTTTGAAGGTGCATTTAATCAGTTAATCAGTCTTCTTGTTCATTTTACAACTTATTTTCAGTCAACAAATACAGATGAAATATTGATCGATTTCTATTTTATCGAATATGCATATTTTTCCTATTGCTCCACTCCTTCTTTTCTTTTATTTCAATTTATTTCCTCAGTGAAATTCGAGGTTAAGAATTGTTTGGTTTTGATTTGAATCGTTTTTCCCAAGTGAATGTGTAAATATTCATCTCAACTAGTTTTCAGTGATGGTTTCCATTCTATGATTTTTTGAAAACTGTCAAAATTAACCTAGTGTTATGAGGAGTCCGAATCTATATTTTTTATCATAGAAGTAACGGATAACAAAGTTACTGGTTGTCATACCAAATTTCAAAAATATACATTTTATTTCAAAACTCAAATTCCTCTTTTCCGAACTCATTTATTGAAGGTTTTTTCCACACTAGTGCGGAAATGTGACTCTTTCAACACTAAAATGAAAGCGGAAGTGTTTTTTTTCCGCACGCTAGTAAAAAAAGTTAGTATAGTTAGATTCGTCAAAATATCTTGTCTTCTTTCTATCTAGCATACTAGTCACAAATTCTCTTCGCAAATAAAATATTACCCAATAGGACTATTTTTCGATCTCAGTAAAGCCTTTGACTGCGCCAATTTCCAAATTCTTCCTTGCAAAACTGAATTACTGTGTATTTAGAGGAAAAATTTATTATTGGTTTGTCATATCTTGAAAACAGGAAAATGTTCGATGAACTACAACTCTCGTGAAAACGGAACAAATACAATCAAAACGGAAACGGTAGATGTAGAATGCTGAGTACCTCAGGGATCAATTCTGGAGCCGGTACTGTTTCTGATTTACATAAATGATCTGGTTTGCAGATAACTCAACTGTATCCCCACAAGATAACAGTGATTTTCTGAATCGTGTTCTGAATGATCTTATCGACTGGTTTTCGTCAAATAAATTATTATTTAATCAAAATAAGACACATGTTAGGTTGTTCCAGTCATTTCAATCGTCGATAAAATTCAATATTGAGACAGATAACTGAACGATAACTAGTGTAGACCATATCAAGTTTCTGGGGAAAGACATAGATTGCAATTTGAAGTGGAATCACCATATATCTGAACTCAATAAAAGACTTTCTAGAACAATTTTTGCAATTTCAACTATTAGACGAAACATTGGGTTTTCATCAGCGAAATTCGTTTATTTCAGGTATTTTAATAGTATTCTTCAGTTCGGATTGAAATTCTGAGGTAATTCTTCGGCAGCAGAGAGTACACTTGTGCTGCAAAAAGAGCTATTTGAAGCCTATGGGGTCTGAGAAAATATGACCCATGCAGACAGTACTTCCAGTACTATGTACTTACGCAAACCTAACAATAAATCAATTTCAAAAATATTATATCTATTGAAAAGGAATAATCTCAGATTTTTTATTAATATGAAAAAAAATGGATATATCTAAAGAAACACATTGAGAATTCACATTCCCTTTGTGGTGAATATATCAACTTGTTATCGGTATACTCAACATAAAACAACTACTTTCCTTGATATATGCCACGACGAACCTTGAATTATATCTATTGAACACACACGATGGAAACTTGTTATTTTCATAGAACTCTCATCGCAGATTCGTGATTATGTTTTCTTAATTCAGAACTTTCTTTCCTCGCCCTGTATGATGAATACTAATTCTTCATACATCCAATTTATAACTATTGTCTGTATATTACGAAAGCGTGTAGGTGTCACACAAATAAAATAATTTCATTGTTTCCAATATATTGAGAAGAAATCGATAGTTATCAATATTTAGATAAATCGATAGTTATCAATATTTAGATATATTAATAGTTATTGATATATTGATATTTTTTTCCAGGCCTACTTGCTACCTACTTACTTACTAACTTACCATACGCCCACATTAAATTTCAATTCGATACACCGAATATTCTAGAAGTTATGGCTTGTCTAATAGACACCCGGTAGGTATGTGGTTTAAAAAACTGAATAAGCAACAACGTAAATTCAATGCAACGAAACATTCCACCGTTCGTATACATCTCCCGCCGACCCCGTAAATACAATAATACTAATAACAATGGAAGAAGAAGAAATACAAGTTTGTGTATCTTAGGGTCCCTTGATGTAAATTGACGTATTTGCCATCTTAACAGGGTACGGACTGATCCTCGTCTCCTCTCACTCGAAAGTAATTGTGAAACAGTTGTATAGTTCCATTTTCATTCATTTCTGGGGATAAACACTAGATTTCTGACATTTGTTGTTTTTTATGTCATATTGAGGACATTGGCGTATCATACGTAATTTCCACATGTAATTTCTCATTCAACTCTACATATTATATCCAAATGATGATGATAATTCTCGAGTTTTTGACTTTTCAACTCCAGCATAATCTTTGTGAGACAATGAGCAAAGTTTAATACGTTTCACCAAATGGGACTGTTCTTTGGCAGTAATTATCAATAAATGAACTTTAATTTCAGACTAAGCCTTTATGGTTGAGAAATAGTGAAAATTTGTATGTAGGTATTCAATCTAATGAGCTCATATGTCATGTGTGATGTATATATTCATGTTGGGAATCATTTTTGCAGTTTTTCAGGAACAAATAGTTTTACCTCGAATATTTTGCTGATGTATATACCAATTTTCCCCATTCGCTCACTTCACTTTCCATGTTCTAAGTTCATTTGCATTTGATGGAAAGCCGACAAATTCAAATTTGCGATCCAACTGATTGATACAGCCTAACGCAGCACATTTTACCATCCTTCCAAAACAGAATTCGATAATGTCGTATTAAGATAAGTATAAAATTTAAATTTTGTAAGATCTCTTTTAACGCCTATGAATGCACGAGACCAAAGTCACTAGATGATTAAAAGAGAAAGGAGCTATGATCTGTCCGTACTCCACAAGTTTTTGAATGCATTTCAGTAGAAACAGTTTTGATTAAAACGGAAGATTAAAAGAATAACAGGCATATGCCCTACCATTCAAAAAATTATACCTACATTCAGGAAATTTCAAGTGTTCGTGAAAAACTGTAAAAACGATTCCCAAATGAATATATACAGCACACATGACATATGAGCACATTAGTTTGAATACCTACATATAATTTTTCACCATTTCTCAGCCATAGCGCTTAGTCTGAAATCAACATTCATTTATTGATAGGTACTGCCTAAGAACTGTCCCATATGGTAAAACGTATTGAACTTTCAGAAACATTTGCTCACTGCCTCACAAAGATTATGCTGGAGTTGAAAAATCAAAAACTCGAAAATTATCATCATTATTTGGATATAATATGTAGAGTTGAATGAGAAATTACAAGTAGAAATTACGTATGATACGCCAATGTCCTCAATGTAACCTAAAAAACAACACATGTCAGAAATCTAGTGTTTATCCCCAGAGATGGAACTATATAACTGTTTCATAAACACTTTAGAGTGAGAGGAGACGAGTATCTGTCCATACCCTGTTAAAATGGCAAATACGTCAATTTACATCAAGGGACCCTAGTGTATCTTAACCGTACCGAGAATCGGCCCATCATGCGGTCCCGAAGGAACGGCGGCGGAGGCGGCGGCGGGTACGGATCCCTGCCGAACATGGCGGCGCGGTCGCGGAACCGGTCAGCCGGCCCACCCGCCCCCTTCGGGCACTCTTTCGACCAGTGGCCACCCCGTCCGCACCGGTAACACTGCTCGGGGTCGCCCATGCCGGGTCGCTGACGGACGCGCGACGTCGACACTTGCACCTTCATCGGCTGCCCGTCCACCACCATGCCGTTCAGCTCTTTGATGGCGTCGTTCACGTCCCCCGACGACTCCAGGTGCACGAACCTGGACACGACGACGACGATGGCAGCACAGGCGCGTGGAGAGAGGGCCGAGTGTTATTTATTTATTTATTTATTGATATTCGTGCTCGACGGCGATATGGTCGCGTAGTTCGAAGCGCGAACCGACGACGAAGGAATAGCGGGTCGACTACACCTTTTTCAATTTCAATTCAGAGAATATAACTTCAGATTTGTTGATAGGCAGGTGGACAAATAGTTTTTTTTTTTTCGTTTTTTGATTGGTGCCAAAATCATCAATAATCGGTTATTTTCAAACGGCTAGAATAGAAAAACAGACGTCCCGATTTCGTAAGTAGGGGCAGCACAGTTGCCATATGTTGGAATACGACTGGGAACTTAAGAAATTATGTTTTTTTTTATGTTTTGGTTCCCACGAAAAGGGATATCCTGTAATGTTCAGAGAACATCGTGAAAACCAAGGGAAATAAGGTAGGAATTGGTGTTCTTCTTGAATTTCTGGAGGTTATATGCCTCGGGGAGCACCTCCCTTGGCGATGTGTTCCAGAGCCTCGCTGTTCGTTGGATGAACGAGTCTTTGGAAAGAGATGTTCTGCAGGTGTCCAAAGTGACCACGAAGGGGTGCGAAGCCTCAACTCGACGGGTTAATCTGGCGGGGACTACCAAGGGAGGAACAATTGATGATATTTCAGAAGAGCATCGTCCATGACAATATCTATAAAATAGAGCCAGATCGCCAACTTTTCTACGGTGTTCCAGAGAGGTGAATAGTCGCGTTCGGTATTTACATCAGACTGCTCCGATGAATCTGGATCGTTCGTTTATGACATCTAGATGTAGTGGAAGTAGATCTCATCCGTTCGGCAATTAAAATCGGAGCGATCTGACAAAGATCTTAATGCTCGTAGAATTTTGACCGAGAAAAGCAATTGATATGAATTTGTGAGGTTAATGTTCAAATGTTTATATATGACTGGCCGTTGTGCTCGTATTCGTATTCTCAAAATAACGTTTTCATAATGAAAGAAATACAACAGGTCAGTAAAATGAGGCACTGTTTCTTCGGCAAAATGATCAACTTTTTCCAAAGCATATCGTTCCTCTTCATCATCCTCATCAAAAATAATTTGATGTCCCGAAACAAAAGCTAGCAGTTTCTGGTATACTCATATTGAAACGGAAATAAATGAAATAAATAAATGGGGTTAGGTTAGGTTACCGTCACACTGTCAACAAAATGACCACTTCGTTCGTTTATTGCCGAATGCTCCGATCTATCTGTGACCACGTGACTAGAATCTGCTCTAATCTGCGATGTAAATACCGAACGTGACTAGTGAGTTTGTGAGCGAGGCATCCCCCACGAGACGAATTGCCTTTTTTTGGATAGCATCCAACAGTTTCAGGGTATGTTCGGGTACTGCACTCCAAATATGGGAACATAATTCCAGGACAGGTCGGATCTGTGCCTTATAGATCATAAGCAGCTGACTGGAGGTGAAATAGCTCCTGGCCCGAAACAGAAAACCAAGTTTTTGTGACACTTTCAGCAATTGATCTCACGTGATTTTTCCAAGAAAGGTTATTGCTGATAGTAATACCAAGCATCGAAATGGATGTCTTCAAAGGTATGGTTACTCCTGACAAGCTTATGTTGAGCACAGTGAGATCGGCTTTTTTAGAGAAAAGGGATGCTTGTGTTTTGTTTCCATTGAAATCTACCAAGTTATTGGATCCCCATTCGAGAATTGGTAATATTCTTAATGAGCAATAAAAAATCTATTGTCTTAAAATGTTCCCTCTTATGTGTTGTGTCTTATTGCTTACATTCTTACAATGAATAAATTTGTGTTAATAATAATTATATTAATTCACACTAGAGGATATTTGGTCCGGTAAACGTGACAACACGGCTATAGGATTGTGGACGTTGTCTTGTCATTTCACAGCACCTAGCACATGTTGCCAAGTCTTCTGCTAACATTAACATGATGTTTTGTTATAAAGAATAAGAAGAATTTTGACAAGCTGGTTGCTCGAAAATGTCACAAATAAATAACTATTATATCATGGCTTTCTATTAGGGTGAATGAAATAATCAATTTGGATGTAGTTTTATTCAACAGGACTCCAATAACTTCTTCATAACTTTATTATAATTGGTGACTTGACAACCTTGCTTCATGAGTGGGAATGGAAGATTATCTGACCAATAAGGAAACAGCATAAGAACTGACGTATCGAAGAACATGGCGAAATGACGGCTATGATGGCACGTTTGAAATAACCTCTCGAATTGAACAATTTCAAACAGTAAAAAGTGTTGCGAAAATTAATTTAGGTTCCTAACAACACAGTAGGGTTGTTGAATGCCATTTATCCGTCCAGTAGCCCATTGTGATGCAGAAAACGTAACAAGTGATTCAGATTAGTAACATGAAATTCAGAAGAGCCGGCTTATCAATCGCTAGTTAAGTCACATTAACTATGAGCAAAGGCTCAACCTACAGTCTACAGTTATACCGTACATCATAACTTCTGATTTGTTAATTGTAATTTCTAAAACGTGACATGTACTTAATTCAGATTAGTGAAATGAGATTCAGAAAAGTTAACTATAAGTCAGAAAGCGTCTAAAGGCAAAACACTAATTTCTAGAAAAAATACTACGACGAAAAAGGTACAGATGATTTCTCAAAAATCTTCAATTTCTTCTAGATTTTCCAAAAAATTATTCCGTTAGAATACGATGGAAAATAGTCAGCGATACTGACTTAGTACCGCTGACGATTTTACTACTATATCACACCTAGAGTCTTTTTTTTGTAAAATTTGTATATCTACTTTGAAGTTGAAAACCAACTCCCCAGAAGAACTTAGGCGAGGTTAGGAAGAGCGGAACCTATGAATCACATGTTATACTCTCTGAATTATTACAATTGAAAAAAGTGTAGTGATACAACTAATATGAATACAAATATTTGTTAAATAAGTATTCTCTGTAAGTTATTCGAAGACGATGCCTCGGGTCTATGATGAAAAAAGGAAAACCGACAGAAAACATCTGAAAAAACACATATATATATATATAAATACTTTAGTTTTTCTGAACTTTTTTGGAGAATACGATTCATTTCCTTTTAGTTAATAAAGTTTATATAAACTTAATTTTGAGATACAGGATGTTGAAGTTGGAACTATTTATTGTTTTTTCAATTCCCCCCCCCCATGGTGCCATAGTTCAGTATGGTTGGGACAAAGTCTCAACATTACATAATACTTTTTCAGATTTTTTCTATGGTTTTCCTTTTCTTATAATAGAGCTGAGCTGAGAGATAGAATTTTGCTCATCCTGCAACAAAATTCCTAGTTCAAAGTCGGAAGTAACAAAAATTTGGCGATTCAAGTCAAATACAAGTCAAAATTTGAAGTTTGACGTAAGAATTTACCAAAATTTCGAGATTGATGCTAGATACAAGTTGGAAGTTCCGAGATGCAAGTCAAAATTAGAAGTTTGAAGTAGGAATTCTCCGAAATTGAAATTCCGAGTTCAGAGTAAGAATTCACCAAAATTCCGGTATTCAAGTCAAAATATCGAGTTCGATGTAGGAATTCACTAAAATTTCAGGATTCAACTCAAAATTCCGAGTAAATTCACGAAAATTCAGAGATCGAAGTACAGATTAAAATTGAAATTAAGAGATTTGAGTCAAAATTCTCAGTTTGAAGTAGAAATTTATCGAAATAAGAGATTCGAGACAAAATTCCCAGTTCAAATAAGAAATTTATCAAAATCAGACATTCAAGTCCAAATTGAGAGTTCAAAGTAGGAATATTTTGATGCCAGATTCGAGTTGAAAATCCGAGATTCGAAAAAAAAATTTAGTTTGAAGTAGAAATTCACGAATGAATTTTCCGAAATTCCGAGAAGCAAGTCAAAATTCCGAGTTTGAAGTCAGAAATTACCAATATGTTAGCATTCAAGTCATAATTCCGATGTCGAATTCCACATTCAAGTTAAAATCCCGGATTCAAATTAGAAATGTACCGAAATCCCGAGATTCAAATTAGATTTGGGTTCAAATTCAGAGTTCAAAGTAGGAATATTCCGAAATTAATGCCAGATTCGAGTTGAAATTCTGAGATTCATGTCAAAATGTGGAGTTTGAAGTAGAAATTTAGCAATGAATTTACCGAAATTCCGGGAATCAAGTCAAAATTCAGAGTTCGAAATCCACATTCAAGTTAAAATTCCGGAACTCGAGTCAAAATTCCGAATTCAAAATAGAAACGTACCGATATTCCGAGATTCAAGTTAGATTTGAGATCAGATTCAGACTTCAAAGTAGGAATTAAGTTGAGTTCAAATTCAGAGTTCAAAGTAGGAATTAATTAACATTTCGAGATCCAAGTCAAAGTCATGTCAGAATTTCGAATTGAAATAGGAACTTACCAAAATCCCGAGTTTAATACCAAATTCAAGTAAAAGTTTCGTGATTCAAATAAAAATTCCACGTTTGAAGTAAGAAATTATCAAAATTTCGAGATTGACGTCAAAATTCATAGCTTGAAGTAGGAATCAACCGAAATTCTGAGAATAGTGAAAGATTCGAGTGCAAGTCCCGAGATTCAAGTCAAAATTACGAGTTTGAAGGAGATTCATTAAAATTTTGATTTTCTAATTTAAAATAGGTTCCGCGATTCAAGTCAAAGTTTCGAGATCGAAATAGGAATTCAAGGAAATTTCGAGACTTACGTCGGTATGTACCTATCAAAATTCGTAATTAAAAATAAAAAGAGAAACAATACGTGGCCCTTGTGACGCCTCTCTCTCTCTAGTGTACTAACCCGTAGTTGCGGACGATATCGGCCTCGACGACGGTGCCATACTTTTTGAACAGCTCGCGAATCTGCGGCGCCTTCGTGTTGTCCGTCAAATTCCCGACGAATATCTTCGTGGTCGGCGTTTGCGGCGCCTTGCGGCTCTTCGCCGCCTCGCACTTCATCGGCTGGTCGTTGAGCACGTGACCGTTCAAGTGGCCGATCGCCTCGCGGCCCTCCGTCTCGTTTTCCATGTGCACGAAGCCGTAGTTCTTCACCACGTCGCACTCGACCACTTTGCCGTACTTTTCGAACAGCGGTCGCAGGTCGCCGACGGCCGTGTTCTCCGTCAGATTGCCGATGAATATTTTGAACGTGCCCGCGCTGCTACTGAAACCCGGCATCTTTAAACGTTCGTAGGCCGACGTGTCCGATTTGATTACTTCCCGTTCGTTCGTTCGCTCGCTCGTCCCGTTGTTCGTTCGTGCGTTCGTTCCGTCACACGGCGCCTGAAATTCGCAAACAATCAGAATATCTTATGGTTCGCTACGAGCTATACGTTTTTCGAAGTCTACTCGAACACGGAGATTCGCCGTTTCCCGACCGGTCGATTCGTTTCAACACATTTATGGCCAATGTTGAGTATACGCAACTCCGTATAAACTATTTTTTGGAAGCTACATATTCGAATTTATAATATATTATTGATCTTTTATCTGGAAAGCAATAATAAGCATTCATTTTCTCCATATTTATTTATTATTTCCCGCATTAGGAACAATTTGGAATTCATTATCGATATTTTTGTCAACCGCTCAGACAGACAGACCAGTGATGAAGCTTTCGAATATGGTATTCATGCATGATTCCAGCGATATAAGTGAAATTGTTGGTCTATCGAAATTCTGAATTTGCTATTTTGAGAATGACTGAAAAGGCAAGTTGCACCCCTTCTGAACTGAGGGAATTTGCCCAAATGGCTATAAATGATTCATTTTCCAAGAAACCTCGTCCAGCTTATGTAAAAGAATTCCACAATTTCCAAATATGGTGTCAAACTGGCGACCTATACCACCATAATATTAAAATGTAAACTCTTCTTGTTGACCTATACATATACCGCAATGGTTACTGCATAAATAGACTTAACACAATTGGAAAAATGTTCCAAGAATCATTGCAGAATATCTTAAATCACCAAATCCTGAGATCTTTACAGGACATTGTTTTCGGCGTTCTAGTATGTCCCATTTAGCAAATAGAGACGGTGAAATCCTCAGCAGTTGTTGAAGGTTACATACCATGAGCTTCTGTGAAGAGAAAAATTGAGGTAGGTAGCTCAAAATGTTTTCTTCTCAGCCTTCAACTTCTACAACCTCGTCTACAACACATTCTGATGCCACTAACAATAACTTGAATAATCAGCCAATGATCATAATTTTGTCTCAACAAGCTACCCAACAATACTTACCAACAAACTTGATAGGCAATAAATGCTAAAGATACCATCGATTTGGTTAGTGGTGAAACAATGTAGTGTATTAATGACTGTCATTATCTGTTGAAAATCAAGTAAGAAATGCATACATTACTCTAGTTGTAAATAAAATTTGTTTTTCTACGGCTATAACACAAGATTGATCTTGTTAAACGACGCTATCTCGGAAACTAAGCGAGATAGAGGTATAGTTACTTTGGAGAAAATGATCCCCATCGAATTTTGAGCAACTTTGGTTTTTGTGTGTGGTCTGTCTGTACTCTGTGGTAATCATAAATCGATATATCTCCGGAACCCTTTGACATGTCGACTTGAAATTTTGCCATCTTATTGTACTCAAAACAATATCATGTCATTAAAATATGAAGGAAATCGGAAAACTCAATTTTATTTCCGTATCTGATATCACAATGACTCCATTGTGTTATTATTTCACAAAAAACTCATCGCCCATGGAATGTCAAATTTCAAGTAATGACAGCTCTGTCTAATAGATGAGCATTACTTGACAGGAAATCAGATGGCCCCAAAACAAAGAAATCGAAAATGCCGCTGTTATCTATTATAGCCGTAGAAAAATTATAGTGCATAACTTGCACGGAATGCTAATTTCCTACTCGAATGATTTCAGCATTCGCCTATGGCTCATGCTGCATTCTGCAAACTTCATTCTCGTAGGAAATCACTATCATTCCCTGCTCGTTAAACAATATACTATTACCTACGGCCACTATAGAAAGTAGGCAAGAACACACGAGATACAGACTCAGTAAGTCCCCGAATTCAGTTTTGAAACCTGAATCAGCTTTTACCTATAAGGAAAAAAATGCCCCAATTCAAGGATGGGATGAATATTGAGAACCTGATTTTACTGTAATAATAGCTATTTATATATCAAGGGACAAAAGGTATTCATTTCCTCCCGCGTGTGAGGAAATAAACCTTTGTTCCCATGATATATATATACAGGGTGTCCGCAGATAAAACCGACAAAACCTATGGGGTTATAGGGACTGTCAATATGATTGCAAAATGCCATAAATAAATGTCCAAAACCGCTTCGTTACTGAAATACAGAGTGATTTGTGTATTTTGCCAAAAAATTTAATCCGCCATATCAAATACAGGGATTAACCGATTAGATTCAAATTTGGTACACAAATAACACTGAAAGGCATCAACAAGTAGCCCTTTGATCGAAACGAATATCAGGACCGGAATAATATTTTTCCCCTATGTTGAGATAATGTGAGAATAACTCACCCTGTATTATAATTACCAAAAATTTGAACTCATATTCAAAATCTACGGTGAAAATCGAATAGGAATTTGTTGAGGAATCTTCTGGCACTATCTCAGTTTTTCCGTAATAAAATATTGTTTTGATTTTTTTTATACAAAAATCAATTATTTTTGGGTAAAGGACCATCAAAATTGGTGATATAATAAATATTTACGAAACCATGATATGAATGTCGATATTTTCTTCAATCATTTCTTTAACTGTAGTAAAATGAAATACTCTCATAATCCGAAAAAACTGAAGAATAAATTCGTATCGGGACTGGAATGAGTTTTTTTTGTTCATGTTAGCTGACCTGGCACATCAATACTTATCAATAATCAGATTGTAGATTCGGAATCTAAAAAAATCGCATGAGAACTTGTTAAAAAAGAACTAGAGTGAATTTTTCAAAAATTATATCCGCCCTCTAATGACTTTGAATTTTTGAAGATATCACACAACGAACAATAACTGTTTGTAATGATCATAACAAAACACATAAATTCGTAAAAAAACTTTCACAACCCAGTATTACGAAACATTTTTGCAGTGGAGCCCTCCAGCATCAGTAGGTACATTTTTGAAAGCGTATTTGATGATTCACTGACTTGCGAATTATTTGAGGGTTACTTCTAACACTATCACAGGCAGCAGTAATTTTCTCTAATAAATGTTCTCTATTTATAATTTCTTCATTATGAACCTATTGAAAATAATCTAGCAGAGTTAGATCAGGTGATCGCGGTGGCCAATTTACCTCCACGGTCGATCCATCTATTGGGGTAAGTGGCATCGGGATGGTTTCTAACTGGAACTGAAAAGTGAGGTCTAGCACCATAATGCTGAAACCACATACCCCAGATATTTACACCTTGCAATAGATCCGGTAAAGTATTTACCAGGAAATTTAGGTAAACATCACCAGTTAACCGTCCGTCAATTACGTGAGGTCCTATCCTAGAATTATTAATTCCATCCATGGTAAATTGGCTCTTGTCGGTTCTGTTGATGGTCCTTCTATGCGCTGAACACCATCTTGAGAACGATACTCGTGGTACATGATCACCCTCTTCGAGCATTTGCACTTTTTGTATGTGGTATGGATGCAAACTATTTTCTTTTAATGTATTCCACACATGCATACGAGATAGCGCCAACTACCTACTCATTCTTCTTACGATTCTAAAAGGATTATCATTTATAGCTTTCAGTATTTGCTCTTCTTGCTGAATATTATTTATTCGAGCACCTTCTCGTCCTCATTTTGCCTTTTTCCTTTTCCTTCTTCCCTAATACTTTGAAGTACGAAAGCAAATGTTGAGTGGTGTGGTACGCGATAGCTACACAAATAAAATATCTGCGTATTCCTCATTAGTAAAATGAAATGGCATCATCAACACACTCTCAAAACTATAGTTGAATCTTAAAAACACTAGAATAATGAATGAACTCCAATAAAACAAAAACTTATTACAGCTAAACAATAGTTTTCCATAATGACATTCTGAATTTGACACAAGAAGCCTACTGTATTCTTTGTACACAAAACATCATGAGGCAAAAGCATACGGATTTATTATTTGGAAGTTCAGTCCGATCCTTTTTTAACAAGTTTTTAACTTTACTCAGTGGATTCCGAATCTGTGATCAGATTATTGCTTTACTAGATCAGTCATTCTTACAGGAGTATAATCATAAAAAACTTCATTCCAGTCCTGATACAAATTTATTCCTCAGTTTTTTCGGGTTATGAGAGTATTTCATTCTACTACGATTTACGAACTGATTGAAGAAAATAACGACATTCATGTCATGGTTTCGTAAATATTCATTTCATTACCAATTTTGATGGTCCTTTATCCGAAAATAATTGATTTTTGAATGAAAACAATTGAAATAATAGTTAATTACGGAATAACTGAGATAGTGCCAGAAGATTCTTTAACTAATTCCTATACGATTTTTACCGTAGATTTCGAATCTAAGTTCAAAATTTTGGTTATCAGTATACAGGGTGTTATTCTCATAATAACTTAACATAGGGAAAAAATATTATTCCGGTCCTGATATTGGTTTCGATCGGAGGGCTACTTGTTGATGCCCTTCAGTGTAATTTGTGTAACAAATTTGAATCAATTCGGTTAATCCCTATATTTGATATGGCGGATTGAATTTTTCGACAAAATCCACAAATCACTCTGTATGTCAGTAACGAAGCGGTTTTGGACAGTTGTTCATGCCATTTTGCAATCATATTGAGAGTCCCTATAACCCCATGAGTTCTGTCGGTTTTATCTCCGGACACCCTGTATATACAGGGTGTCCCTAGACCAGTGGGACAGTTGAATATCTCCTGAACCAATAGGAATTTTCAAAATATTATGATTCCACATCATATCGCATTATGAGTGCTAACTTCAGGAATGACTATATTTTATACGAGGGGCGCAAGAAAGGCTCACAAAATCGAACATCAATTTTTTCAAATGGAACACCCTGTATTTCATTGCATTTTTATATTTTCCTTGATGAGCTGAGTTCAACGACATAGCACACTTGGGGTCTAGCGGGAATGATTTTCGAGATATAGGGTGTGGAAAATCGAGATTCTTCATTTCTGG